CCTTAATGGCAAACAATGAGCTGAAGGGATTCTGACTACCAGAAGCGTCTGGTAGCTCCCAAGTCCAGGGTTTGTGAGGGTGGCATAATAGGGTTCCTGGTTTCCCATTCCTTATTTATTTGTTTACAAAAAAACATTTATATACCGCTGCAGTTTACGCCACTATCAAAGTGGTTTGCAGCAATAGAAGTATCATAATCATCACTAATATTCATTTCATTTCTATACTGCTTTATATTTTTAATAACCTTCCCCCCTACAATAAATCTATTCAAACGTTAGAATCAGAATTTGGCTAAATGCTGCGGAAAGATGTATTTCTAATAGGAATAGGAAACTTTTCAGCAGGCATTTAAAAGTTGGCCCAGAAGGTGCCCTTGTTTTACTCTGGTGTTCCACCCTAAACCAAAACCTGGGCTGCCATCCCGTACCCAACTAGGTGAGAGTAAGCCCCATGGCACACAAAGAGATTTACAGTGGTACCTCTGTTTACGAACATAATCCGTTCCGGAAGTCCGTTTTTAAACCAAAGCTGTTTTTAAACGGAGGTAAAGTTCGCTAACCGGGACACAACTTCTGGTTTTGCGGCGTTCGTATACCAAATAGTTCGTAAACAGGGCTGTTCTTAAATCGAGGTACCACTGTACAGTGGTACCTCAGGTTAAGAACTTAATTCGTTCTGGAGGTCCGTTCTTAACCTGAAACTGTTCTTAACCTGAGGTACCACTTTAGCTAGTGGGGCCTCCTACTGCCGCCGTGTCACCAGTGCACGATTTCTGTTCTCATCCTGAAGTAAAGTTCTTAACCCAAGGTACTACTTCCGGGTTAGCGGCGTCTGTAATCTGAAGCGTCTGTAACCTGAAGCGTCTGTAACCCGAGGTACCACTGTACTTCTGTGTGGACTCGTGTTAGGTAGTGTTAGGTAGCTCTGTGGCGCATTCTCGACAAGTGCCTGGTCTTTAGCCCATGCACAACAGCAGGAGACTGTTCCTAAGCCCTTTTGCAAAACTTTGCCGCTTGCGTTTTGCAGGGAGGACTTGCATGCTTATTGTAAAGTAGTAATTGCAGAAAACTGCTTCTCGGGAGTACCAAAGTCCCGCAGGAAAGATACATCCTGGCAGCTAGGAACAAAAGGAAGAGCAAACTAGAGAGATTTCAAGGACTATGAAAAAAATTAGATGGAGAGATGGAAAGGAAGGAAAAGAGATTCTTGCTACAGTCCCTGACTTCACCCACTGCTCAGTCTTGAGCAGCCAGGGTGGCTCACTTCACAACAATCACGTACAGACTTGCATTTTATTTATTGTTTAATGAAAGCTCAGCGCTGGCTGGGACCCCTTGTCAGGGGCTGCAGTTAAGGCCTTCATGGGCACTGTGTTGGTGCCCCCCGATTTCTGCGGGGCCCAAGTTCCCTACCTCTGCCATAGAGGCATGCCCCATTCTCTCCAACCCACAGAGAAGGGGGATGTCGTCCTTGCAGTCGCTAACCAGCCGTTCAACAGTGAACTTGTGGAAGGAACTTGAGAAAGCCTTGCCACAGTAGTTCATGCACAGGTTACTTCAAGACTGGATTGCTGCAATGCGCTTCATGTGGGGCTTCCCTTGCTGACAGGAGTGAGGCTTTGGCAGTGGGAAACTCCTATAGCTGAGAGATTTGTACTGGTCGCTGATTTGCTTACAGGGCCAAGTTCAAGGTGTTACTATTAGTATCTAAAGCCCTTAACAACTTGGGACCAGTTTACCTATGAGATCGCCTTACCTATGAGATGCACTCACTTGACCCCTTTGATCTGCAGAACTGTCCCTGCTACAGGTACCACCCTGTAAGGCATGGATCTTTTACTGTGGTGGCATCTACACTGTGGAACTCCCTGCCTATTGATATCAGGCAGGGTCCTTCGCTGTACTCCTTTCAGCGCCTGCCAAAAACATTTTTGTGTAGGCATGCGGACCCAGACATGTAGAATGTTGGTGTATGTTTTGATTTGGTTTTAGTTTATTATTGATTTTATCTTTCATATGTTTTAACAAGTTGCTTTTTACTTTAAAAAATATATATTTTTTTGTTTTATTTTCTTTGTAAACCACTTGGAGGTTTTTTTGTTTTTGTTTTCTTAAAAGACCAATCAAGCTGAGTATAAATCTTATGAAATAAAGGAAGGAAGGAAGGAAGGAAGGAGGGGGCCTTCCCTCTTTTGATTTCTTTCCTTGCCTCCTTAGAACCTTGTGGCTGCAATGGCCTTCGGGTGGGTTTGATGGATGGCAGGTGTCAATCGACGGATTGCTCCAAAGATGTTTTACTGGAGAGCTGGGCTGACCTTGGGTGTGAGGGGAAATACATCAGCCCCCTCCAACCCCATGCACTCCCCTCTCATAACTCTCCGTGTTTCCTGCCGGAAATAGATGCTTCCGTAACCCTAATACATTTTTAAATGCTCCATGTTTATCAGACGGCGTCTTCCAGGCAATTAGTCCTGGTTGGAGGATAGGGGGAAGGCAAGGAGGCAAGTGGGCAGCCCTAAGCCTTTCATGCATGTGGAATTCTTTGAAGGTTTGGGGAGCGTTTAGCTGAAGGAACGGAAAGCTGAGCTTCTTGGGGATTCAATTAAGACCAAGAGCCAAGGGTCTAGCCCTCATGGGTACACAGAACAGTGATCAATATTCAGTGGATGTGTGTTGTGTAGGCCTTGGAAGAGTTCTGGATGAGTCCTTCATGATCTGGAGTAATATTTCCTTTCTCCTCCCCATCACCCTTGCCCCAATTTCTGTTTTTCTTCTTTCTCTACCCATACATTTTGTTTTTGCTATTTTTTTAATGGTCCTCCTCTCTTTATTTGCAGTCCACAAAAATGCCCATTGCTACAACTGGAAAACACATAATCACAGATCAGTTTCAAAAACTCTGTTGTTTGTTCTGCTACTTATTAAGCTTCCCCTGATCAAGCCTGTCTTTTTCTTTTTTATCATATTTTGATGATTTTCTGATATAACAGGACTAAGGAAACAATAATAACCATTGAAGTTCTGAGGCATGACTAACAGGTTCATTTATTTCAATGGGTCTAGTTCTAAATAGGACTAGCATTGGTCTGGAATACAGCAGATCTCTGTACACCTAAAATGTCGCTAAAAGTATCCTAGAAATTGCAATTTCTCAGAAACTAGCTAAACTATAACAGTAAGGATTGGCTGTCTTCTGAGGAACCCATACACAACCTGTTTTTAATTATTTGTTTTGAATTGCTGTTCTGGGTGTGCTTCCAGACTGGAAAGAGGCAAGCCCAGAATTGCATCTCTGCATGAGTTGCTGAAAGAAGCCCTTTTCCCCCCTTCAAAGAAGGGCTTTGTACCTGCAGCAGGAGTCATCTAATCGTACTTGATGGGAAGGAAGTGTTTAGCAGCATTTGAGCTCAGCAAAGGAGGCTGCTTGAAGGAGACAGGGTCAGAGCAGTGATTCATACAGAGATACAGCAGGAAGCCTCCACCTTTGAGATTTTCTGCACTTAAGTAGCATTAAGCAATTTGTGCACTGTGGGAGTGTATCAGCAAGTTGAGCCAACATTGCATCCTTTTCTGAGCATGCTGAATGTGAAACAGAGCCTCTGTTTGGTGTTTTTAAATAGTGTCTTCCAGTCAGTCCCTTCCGACCAAACAGAGTGCATTGCAGTTAGCTGAACCACAGCAGTGTGCGCTGAAGGGCATTGCAACACCATTACGTTTGCTGGCGGCAGATGGCCTCACGGCTTTGCTTCCAGAGAGAGGAAGGAGTTGCTGCTCTTGTGAGGGTAAAGGGCAAGTGTAATTGGGGAGAAGAGAGGCAGTTACTTCTGCTGGCCCTGCTAACTGTGCACCTTGTTTAAAGTCCCATATGACATAATGCCAGCCAAGGAAAGTCAAGAGCAGCCGTTGGCCTGCCAGGTCTTTTTGTAAAAGATAAAATAAATGGCAGCCAGCTCAGATCAGGGAGCAGCCATAAATTTCTGTGTTTTTAATCATCATTAAGTTGCAAACGTTGCAGCAGCAGCAGCTGGGAATGCCTAAATGGGAGGTGGACCCCGGCTGCGGATGCACCAGGCTGAGTGGGCTGCCACGATTCCGGCGCTATTTCCGGAAGATTTACAGCTACGGAGCTTGTAAGCAGACAGAGGCCATTTGTGAAGGCTAATGGAAAGCTCCATAATAGCACTTTATAGAAGCTTATATATATTTGACTCCTAAATTTATATATATATAATATATATATAGAGAGAGAGAGAGAATGAGTAAGCTTCCGGTCCATATGGAGGCAAAGGTAAAAATGTGGAAGGGTTAATGGGGGCATCATTGCCTGGTAAAAGCTCAGAAGGCGCAGAGGGTCAAGTCATCTCAGGAGGCAGGAATAAGGGGAGGAGGCAGGCGGGTGAAAGGAAAGGCGTCTGCTCCATTTAGCTCAATATCATCCGCACTGACTGGCAGCAGCTCACCAGAGCTTCAGACGGGGTCTTTCCCATCCATACCTGGAGATGCTGACTGCTGGACTTGGGAGCTTCGAAGTGCAAAGCAAGTGGAGAGCGGTGGTCCTTCTTTCAAAGTTAAGCTAAGGTTCTAGTCCTCATGGTTCTGAATCAAAGAGCTGGTTTTGAAGAGGAAGTTGCTTTATAGCGAGCCAGACCATTGGTCCTGCCAGTTCAGCTTTGTCTACACTGACTGGCCAGGAATAGTCAGGGTTTTGGGAGGGAGTTTCTCTGCCCTACCTAGAGATGCTGGGGGTTGAGTTGGGACCTTCCATATAAAGGAGGGGCTCAGCACTGAGCCGGATGAGTAAGAGGTGCCATGATAGAAGTGTATAAAACAATGCAGATAAAAGAAAGCCCTTCTTCATGCAGTACATAATTTAACTGTGGAACTCCCTCCCACTGGAGGTAGTGATGTCAATCAACTTGGGCGGCTTTAAAAGAGGACGGGACACATTTGTGGAGGATAACACTATCAATGGCTACTAGCCAGGGTGGCTATGGTCTGCCCTGAGGGATAGCTTAGTTGGTAGTGCACGAGACTCTTAATCTCAGGGTCGTGGGTTTGAGTCCCAGGTTGGGTGAAAAATTCCTGCATTGCAGGGGGTTGGATTAGATGACCCTGCCCCCGGTCCCTTCCAACTCTATAAGTCTGCGATTCCGCCTTCGCGGTCCAGAGGCAGTTATGCTTCTGAATACCTGTTACTGGAAGCTGGAGGAGGGGAGAGGGCTCTTGCGTTCGCCGGTTTCCAATGGGTGTCTGGTTGGTCAGTGTGAGAACAGGATGCTGAACTAGATGGGTCCCCTTAGGCCTGGTCTTCTGAAGGTCCTGTCCATCATTTAGCCTTGGTGGTCCTCTTCAGTGAGGAAAGGCGGAAGTGCTGGTTTGTTAAACTAGTGAGAAAGCAGAGGAAGACCTATGATCAGGTGTATTTTCCTGGGAGTGCAGGAAGAGAAACCCTTTTCTTCCTCACTCTGGATAACCAGAACTCCAGCACACCATGCAAGCAATAGATTTAGGGCAGACTTCTTTGCATGGCAGGAAATTAACCTGTGGAACTCACCGTCCTAAGCCATGGTAATGTCAGGTTTCTAAAAACGACATGAAAATGGGATTGAGCTACTTTATAGGAGATGGGCTTTTCCACGGCTACCAGCCCACACTTTGTTGTTGTTGTTTAGTCGTTTACTCGTGTCGACTCTTCGTGACCCCATGGACCAGAGCATGCCAGCCACTCCTGTCTTCCACTGCCTCCCGCAGTTTGGTCAAACTCATGTTTGTAGCTTTGAGAACACTGTCCAACCATCTCATCCTCTGTCGTCCCCGTCTTCTTGTGCCCTCCATCTTTCCCAACATCAGGGTCTTTTCCAGGGAGTCTTCTCTTCTTGTGAGGTGGCCAAAGTACTGGAGCCTCAGCTTCAGGATCTGTCCTTCCAGTAAGCACGCAGGGCTGATTTCCTTAAGAATGGATAGGTTTGATCTTCTTGCAGTCCATGGGACTCTCAAAAGTCTCCTCCCGCACCGTAATTCAAAAGCATCGATTCTTCGGCGATCAGTCTTCTTTATGGTCCAGCTCTCACTTCCATACACCACTACTCCAGCCTACACTAGCTAAGCTGAACTTCCAGGTTTCTGACCATGCTGCTCTTGGGGTACCAGTGGTTGGAGGGCAGAGAGTTCTCACAGAATCATAGAGTGGGAATTATCTAGTTGCAAGGCAAGAATATGCCCTCGTCCCTTACGGGGATCGAACCTGCAACCTTGATGTTGTCAGCACCACGCTTTGGCCTGTGAGCTCTTGCTTTCGTGCGGTGTTTGTGAGCTTCTCAGGACAGGAACATTCGGTTGGAAACACAGTGGGACTTGGGATATTGGACTAGATGGGCCTTGGATCTGACCCCGAAAGGTGGGGAATCTCCAGCTCTCCAGGGACCATTGGACTATAGTTCCCATTATCCCTGACTTCCTCCCCTCACATGTGTTTTTTGATGCTTTTGCAGATGGGCTTCGTGGTTTTTTTTAAAGGGCTACCAAACTCAAATTAATTTGTGCTGAATACTTTCTCCTCGCCCGCCCCCGCCCTCCCAGAAATGGCTAATTTATATGCTAAGTAGCCTGATGGAAATCGATGGCGCCTGCCGATCAATAGGGGATCCTACGGGCACCATTGACCAGGGCCGGCTAATGGAAGTCCTTTCGAGGCGGCGCCAGCAATGAAAACGGAACAATTAGGGGACGATAAATGGGCCCACTGGATGGGGGCAGGGGGAACGCTTGAGTGCCTCATATTTGAGTGATATGAGTTCATTGCCCCTTCCCCTCCCCTCGTGTAGGAGGGTTCCTCCTCCTCCGTGGTGATTGCCTTTATTTTCTCCTGGGGGTTTCAAGAAGGTTTCAACTGTGTGGTTTGGAGAAACCTCCCCAGTAGCCAAGGCTTGGATGGCTTCAGAAGAAGATCAGACAAATTCATGGAGGGGAGAGCAACCGAGGGCTCCTTGATAGCTATGCTCTGCCTCCACTGTCAGAGGCAGCCATGCTTCTGAAGACCAGTTGTTGGAAACCACAGGAGGGGAGAGTGGTCTTGTGTTCAGGTCCTGCTTCCAGGTTTCCCCCGGGGCATCTGGTTGACCACTGTGAGAACGATCTGGATTAGATGGGTCAATGGCCTATTCCATCAGACTCTTCTTACCACCTTAAGGCTGCAGTGTGGACACACAAACACTAAATATAGTGGCAAGCACAGAATTCAGTTTTCTGATAGGTAGTATTTTTTTCACTTTCTTTTTTGAAAGAGCCACTCAAGTTTCTAGACCTTAAGGTTCTACTCAAGGCAGTCTGGATTCAAGACCCAGTGAAAATTCCAAAGCAAAAGAGGTTGCTGAATGAGACTTTTTTTCAGCGTTCAGAGAGTTTGGGGTTCAGTTTGATCAAGCCGCTGCTTATTTTTGCGAAATCAAATACAGGTTGCAGAATTTCGTGGAATCATAGAATGTAGAGTGGATCAACTAGTCCAACCCTCTGCAATGCAGGAATCACAGCTCAGTAATCCCAGACAGGTGGCCATCAACCTCTGATTAAAAACCTCCACCTTCCAACACAGTCCGTTTTGCTGCTGAAGAGCTCCTACCCTCAGAAAGTTCATCCTAATGTCTAGTCGGAATCTCCTCTCTCGTAATCTGAATCGACTCACTCGGGTCCTGTCCTTTGCGAGCAGCAGAAAAGAAGCTTGCTCCACCTTCCATGGGACAGTCCTTTAGATATCTGAAGACGGCTATCTCCCAACTCCCTCCGCTGTTCCTCATAAAGCTTGGCTTCATTTTTTCTGAGTTACGGTTTTAGTTTGCGTTGGCAAAGCCTGTGTGTGTGAATACTTTAACATCTTAATTTCTTGCTCAGGGAGGCTCTTGGAACTTGGAAATGTCCCTTCCCTTTGTTGGCAGAAGTGGGTTTCTGTGCCCATGCCCCAAGATGTGCTGTTGCCAGCTGGACCGGGATAGATTGCGGCCGCTGCAGGGACATCCCTTTCCCTTCCACCTTTCCGCCGTGCGGTTGTGCCTACCTTGAGCTTGGTCCTTGGTCCTCCCTGCGCTGGGAAGCTCCTGGGCGAGGTGGGCACTCTGTCTTTCCGCACACCCCCCAGGCTCGTATCAGTCTCTTAACGTGTCCCTTGGGAGTCATGCTAAGCCGCTTGGCTGACCCTTTGAGATTAAAAGGAACGTGCGCATGCCACCAGCCCCCTGAAACTATTTGCATGAAATACTGCAGGCAAAACGGCAAGGCCCTGATTGGTGGTTGCTAAGCGACATCATAATCATCAGGAAATTAGGCTCTCTTCTTTATCTCTCTCTCCCCCCCCTCCCTTTCTCTCCCAACCCTGGAGTATCACTGCGATTGCTGGGCTGTGCAAAGGGGGGGGGGAGGTAGTGGAACAAAGGCAGATCGGCAGGAGGAGATCTCAGGCACACGGTTCCCCAAAATGACATCCACTGACAGCAGAGCGGGTGGCGCTTCTTCTGCCGCCAGGAGCTGTGCATTGATTTGTGCCTCTTAGCTTCAGGCTGTGCCCCACTACCAGGGTGCCTAAAACGGTCCTTTTCCAAGCCTGCTGTGGATGTTCAGGTGTGTGGAGAGGATGCTCTTGTCTGTTTCGGGGGATGTGGAGGATTGAAGGAGCAGAGCGTGGAGCTGAGGCTGGGGACCCCTGGGCAGGGGTCCTGCCATCCCTTTGAAGACTGTGCATGCCTTCTGACTTGTGCCACAAATCCTGGTAGCCTGGAGGTAGGTGCAGAGAGCCCGTGGAGGTGGGCTGTGAACTGGGGGGAGAGGTTGTGCTGTTGGCTTTGAAGGCTTTTTTTTTGGTGCGCATGACAGCAAGCTGTTGTGGACCAGAACTGTGCTTACGGTACTTGGTGCGCTCGCCCTGAAACAGTTAGCTTCCTGCTGGGTTTCCTCATTGGGCAGTGCAAGTTTCTAGACCTCAAGGTCACAGAGTAGAATTTTGCAGGCAGTGTACAGCCAGCGGGATTCCAGTGGGCTCCTAGGCTTTCATGTGCTAGATAATTGTGTTATTTCCACCCACGTGGATATCTGGGATGGAGTAACGTGATCGCGGGAGGTCTTAAACGAGGCTTGTGGATGGCAAGTCAAGAGGCTTGGAGATGAAGATCTGCAACGACTAGATTTAGAAGTAAAGGCAGGGGGAGGGAGAAAGAGAATTAAGAAGTGTAATAAACTTGTGGAACTCACTGCTGCTAGAAGTAGCTGTGGCAGCTGTGAAAGGAAAGGATAGACCAGGCATAGGCAAACTCAGCCCTCCAGATGTTTTGGGACTACAACTCCCATGATCCCTAGCTAACAGGACCAGTGGTCAGGGATGATGGGAATTGTAGTCCCAAAATATCTGGAGGGCCGAGTTTGCCTGTGCCTGGGATAGACTCACAGAGGAGGCATCTGTCAGTGACTCTGAGCAATGATGCGTAAGCAAGAACCCCCCCCCCCCCATGTTCACCTGCAGTCTACCTCAGAGTAACAGATGCTGCAGATAAATAACAGGGTCTTATTTTTTTATTTACAATTTCACTACATTTATATCCCACATTTCCCCAAGGAGCTCTAAGATTCCTCGTAGAATCACAGAATTGTAGAGTTGGAAGGGACCCCAAGGGCCATGTAGTCCAACCCCCTGTAATGCAGGGATTTCAGCTCTTATCCCTCACATCCCATTTTCTCTTCACAACAGTCCTGTGAGGTAGGGCTTCCATATGTCTGGAATTTCCTGGACATAGCCAGAATATGGCAATTGGAAACAGTGTCCAGGCATATGGCAACCCATGTTGGAGGTTTGGGCAAATTTCCTTAGAAATAGCTCAAAACCTCTTTTTTTTTTTTTTTTTTTGAGATTTTGCAAAACACCTTTGCAAAAAAGAAAAAGAAAAAAAGAGCTCAACTTTTGTGTCCGGATTTTCACATTTTGAAATATGGCAACCCTAGTGAGAGTGAATGATTCGCCCAAGGACACCCACTGAGTGTGGATTTGAAGCTTGGCCTCCCAGGTCCTAGTCCAACGCTCTCACCACTATGCAACGCTACCTCAAAGCTTTTGGAGAGCACTAGGCTGAGGAAGGCTAGAACAGATAAGTGCCCAGCTAGGTCGGCTGAAGGACGATGAGGCAGCTTCTTGTGCATCATGTCTTACGGTTTGCCAGGGTTTTCCTGCTCCACTATATCTTTCACTCCAGTTTCGGGCAAATACCTTATTAATCTCCGCTTTTTCTTCCTTATAAAAGACTTTAAAACAAAAAAACAAACAAAACAAAAAAACAACTTCCAGGTGTTAAAGGTCATAGCTAAGCCCTCCCCACAAGGGGCAGGTGAGATTATACCATTTCATTCCTTTTTTCCTACAATTGTTTGTACGATTGCCTTCCTCGTTGTCATATTCCATTGGTCTGTGCTTTGCTTTGTGTGAATCTTGAGGTCTAACTAACAGGCTTTTAGGGACGTTTTGACTCTAAGTAAAAAGTAAAGCAAAGCAAAGCAAACGCAAGCATTGGACAGATTAAGATGAGTTTCTGAATGATGCATTTTGCTGCTGGATTCATTTTGCTGTTTATTGGGTCTGTTTTTTTGGATTTTGGTATTTTATTGTTTTTAATTGTCATGTGTTTTTCTTTTTTCTTTTGGTTTTATACTTTTTAAAAAAAGTTTTCATATTGCTTATGGACATTTTACTTGTGCCCAGAATATTAGGTGTGTCAGGCTGCGATCCTAAACAGACTTACTATTAAACAGATATTGTATGTGTTAGGGTTGCCATATTTCAAAAAGCGCAAACCCGGACACAGTTTTTTTGCCCAAAATTTGAAGTTTTTGAGCTGTTTTTAAGAAAATTCACCAAAATTTACACTTCTGACATCTGTTGCCATATGTCCGGACCCTAGTGTGTGTGCATGCAGAAGGCTTCAGTGACCCAGTCTATTTTTTAAAATTTATTTATTATTATGAAGCACTTCCGGATGCATACACTAATGGCTCACCTAGCACCAAGAGCCCCCCCCCCCCCGGCAACTTTTTAAAGAAACTACCTAGCCTGATAAAGAATTCTTCCTGCTCTATTTCACAGCATTTTGTTTGGTCTCACAAAGGTTTTGCCCTAATATGGGTGCTAAAACCTGTATTATTTAAATATTTTGAAAATTTCAAAACTCTGTACATATATTAAGAAATAAGGCAGTCCCTGTCTGCAGTCAATTACCAGAGGGGTTGGGGCAAGATGCATGATGCAAAAGAAAAATGGAATTATGGAGTAGCCTGTTTTTTGTTGGCAGATGGATTTGCCATGATGGACTTCCTGGCAGCCCTAGGGCAGCTGGCAGTTGGAGCAGTCTATTTGCGGAAAGAAAATGGGTTACCTCATTTCAAACCATTTCCCCACCTTACCTGCTTTCCAAACTGCCATTGCATCTGTGCACTTTCTAAAGTACCGTATTTTACCACTGGAAGCGCATCAAAACCCAAAGCCTTATGAGAAACAGTTGAGGGAGTTGAAGAAGAAGAGGGGACTGAGATGTGATATGATAGGTAAAGGTAAAGAGACCCTTGACCATTAGATCCAGTCGTGGCCGATTGTGGGGTTGCGGCATTCATCTCGCTTTATTGGCCAAGGGAGCTGGCGTACAGCTTCTGGGTCATGTGGCCAGCATGACTAAGCCGCTTCTGGCGAACCAGAGCAATGCACGGAAACGTCGTTTACCTTCCCGCCAGAGCGGTACCTATTTGTCTACTTGCACTTTGAAATGCTTTTGAACTGCTAGGTTGGCAGGAGCAGGGACCGAGCAACGGGAGCTCACCCCGTCACGGGGATTCGAACCGCCGACCTTCTGATCGGCAAGTCCTACGCTCTGTGGTTTAACCCACAGTGCCACGAATAGCCACCTTCAAATATCTGAAGGGCTGTCTCATGGAAGGAGGAGCAAGCTTGTTTTCTGCTGCTCCCAAAGGGCAGGACCCAAACCATTCAATTCAAATTACAAGAAAGTGAACACTCTGAAGAACTTTCTGAGGGTAAGAGCTGTTCAACAGTGGAAGAAGGCGGTGGTTGGAGGTATTAAAACAGAGGCTGGATGGCCACCTGTCAGGAATTCTTTAGCAGGGATTGCAAGGGGTTGGACTGGATGACCTTTGGGGGGGGTCCCTTCCAACTCTGTGATTCTGTGAATTTATCTATCATCCTTCTGGAACCTCCCTTATGGCTGTGTGCCCTAAGCTGCTCAACCAGCTTTGTAAATGGTTGGGACCAGAAGCTCCCTTCTTTAGTCCAGCGGTGCGGCAAAACTCTACACCCTGAGGGCCGGATTGCCTTCTGGTCAGCCTTCCAGGGTCCACGTGCTGGGGAGGGGGGGCAGAGGCAAAAATAGGCAGAGCAGCAAGTGTGAATTTTTACCTTTGCGTAGCCGGCTAGTTCTCAGGACTCCCACATCTGTGTCCCATCCAGGCAAGCAATAGGCATTGTCCAAGTGCAAGGACATATTCCAGTCAGGCAAAACAACTCAAGGAGGGTGCTAGGCTTGGCCATGGAAGGGTTTGGGGAGAGCTCTGAGGGGGAAGCCAGGAGCTCTGGAGGGCCGGCCCCTGACTGCTGTGCCTTGGAGCACAAATCTTCCGTCAACACCATCGCTGAGGTAGTAGATAGCTCAGCGAATATGTTAGCCTAGTGTGTGGCCGCTGGGCAAAAGGCAAATTCCATGCTAGGGATTATCAGGAAAGGAAATGAAAACTAAAGTGCCAATATCACAATGCCATTACACAAATCTACAGTGAGACCGTATTTGGAATAATACTGTGTACGGTTCTGGCGCCTCACCTCAGAATTATTGTAGAGTTGGAAAAGGTTCAGAAAAGGGCCACGGAAATTTTCAAGTGGATGGAGAGTGACTCCCCTATGAGGAAAGGTTGTGGCATTTGGGGTTTTTTAGTTTGGAGAAAGCTTTAAAAATGATACATGGCATGGAGCAAACAGACAGGCAAACATTTATTTCCCTCACTCATAACACTAAAATTCAGACATCCAACGAAGGTGAACGTTGGAAGATTTGGGACTGATAAAGGACTTCGTCACGCTGCGCATAAACTGTGGAACTCACTGCCACAGGGACAGTCACCAACCTGGATGGCTTTAAAAGAGGGTTGGGCAAATGCATAGAGGGAGAGGGCTGTTGATGGCTATTCGCCATAATGCCCTTGACAGTCAAAGGCAGCCATGCTTCTGAATCCCAGTTGCTCCTCTGACGTTCTTATGAGGTGAGCTTTGCTCTCAGGGTGGATCCTCTGGTAACCTGCTTTTTCATCTCCTCACAGCTGTAGCCGGCTGGCCACCCGCACCCACGCACCCCGCCATCTTGGCCTCCGCCCGTCCTCTGCCGCCTCTCGGGTGCCCTGGATGGTTACCATGGAGAACGAGCAGCTGCCAGCCCCCCCTCCGACCAGCAGCGCCACGGCAGCCACGGCCACCAGCAATGGACGCCAGGCAGGGCCACAAATCTCTGTGTACGGAGGGATCCCCGATCGCCAGACCGTTCAGGTAAGTGGAAAGGCCCTCCTGTTCGGAGGAGCTAAGGCAGACGGGGAGAAGACGCCCCAGGCTTGAACCAGGATAATCCAACCCCTGCTTGCCTTTGTGTCTGATCCAGCTGAGGAGTTGTGCATATTGTATTGTTGTTTTATTACATTTACAGTATATCCCACCTTTTCTCCCCCGTCTTTCATTTTGCCCTTGGCATACAAGGCGCTCCCTTTCTTCATTTAATCCTCACAACAACCCTGTGAGGTAGGTTAGCCTGAGAGGTCAGCAACTGGCCCCCAAGGTTGCACCTAGGGAGATTCACGGCCTATGAGTGGGGATTTGAACCCTGCTCTCCCTGGTCCAACTCACTAGCCACAAAATTGACTCTCACTTATATTAGATTAATACAGTGGTGCCTCGCAAGACGAAATTAATTCGTTCCGCAAGTTTTTTCTTCTTGCGAGTTTTTCGTCTTGCGATGCACGGTTTCCCATAGGAATGCATTGAAAATCAATTAATGCGTTCCTAGGGAAACCGACTTCAGACCAGGTCCGGGGACAGTCTGTCCCCCGACCTCTTCTGAAGGCTGGGGGGGACAAGGGCTTTTCTTCCCACTCCACCCCAGCATTTTAAAACCCGGGACAGCGGAGGGCTTCTCCGCTGTCCGGGGCGATCTTAAAATGCTGGCGGGCGGCATTTTAAAATTGCTCCGGGACAGCGGAGGACTTCTCCGCTGTCCGGGGCAATTTAAAGCCCCTGGGAAGGCAGGCAGGGGGACAAAGACTTTTGCCCCCGCCAGCCTTCAGAAGAGGTCCTGGACCTCTTCTGAAGGTTGGCGGGGGGCGAAAGTCTTTGTGCCCCCCCCACCTGCCTTCAAAAGCTGTCCAGCCAAGGCTGCGTGACCTCTCCGCAAGCAGCGGCAGCACTGCCGCTGCTTGCGGAGAGTTGCCGGCATGCCGAGGCCTGCGCGCGCTGAGATCAGCGCGCCCAGGCTTCGCGGACCTCTCCGCGAGCAGCGGCAGCGCTGCCGCTGCTTGCGGAGAGTTGCCGGCATGCCGAGCCTGCGCGCGCTGAGATCAGCGCGCCCAGGCTTCGCGGACCTCTCCGCGAGCAGCGGCAGCGCTGCCGCTGCTTGCGGAGAGTTGCCGGCATGCCGAAGCCTGCGCGCGCTGAGATCAGCGCGCCCAGGCTTCGCGGACCTCTCCGCGAGCAGCGGCAGCGCTGCCGCTGCTTGCGGAGAGTTGCCGGCATGCCGAGCCTGCGCGCGCTGAGATCAGCGCGCCCAGGCTCAGCGGGACCTCTCCGCGAGCAGCGGCAGCGCTGCCGCTGCTTGCGGAGAGTTGCCGGCATGCCGAGGCCTGCGCGCGCTGAGATCAGCGCGCCCAGGCTTCGCGGACCTCTCCTGCCTTCAAAAGCCGTCCGGGATAGCGGGAAGCGCTTCCCTGCTATCCCGGACTGCTTTTAAAATGCTGGCGGTGGGGAGCAAAGCCATTCGGCCCCCGCCCGCCTTCCTGGACCTCTTCTGAAGGCCGGAGGGGGGGGGGGAGGCGTTGCTCCCCCCCGCTAGCCTTTAAAAGAGGTCCCCGGAGATTTCCCTATGGGCTTTCGTCTTGCGAAGCAAGCCCATAGGGAAATTCGTTTTGCGAAGCGCCTCCAAAACGGAAAACCCTTTCGTCTAGCGGGTTTTCCGTCTTGCGAGGCGTTCGTCTTGCGGGGCACCACTGTACGCTGCCTTTCCCCCCCATGTATCTCAAGGCAAAGTACTTGGTTGCCCTGCCCTGCCCTGCCCCTTGTTAATTTCTGTTCATCCTGACAACAGCTCTATGAGGTAGGTTAGGCTGAGAGATAGTAACTTACCCAAGGTCCCCCAGTGAACCTTGGAGATGAGAAGGGATCTGAACCCCGGTCTCTCCTGGGTCCTAGCCCAGCGCTCTAACCACTACACCATGCTGCCTCTTGCAGAAGTGGGAGCGTGTGCAAGCATAGGCAGCCTGGGCCATTTGGGGCTGTTTGAATGCAAGAACATCCCTGATGGGTCAGGCCAATGGAGTCCTTCCAGCGTGGCAACCTGACTCCCATTTGGGAGGCCTATGCAATGCCTACTTACTTTCACACACACATACACAGTATCAAGGAAAATCTGGACTATTGACTCCTGTTGTCATTCTTGTCATCCTCCTTATTATTCTATTTATTATGATTGATTTTTAAATCGTTTTCTAAACCACTGTCTCAAGGTGATTTACCTATAAGATATTTAAGAACAGTTAGAAACACAAAAACAACATACCCGTATATACTTGAGTATAAGCCGACCCGAATATAAGCCGAGGCACCTAATTTTACTACAAAAAACTGGGAAAACTTATTGACTCGAATATAAGCCGGCTCACCACACCACAAACCTGGTGGTAGCAGCAGTGGCAGAGGAAGAACAAGCAGCCCGAAAGGGCTGCTTTTGGGTTGCTCGTTCCACTTCCGCTGCCCCCGACAGCGGCAAAGGCAGAGGAGGAAGAAGGAGCAGCCTGAAAGGACCTCACTCGAGTATAAGCAGAGGGGGGCTTTTTCAGCATAAAAAATGTGCTGAAAAAGTCGGCTTATAATCGAGTATATACGGTAGTCCATTTAAAACAAGACTGGTGGTAAAGAGCCCTTTTTTCCAGCTGGGAAAGCCAGTCAGAACAAAAACGGCTTCATCTGTTTCCAGAAAGTGCAGCTAGTGGGCACCTAGGGATGCTATTCCACAGGGCAGGGGCAGCCACACTAAAAGCCCTGCTCTGAGTTACTGCAGGGATCTTTAGAACTTGCAGGAGAAACTCTCCCGCAGACTGCAGTGAGCTACTGGGTGTATAAGGGATAATAAGACGAGTTTGAACTCATCGAGCCTTTCTACAAATAAACCACCAAGAACTGCAGAATTGGCTGCGCTGTAATGCATGGAATCTGAACTGAATATTTTATTTAAAAAATATTGTGCATATTGGTGTGTTCTCTCTGGTCCTCTCGCATCAATTTTATTTGGTATCGGTGAGGCAGCATCGCCCCCTAGTGGGTCTTGGAGAGCAGTTGCATGTAACTTCTTGAGTGTGTGTGTGTTTGTCTCTGACTTGAGAGAACAGCTGATGCTCCATGCAAAATTAATGACCGAAGGGGACTTGTGCCTTGATGACTGTCAAATGTTGGACATTTGGGAGATAACCCATCCTAAGAGGAGCCTGCTGTGTTTTTCTCCTCCATAAGCTGCTGATCTTAGCATGCCTCCTGGTTGGGAGATGGCCACCTTGGAGCAGGGACTCGTTCAGGAGTGTAATGAGCAGCCTCCTCTGAGGGCAAGTCGTTCTGCCATGTCTCTGGCTGAACCATCTAAAAACCAGCCAATGGGCCAAACCGTTCTGCCCTGGAAGGAGGGTCACCTGCCGCCTCTCTCTCTCTCTCTCTCTGTTGTTTGCTTTGTTCTCCCAGTTTTAATTTAGTTGTTTGGAAGTTTTGGTTGGTTGGCAACAGCAGTGGATTTTATTTTTTATTTGCCAACTGGAAGGACGCGGGTGGTGCTGTGGTCTAAACCACAGAGCCCAGGGCTTGCCAATCAGAAGGTTGGTGGTTCGAATCCCTGTGACGGGGTGAGTTCCCGTTGCTCGGTCCCTGCTCCTGCCCACCTAGCAGTTCGAAAGCATGTCAAAGTGCAAGTACAGTGGTACCTCAGGTTACATACGCTTCAGGTTACAGACTCCGCTAACCCAGAAATAGTACCTCGGGTTAAGAACTTTGCTTCAGGATGAGAACAGAAATCGTGTGGCGGCGGCGCAACAGCAGTGGGGAGGTCCCATTAGTTAAAGTGGTACCTCAGGTTAAGAACAGTTTCAGGTTAAGATCAGACCTCTGGAACGAATTAAGTATTAACCCAAGGTACCACTGTTGATAAATAGGTACCACTTTGGCGGGAAGGTAAATGGTGTTTTCATGCTCTGCTCTGGTTCGCCAGAAGCGGCTTAGTCATGCTGGCCACATGACTTGGAAGCTGTACGCCGGCTCCCTTGGCCAGTAAAGCGAGATGAGTGCCGCAACCCCAGAGACGGTCACGACTGGACCTAATGGTCAGGGGTCCCTTTACCTTTACCTAAAGTGCTTCCCAGCCCAAATCTACCAAGGCAGTTTGCAGTAAGATGAAATAGTAGAATCATAGACTTGAAAGGTACCGCCAAGGGTCATCTAGTCCAACCCCCTGCAATGCAGGAGTCGCAGCTAAAGAATCCCTGACAGATGGCCACCCAAACTCTGCTTAAAAACCTCCAATGAAATAGAGTTGGCCACCTTCCAAGGCTTTTAAGTCCTCCACCCCTTTTTAAAATAACAATAGTGGGGTTTTTTTCTTCATTTTCCGATACACAACGAGAGCCTGCTTTTTCCTTAGCTTTGAAGTTTTGGATTAAAAATCCGTTTGAGATGGTTCGTTTACAAATGAAACAACTTGGTCTTCCTGTGTGCAGCTGGGAGCAAGCAATGCCTGTCTCTCAGCCAGGATGCTGGGGAAAAGGCTTTGGATCTATGTTTAATAATGAGATTGGCCTGTAGGTGTCCATTTATTCAACGTCTTTGTTTGGGTTGGGTGGAACCATAATGATAGGGGGTCCCTCCAAGAACCCAGGGTGGGTCCATCTTGCCTAATACCGTTAAACAAAATACCAGGAAAAGGGTAGGAACTCAGCATATAGATAGATGGATCGATCTATCTATCTATCTATCTATCTATGAGAGAGACAGCTATATAGAAGGGTGTGTGGGTGTGTAAACAAACAAACAAACCTTCTATATAGCTGTCCCAGCCAGGAGCCTTCCTGGGTTTCAAACTATTTATTTCTCTGGTGGTTTTTTTTTTGTAAAGGATCTGATTAAATACTGTATACAATTTCATCTTTCTCCAGTTTGTGCAGTCCCAGTTTGTCTAGATACACACCTGTGTTGTTAAAGGAAAACAAATGGCAGTCTCTCTTTAAAATGCCCCAGTTTTTTTGCTCCTGAGCAGAGATCTTCTTTGTTTCCATGCTGTGTGGGTTTGATTTCACCCCTCCCCTTGTTTTTGCTTTCATCTAAAAATGGGAATTTCCTTTGGGCAACTCTGCTTCTGGAGGTGAATGGGAAGTGAGCTGCGCTTCGGATTGTCCTGCATCCTTGCGAGGTGCTGAATGGAAACTTTATCCTGGGCCGCCTCTCCAGCTCCCCGCCCCCCTTGCTCGTGGGGGTCGGAGGCCAAAGGCCAAGGGTCACCTTTGTCTTCACCCAGGGAGGCGGGGATTTCCTGGAGACAGCCTCTGGAAAGCGGGGGAAATCTGGGGCCAGAGGAATTGGGGGCGTGGATGGCAGCAAGGGGGCTGGGCAGGAGAACTCCCTTCGTCCTTTTGAGTATCATGTCCCCCAAAGCTGTGTGTTAGGATCTCCTTGTGCAAAGAGGCTCTTAGCTTTTGCTGCTGGGTCTGCCTGCCTCTTCACCCTCCTGGGCCACCCATCGTCCGAGGCCTCTCATCCCGGAGTCCTTGAAGAGGCCCAGCTGTCTTGGGTCTTCCCCGCGGGGCGTAAGTACCCTCATTTTCTGCAAGAGCTTTCGACAGCTTCTCTGCCCAGAAGACTGCATGATTCTGGGGGGTGGAAAGGGTGGAATGGGGTCCCCTCGCTTGGTTTGGAAGCTGCCAGAGTCCAGCATCTCCCACCAGTTTGGGGGTGGTGAGCATTGGAAGCACAAATGTGGTTCCCTGCCTGCTCCAATAGAGTTTATTTATTTTATTGCATTTATAGGCCATTTGTTTTTTCTCAAGGAGCTCAAGGTGGCACATGTGGTGGTTTTTGCTGAAAGAGGCAGTGACTGGCCCCTGAGTGAGCTTCATGGCCAAGTGGAGATTTGAACCTTGGCCTCTCAGGTCCAAATTCTCAATTAAACCCCACAACAATGTTGTGAGGGAAGAGCGAGTGATTGGCCAAAGGTCATCCAGTGAGCTTCATGGCCAAGTGGGGATTTGAACCCTGGTCTCTCCCAGGTCCTAGGAACAAAAGGGTTGGGGTTTTTTTTGGGGGGGGGGGTGTTTTCATGCCAGGCCACACCATCCTATGGAACTCTTTGCCACAAGATGGTGGAGATGCTGGGAAAAGGTTCTCCCCTCAGCCCTTTCCTTGCTTTTGTTGCCTTCCCAGGCTTGCAACTGCTGCAGGGAAGTAGCTCTGTGCCCTAAAAGTGAGGGGGGGGGAATTGGCCTTCCTATTTTAAGCTCCACGGTATCTTGCAAATGGGGAAGGGATGGAGCCCTGTGATGGAGCCTCTGCTTTGCATACAGAAGGTCCCAGGTTCCATACCCAACGGCATCTCCAGGTAGAGGTGGGAAAGAGTCCCTACCTGAAATCCTGGACAGCCTCTGCCAGTCCGTGTAGACAGTACTGAGCTAGATGGACCCAACAGTTTGGCTCAGGGGAAGGCAGTGTTGTAAACAAAATCTGCCCCTTTTCCCTTATGGGGTGTCCAAGAGCCCATATAGAGTCCTTACATAGGTTCCCTATTGGTAGGAGAAAATAATAGAGGCCAACCAGAGAATATGGAGAAGCAAAGCAGCTAGTAAGCCTGGTCTTTATTGATCTGTTGCAACAGGGTGCTCCCCTCACACGCAGGAAAGGAGGAGGAACCCAGAACAATGGCGCGCAAGGCCTTATAAAGACATTTTAAATTCCCTGCCCTGGAGCTCAAGACCACCCCTCCATACATCATACATAATCACAGAAGGGGTGTAACCCAAGACCACCCCCCACATACCTACATCACAGAAAAGGTGGTCTAAAACAGAAATCTGAGTGACTTGTTTATCTTGTCTGACAGGTTACCTGTTTAATGGTCACTTGATTGGATTGCCTGCTTACTTGATTGGATACCCTGGGGAGCCTGGCCAGTCTTTTGTAATGATAAATACTTAGTAATGATAAATACTTAGTTCCTGAGTCAGGTCACAGGCTCACCCTATTCAAACACAGACATATCCTTAAGACAGGATTTGTGAAGGAAAAGACAATGGGGAGGCTTTTCCATTTTCCTTTGACCTTGCAGAAAAAACATTTGGTCAGTTTTTGGGACAGTTTGGGAATCAAGAATGGTTCCAGGTCGGTCTTCCTGTGCTGATCTACGTACGTGCTTGGTTGGTACACTTATGAACATTTAACATATATCTAAGCCCTCAAAATTCCTATCACAGCAGTTTCCTATGTACTCTGCACACCAAATCATTGTTGTATCTGCCAGGAGAGATGGTGTTTGTGGGAATTGTAGCATTGTAGAGTTGGAAGGGAACCAAAGGGGCAACCCTCATGTGATTCTTTCCTTGATGGGGGGTTATAAGGGTGGGAAAAGGTCATGGTCCCCCAAGCCATTTATGTTGATGCTTCCAGGGGAGGAAGGTTTATTACTGTTATTGTTGCAGGGCTAAAGATCCAGGTTGTTTGTGTAGCTGTGTCTACGGCTTTCTTGCCTGCTTGCTTGTGCCCGTGTTTTGTGGGGGTCACTTGTGATGTATATCATACCCCCGGGGTAGGGTGGGGGTGGGAGGAGGCTGGGAAAGTCTGTCCTCAGCTTTGGCTGTGTTTCTGGGTTGAAATATGCCCCATTCGCACCTTTGGCTCTCTAGTGAAGTTGCCTTTTGGTGAGGGTCTTTGTTTTTGTTCTGGTTTAATTTTTGAGGCAAGTTTCTAGTCCACTTTATGTCTGCAAAGGCTGGTTTGTAGGCGGCAGCTGCAGATATGGAGGTGAAATTGCAAAAAGTCGGAAAGAGGTTTGCGATGGGATGAAGTAGCCTGTTTTATTTGCTCAATTCTGCTCCTTCCCTTATCCCATACTGATGCCCCAAATCAGCCATGTCAGGCAGCCTCTGTAAATAGATGGAGAAGCATCCTGTTATCACAGTGGCCAACCAGATGCCCCAGTTGGGAAGCACACAAACAGGACCTGAGTACAACAGTGCCCACCCCCTCCTGTGATTCACAGCAACTGGGATTCAAAAGCATTGCTGCCTCTGAGCGTGGAGGCAGAGCAGAGCCATTGTAGCTATAGCCACGGACAACCTTCTCCATGAATTTATCCCATCCTCTTTTAAAGCCATCCAAGTTGGTGACCCTCACTGCCACCAGTGGGAGGGAGTTTCCTAGTTTAACTACGTGCTGCATAGAGAAGTCCTGTCTTTTTACCTCTCCTGAAACTTCCGACATTCAGCTTCATTGGATGTCCACGAATTCTGGTGTGATGGGGAGAGGGAGAAAACCTTTCCCCTCTCCACTTCCTCAGTGCCCTGCATCCTTTTACACACCTCTAGCATGTCCCTTCTTCCTTGGCTTTAAAGGCAAAGCCTTCAAATATTGTCACCCTTTTGGTCATTGCACCCTGTGATAAGAATTTTAATGTGGTACCTCAGGTTACATATGCTTCAGGTTACAGACTCGGCTAACCCAGAAATAGTGCTTCAGGTTAAGAACTTTGCTTCAGGATGAGAACAGAAATCGTGCTCCGGCGGTGTGGCAGCAGCAGGAAGGCCCCATTAGCTAAAGTGGTGCTTCAGGTTAAGAACAGTTTCAGGTTAAGTACGGACCTCTGGAACAAATTAAGTACTTAACCTGAGGTACCACTGTATATCAAATGTTCATAAATGTACCAACCAAGCACATACATAGATCAGCACAGAAAGACCGACCTGAAACCATTTTTGATTCCCAAACTGACCAAATGTTTTCCCTGCAAGGAGGGAGGGGGGTCATGGAGCCTTCCCATTGTCTCAGGAATTGAGTAATCAGCATTTTAATGGGTGACAGACTATCAAGAAAACAATCAGGAAAGGCAATCAAATAACCAGGCAAACAGTAAAAACAACATTCAATTTTCTATTTTAGACCACCTTTTCTGTGATGTAGGTATGTGGGGCATAGCTGTCAACTTACAGATTTGAAAATAAGGGACCAGCAGCCTTGAAAATAAGGGACCAGCAGCCAAAATAAGGGACCTGGAGCCTCAACTGTTCCAGGCACTCCAGTCTTCCTGTCCTCCTGCAGTCTGGTCAAACTCATGCTGGTAGCTTGAACACTGTCCAACCAACTTTGTAACCAGAGGTTCAACTGAATAGAATCTGAATCACATGCACCACAAGGCCTATGCAGCCTCAACTTAAGATGGCTCCCCGGCCTGGCTTTGCACTGCAAAGTTTGCAGCAGCACGTGCAACAAAATGGCGTCCAGCATTCAAAAAACCCCTCAGCTTGCATTAACTAGCCACACACAAGGCATTCAAGCTCCACCCCCCAGTTGTTCTTAGACTTCTTATTGGGTGAGCAACACAGCCAAGCAACACAGTTGGAGCCTCCCTCCTCCCTGGACGGCAGGGAGGGAGGGAGAGGAGCTGCTTCATTTGAAATTTAAGGGACATCATTTAAGGGACATTTAAGGGACATCCATCAATAAGGGACAGCAGCGGGACATGGCGCTGGAATAAGAGACTGTCCCTTCAAATAAGGGACACTTGACAGCTATGATGTGGGGGGTGGTCTTGGGTTACACCCCTTCTGTGATGTATGTATGATGTTTCTGGGAGTGGTCTTGGACTCCAGGGTGGGCAATTTAAAATGCCTATATAAGGACGGGCAGGGATGCGGGTGGCACTGTGGGTTAAACCGCAGAGCCTAGGACTTGCCCATCAGAAGGTCGGAGGTTCGAATCCCCACGATGGGGTGAGCTCCCATTGCTCGGTCCCTGCTACTGCCAACCCTAGCAGTTCGAAAGCACGTCAAAGTGCAAGTACATAAATAGGTACTTCTCCGGTGGGAAGGTAAACGGCGTTTCCGTGCGCTGCTCTGGTTCGCCAGAAGCAGCTTAGTCATGATGGCCACATGACCCGGAAGCTGTACGCCGGCTCCCTCGGCCAATAAAGCGAGATGAGCGCCGCAACCCCAGAGTTGGTCATGACTGGACCTAATGGTCAGGGGTCCCTTTACCTTTATAAGGACGGGCACACCTTGGTCCTGGGTTCCTCCTCCTTTCCTGCGTGTGAGGGGAGCACCCTGTTGCAACAGATTAATAAAGATCAGGCTTACTAGCTGCTTTGCTTCTCAATATTCTCTGGCTGGCCTCTGTTATTTTCTCCTACCAATAGGGAACCTACGTAAGGACTCTATCTGGGCTCTTGGATAACCCATAAGGGGAAAATTGCAGATTTTTGTTTACAACAACTTCAGAACTGTCTGCCATGCCCCTGGAGCTCCTTGGGGTGCTTGTTTTGGGTGCACATAAGTCTTTCTTTTTAAAAAAGGAAGCTTCCGAGGAACTGTTTTTTTTGTTCTATTGCTTTAGCACTATTGCCCCCCCCCCTCCAGCAAGGAAGGGGCTGTGGGGAGTGCCCAAAAGGTTTGCTTAAGACTCCCTGGGTCTCCATGAATGCTGGCAGAGGGCAGAAGTGATGGATGGAGGATTTCGTTCCTTGCAGGCAGCTTGGAAATTCTCTGCAAGGTCAAAGTTCTCAAGACCCTTGCTGATGCCGGTTAACCTTTGACCTCCCCCCCCCTAAAAAACTGCTCCTTTCGGTGGAAGCTTGGCAATACTATGAGGTATTTAAACTCCCATCCAAACCTTTATTCTGTCATTCTCAAGATGATAGATAGATAGATAGATAGATGATAGATAGATAGATAGATGATAGATAGATAGATATATGAAAATATATTGGATCTGCATTATTATGACAAAATATAACACACACACACACACACACACACACAGTATATTGGCTTCATATTTTCATAGCTGTAACAAACTTTTCTTTAGGTTGGTGGTACTCTTAATTTTATTAACAGGAGGGAATATCCCACACTTTCTATTTTATAGAGCAAGTGTGAGGATTTCTGTCTCTTCGCAAATTTTGTAGTTTCAAGTGTCTCGATTTATTTATCAGCTCAGTAAATAGGTCTCCCTCCAGCGTGAATATCCTTGTTTTTGTATTCTGCGATGTGTGTCAGTGAGAAGGCTGCTGTTTTCTGTTGCACTCAACTCATCGTTGATTACCCTTTAAATGTGAATTTCAAACTTGCTTAGGGTTCTGTTGTTGTTGTTTTGCAGTTTTAATGATTTGCATTTCTGGGTGAGATCCTACTGTGCTGTCCTGCTTGTGGAGCAAACTTCCTGCTTGTGCAAACAGGGTGTCTCTTTCTGCTCCCCAACCTCATGGAGGGTTTTGGAACCCATCAGATTTGTGGGCTCAATGCTGGAGCTCACCTTAAATGTTCTAATGCCCTCCTGGATTAGTGATCTTGGTGGTTTTTTTAGAGTGTGTGTGTGTAGTTTTTCATTAATGTAACATCAAAATTGCAAAAAATACAAACAAAATCCCCCAAATGTTACAAAACATAATACAGGAGCAATACACAGCTTGCGTTTTCCAAATAAAGGTAGAGCAGATAATGGAGATAGATAAAAGCAGAAAAACACACCAGAAAAGCCAAAATTCGCAATTTGGTTGTATTTGGCACGTAAGAAATGGAATTCCACAAAACAGTGCAGAAATTTCTGAGGTTTTCCTCACTCTTAGAAGCACATAACTTGACAGTTCTTTTCTCTGCAGTAGTCTGAGTCCACATATTCTTGGGCAGCAATATGAGGTCTAGGTTTTCTTTCTGGGGCAAATTTGTTTTGTAATTTTATACTAAATTAATGTGTGTGTGAGTGTGTGCACGCATAATAATTCTTAAGCATCCTCCGCAGAAATCCTTTCTGAGCATAAAAGTGCCTCCAGCTTTTAGCTCGCAGGGCCAGGGGGTGGGATTTGTGCCCCCCCCAACCCAATGTGTGACAGTGAGAAGGGCCACGGAAAGATGGGATGCATCTCTCCTCTCCTTCCACCATGTGGCAAATTGCTTTGAATGTAGATTACATGCTGCTTTCACGCCTGGTGTGGTAATGCTTTCCCGGGGCTTGAATTTCCCAGACTCTATTCACCCCCCTTATTTTTTCTGTGGGGGTGGGAAACCGTTTTGCCCACAGCTGCGTTTGCACTTAACTCCCCATCCCACATGGTGCGCACACAGCCTTTTGGGGAGGGTCCCTTAGCTCAGTGGAGTTGCACACTTTCCTCACCCTGGAGTCATTTTCGGTTCTAAAAGGATCTTGGGTTGCTGGGCTGGGAAAGGTTTCTGCCTGTCTCTCTGCCTTGGGACCCCGGAGAGAGCAGCTGTCCGTCAGGGTGGCCACAATGCTCAGACAGACCAATGGTGTGACTCAATATGCCATGGTTATTATGATATTTAGAACCCGCCTTTTGCCAGCTGCAGGAACCCCCTCCCAAACACATTTTAAAGGCTGTAGATCAGAATGCAGAACCAGCGGGATTAACAGCAAAAGATTATAGAGACCAAAATGGGGGAAAATTCGAGGATGGGACACCTTTTATTGAATATTCAAAGAGTTACTATAGCGAGATGAAAACATGAGCAGGACTCGAAATACGAGTGACGGCGTTCGTTATTAAGATACATAGGTTAAAATGGATGTATAGAATAGCGTATGAGAAATATACAGCATTCAAGGGTGATATGAAAACCATGGAAGGGGAGGACGGGAAGTCAATGGATAAAGTAAATTTAGGTCCATGTTAAGAATTTGCAAAGCTTTTTTTGTGTGTGTGAAAAATAAGATTATAAATAAATGAATATAAGGCCAAAATCAGCCAAAAATCCTTCTTCCTAGGGAACTCTGGGAATTGTAGCTGTGCAAGTGGGTCTCCTAACAATGCTCAGCACCCTTAACAAACTCCAGCTCCCAGAATCCTCTGGGGGAAGAAGCCGTGACTTTTGAAGTGTCTTCATAGTTATTTAATCTTATGGTGTGAATGTGACCTGTTTCCCCTCCACAGGGGGGGGGGGGGTTAACCCTTTCCCTTCCCAGCTGCAGCCCTGATAAAGAATTCCTCTTGTTTGGGTCTTTGATCACGGCCTGCTGTCCTTCTCCCCGCAGGTGATCCAGCAGGCCTTGCACCGCCAGCCCAACACAGCCGCACAATACCTGCAGCAGATGTATGCCGCCCAGCAGCAGCACCTCATGCTCCAGACGGCAGCCCTGCAGCAGCAGCACCTCAGCAGCACCCAGCTCCAGAGCTTGGCTGCCGTCCAGCAGGTAGGCCTTTGGGGCCAGTGGGAGAGGGCAAGGAAGGTGGTCGTATTTGTTTTCTTTTAGGGAGGTCTATGCCAGGATGTTGTTTACTGATTATAGCTCGGCTTTTAATGCCATCCTTCCAGACATCCTCATTAAAAAGCTGACTGACATGAACCTTTCTCCTACCATCCGTGGCTGGATTAAAGACTTTCTGATAGATCGGACACAAACAGTGAGGATTGGACATGTGACATCTAATTCCTTTAAAATCTGCACTGGCACACCACAGGGATGTGTGCTAAGTCCCTAGCTGTATTCATTGTATACATACGATTGTGCATCATCTGACCCGTCTACTGCAATTATTAAGTTTGCGGATGACACCACCATAATGGGTTTAATAACAGGTGGAGATGAATCAGCGTATAGAGGAGAAGTCCGAAAAAATATCTACATGGTGCCTAGGGAACAACTTGCACCTAAATATCAGCAAGACGAAGGAGATGGTGTTGGACTTTCGGAGGAAGAGAGGAGAACTAGCCCCGTTGTACATCGGGGAGGGCTGTGTGGAGAGAGTCTCTTCCTTTAAATTCCTAGGAGTTTATCTCAGTGAAGGGCTTACTTGGAAAATCAATACAACCCAGGTGGTTAAGAAAGCTCAACAGAGACTCCATCTCCTCAGAGTATTGCGGAAGAACGATGTCAATCAACATTTGATGATCTCCTTCTACTAGTCCACAATAGAAAGTGACCTTTCATAATTCATCACAGTGTGGTACGCTGGTTTGACATCAACTGATAGGCAGTGCCTACAGAGGGTGGTGAATACAGCACAAGATATTATGGGCTGTCCTGTGAATCCACTGGATGACATTGCCGAAGAACGTTGTTTCTTTCTTAATCTCCTGCCCTCCGGCAGAAGATATAGAAACATGATTAGTCACACCAACAGGGTAAAGATAACAACAGAGCAGCTGACTTTTGGGTTTGGTGGGTGTGCGTCAGTAAACTAGGGGAATTAAGACTAAGAGAGCTGAGTGGGGGGTGCTCGTGCAATCTCACTGTATACAAGTTGTACAAGTGACAATAAAGTATTTCAACTGTTAAATGCATAATAATTAAATTAACCAGCCGTTGGGCTAGATGACCCTTGAGGTCCAATTCCAACTCTACAATTCTATGATTAATTGCATAATAGCAAAGGGTCCCTCCAGACTGGCGAGTTGTTTTTCTTTCAGAATGTATTTGATGCATGTAATGGACATCAGGAAGTCGCCTTTGTTTGTTTTTTTATCTTCACGAGATTTAAAAAAACCGTTATCTTATCAACTGGCACTGATACAGATGCCACATAGGGTTCTGCATTTGTAAGAAATCTATCGCTTAGTGTGGTGGCCCCCACACTTTGGAACTCCCTGCCTACTGACCCCAGGCAGGTGCCTTTGCCATCCTCTTTTAGGCACCTGCAAAAAACCATTTTTGTTTCGCCAAGCCTGTTCAGGTATATAGAACCTGACATGTGCTTTAATCTATTTTTTAGTTTATCTTTGATTTTAACCATTCTTTGAATTTATTACATATCTGTTTTTGAGGTTGTTTTTGTTTATAATTTTATTGTTTCATACTTTCTGTGAACTGCTTTGTGGTTCTTACGATTGAGCAGCATATACAGTTTATGAAATGGAAACAAATAACTTTTTAAAATGCAAGAATAGTACATGAGCAGTGGATCATTTATACTGGGTCGTTCACACATCCACATTGCTATTCTTATTAATACTATTAATGATAAGAATAGTAATTTCATTTGTCAGTTCCTTTGTGCAACAAAAGGTCTCAAGGCTCATTGGCAAAATAAGGTACAACATGTCATTTATGTTCATTAAGATTTTTTTTTAATTTCCTTTTATAATGTCTCCAAAACTGACACAAACAGGAGGGGAGAGGGCTCTTGCAGATTTCACATTGGGGCATCTGTTGGTTCAGGATCCTGGACTAGATGTGCCCCCTTTGGTCTGATCCAGCAAGCTCTCTTCTTACATTCTGAGCCTGGGAAGGTCCTGGGTTCAAGCCTTGGTATAGGGCTGGGAACGCCCCACACCAGAAAGCATGGAGAGCCTCTGCCGACTGGTGAAGTAAATGGGCAAATGTTCTTATCATAGAGTCATCTAGTCCAAGCCCCCACACTGCAGAATTCACAGCTATATGGATTCAGTATGTCTGATTTCTGCTTAATTCCCCCTCTGCTTGCCCTTCCAGGCAAGTCTGGCAGCCAACAGGCAGAATACCTCGTCCAGCAACAATGGGCCCACACAGACCCCGCCTCAGCAGTCCACGGTAAGCCTTGAGTCTGCCCCTCTCTCTGCAGGGCTGCTGTGGGGTTTCTGTTGCCCCACAGAGCTGGGGCATCTTGGGACCTCATGCGCTCCACTTTTGCTGGTGCAGATGGGCCTGTCCCCATCTCCTCCTCCATGCCGTCATCCAGATTCACTGCACCACTTTCTGTCTTCCCTCTCCTCCCCACCCAATCCCAGATAAACCTGGCAACGTCCCCAGCTGCCGCCCAGCTGATCAACCGGGCCCAGGGCGTGAACTCGGCGGCCGCCTCTGGCATAGCCCAGCAAGCTGTACTCCTGGGCAATGCCAGCAGCCCCACCCTGACAGCTAGCCAGGCCCAGATGTACCTGCGGGCTCAGATGGTAAGTTGGCAAAGCACCTTGAATCCCCTGTTTGTGCCAGCTGGGTACCTCCAGGGGAGCTGACAGCCTATTGGGAGATGGTGTGTGTCTTACTGGTACATCTGGGGAGGCTCTGGGAAGGGAACAGCATCCTGGTGGTGCTGAAACAACCTTGCTCTTTTGGGTACCACCCTGGCGATTCTTCTGCCCATTCTACACCAGCCTGAGTGTTTTATTTGTTTATTTACTAGAATTACACACCACCTGTCGGTTGAAAAAAGAAATACCCTCAAAAGCGATTTACATTGAGAGTTTAAAAAAAGAAAATGATCAGTAGAAAACAGTTCTTTAAAACGTTCAAAAGATAAAAGCAACAATAAACTAAAAACAGATTAAACCTCACATCCACATTTCTGGGGAGGATTGCTGAAACAAAATTGTTTTTAGTAGATGCCGGATAGAGTACAACGAAAGTGCCTGGCTGACATTAATAATAATAATAATAATAATAATAATAATAAATTATATTTATATCCCGCCCTCCCCAGCCGAAGCCAGGCTTAGGGCGGCTAACAACAATAAAATAGTGCAACATTCTAAAAACATTTCATTATAAAAATTAATTAAAATCAAAATGATGGCAACCATAAGCTTAAGTTCTGTAAGGATTGCCAAAGGAGGGAGTCAGGCTGCGCCAATAGGCAGGGAGTTCCAGAGGGTAGGGTCTGCCTCTCTAAACTATGACTTCCTTACAAATGTGGGTATTACGGGGTACATGTACCAGTGCCAGCACCGCAGATTGAAGCAGGAGTAAGGCAACCTCACAGGTAAACTGGTCCCAGGTTAAGGGCTTTATATACTAATACAGTGGTACCTTGGGTTACAGACACCTCGGGTTACAAACACTTCGGGTTACATACTCCGCTAACCCAGAAGTAGCACCTCTGGTTAAGAACTTTACCTCAGGATGAGAACAGAAATCGTGTACTGGCGGCTCGGTGGCAGTGGGAGGCCATATTAGCTAAAGTGGTACCTCAGGTTAAGAACAGTTTCAGGTTAAGAATGGACCTCCAGAACGAATTAAGTTCATAACCAGAGGTACCACTGTAGTAACACCTTGAACTTTGCCTGGTAGCAAATTGGCAACCCCCCAGTGTAGATTTCTGAGTGTGGTTGTTATATGCTGAGAAGGCCTCACTCCTGTCATCAACCGTGCGGCAGCATTCTGCGCTAAATGCCGCTTCCAGATCTAGTGCAAGAGAAGGCCCACATGGTGTGCAATGCAGTAATTCAGGTTTTCCTGCGGTTTTGATGTGGTGGTGGTATGGAGAAGGTGGTGGAGGGTGTCGGAATTAGTTCCGAGTCTCTCGAGAGCATGGTTTTGCAGTGAGGCCCATTCAGAAGTTCCCATGCACAGACTGTGGCTCCCTTCACGTGGCAGTTTATTCCATTTTCCTGACTTTCCCCTAACAGTTAATTTCTGTGATACATATGAGCTTTTACATAAGGGCAAGTTTAGCTCTTATTTCAGTGTAATTTGCTTCGGGGGGGGGCGGAAACCATTTGCAAATAACACAGAAATGAGTGCTAAGCTTTCATTGTAGTCCACCATATTTCTTGATATAATGCAGAAATTAACAGTTGGGAAAATGCTCTTAAAATGGAATAAACTGTGATTTGAATTTGGACAGTGAGCCTCTATTTTTAGATGTAGAACATGCACACACTAGGGTTTTTTTTTAAAACCTAATCAGTACACTCCAATTCTGGCATATATTTTTTTAAAAAATATGGTCACACTTTGGTAATGGACAAAGCTATGACCTCTCTAGTTACACTTGCAAATGTGTTGCCTTGTGAAGTGTTGCAGTATATGCTTTCCTCTTCCCCTTACAGTCTGTTCCAGGAGAAATTCCCCTCTCCTGTGTCTTACTGAAGCAGCTAATAGTCTTTTGCTGTTTTTGCTTCCTTTCCTGGGTGAGGTGTCATCCTGGTTTGTAAACTTAAGAAACACTGCGCATCCCAAATTCTCAACTAAGATGGTCCGTGAAAAATCTGTTTTTGATTTTAAATGGGCTCCCTTGCATCACCTTCCTGGAAAAATATAATAAATAAGCATATGCGTTTTGAATCCCTATTCTTCATTTCTGTTGATGCGTTTGGCGTAACTTTGGAAAGAGTGTTCCAAAGTTCAGAGGCAACCACTTTATTTATACATAATATGAAAGTATATACCGCTATGCACAAAAAATATTTGAGTAGTTTACAACAGTAGTACCTAAAAAACCATGCAGTAAGTGCCATATTAAAAAGTTGAAATCAGAAATCAGCTATTATGGAAAGGTGTATTCTTAACTTCCTTCATAGACGTGATGGAATAGAAAAGTATTCAGCAGGCATTTACAAGTTGAAGCAGAAGGCGCTTGCTGAATCTCCAGTGGCAGGCAGTTCCATAGGACTGGGCTGGTGACACTAAAGGCTTGGTTTCTCATGGTTGTCAAACGAACTTTGCGAAATCAGGAAATGGCCAACAATGCTCCAGCAGATTATCTCGGTGATCTAGCTGGGATAGAAGGTTTCGGGTGATCCCTGAGTTCTTCAGGGCTTTGTAAATTAAGACAAGGACGTTGAACCTGGTCCCCAACGCATGGAGTCCTTGAGCATGCTCCTTGGTGCATCCCTCCCCTCTGTCCTGCATGGTTGTGGTTTCCTGGGGCTGCTCCACCCCCCAGCCCCCCCCCCCACGCTGTGATCTCTCTGCTGGGACGGCAACGGGTGATGTATAAGGGGACCCGTTTCCTGTGATTTCCAGGCTCAGCAGAGTAACCTTGTGCAAGTAGCTAGGAGCCTAGGCCGTGCTCTCCCTCTCTCCCCGCAGCTCATCTTCACGCCCACGGCCACGGTTGCTGCGGTGCAGCCCGAGGGGGCCACCACCACCCAGCCATCCACCACCACAGCTCAGGTAAGAACCAGGAGGGCGAGGGTCTGGGTGTGTCTCTGCGGTTTTAGCAGGGAGAAAGAAGGACAGGGAAGCCTCAGCTCACTGTTTTAAGGCGCGTGATTTGCATGCACAAGGTCTCGGGTTCAACCCCCAGCTTTTGGGAGAGACCCCCTCCAGGTGTAAAACCTTGGGGCGCTGCTGCCGGTTGGTGTAGACAGTACTGTAGGCTCTGTGGGTGGACCAGGCTTCTGCAGCTGAGCTCTCTTCTTCTCCCATCTTGTTGCAGGTACAAAACTCATCTCTCCGCACCCAGCAGGCAGCCGCTCAGGGGCTGGCTCCCTCCCTGAGCCAGCAGCTCCCCACATTGGCCATGAAGCCCACCCCGAGCAACACCAGCCACTCCACCTCCTCTCCGGCTACTCAGGGCAAGACGGCTGGGCAGGCTCCTGGCGGCAAGGCGGGCGTCTCCGAACACGCCCCAGAGCATCTTCGGAAAGGAGAGGGGGGTGGCGGAGGTGGCAGCAGCGGGGGAGCTGGGAATCTGGACGGGCGGGGCGGCTCCACAAACCGGACGGTGACCTCCTCCACGACTCACCCGCTCATTGCCCCAGGTGAGGCACTGGCCCTGTCTCCGATGGACTGAGCCACGGGGGGGGGGGGGCAGAGCAAAGTTGGGGGTGTGGAGTAGCAGAAGGGGGTTGTCAGCTGCCCCCTTGCCCTGCTTCTGGGGCTGGGGGTTTATTTTTGAGAACCACACCCGAATGAGGGGTGAGTGAGAAACCATCTAGAGTTGACTCTTTTTTTAAAAAAAAGCAACAACAATTTCATCAATACCAAAACATAGTAAATTTTTCTTTGTTTTTTCCCTGACTCCCCCTCCCATTTTCCATTGTGTTTTTAATTTCTCCCCCTTGCTGCATCCTTGCTGCATGGTTATGTCATAATCACCATACAATAATCTCTTAATTCCTACTGTGGTTCATAGTTCGAATCCTGCTCACGAATTCATCATACAGTGGTACCTCGGGTTACATACGCTTCAGGTTACATATGCTTCAGGTTACAGACTCCGCTAACCCAGAAATAGTACCTCAGGTTAAGAACAGTTTCAGGTTAAGTATGGACCTCCAGAACGAATTAAGTACTTAACCCGAGGTACCACTGTACTGTAATATTTCTTAAGCTGACTCTTCAGGCAGCCTTTGCCAGCCCGGATACCTTCCAGATGTTTTGGGTGGCAACGGATGGGAGTCGTTGCCCAGAACGCCTGGATGGGATGCGGATTGGTAAAGGCTGTTCCAAGGAACCTGGTGACTGCTTCTTGCGCTTATTAGTAACTGGCTGGTGATTATATTAGTATTACTATATTTTTCAAAATTCCATGTGAGATGGCTCAGTTGGTAGAGCATGAGACTCATAATATTAGGGTCACACTTTTGAGCCCCATGTTGAACCAAGGATTCCTGCATTGCAGGGGCTTGGACCAGGTGAGCCTTTTGATCCCTTCCAACTCTATTACTCTAAGAGGGATTGATTGTTAAACCGCTCTGGGAATTGTCACTTCTGTAGGGGTCCCCTAGCAGCTCTCGGCAACTCTGGGGCAAAGAGCTTCTCTCCACTTTTGCTGTTGTTTATGGGCAGCTCCTGACTCACTTTCTAGCTCACCGATTTTGCTTTGCTTCCTCCTGGAGTGTTTTCTCCTGGCTGGGCCGCGTCCTTGAACTCTGATAATGCTCCTTGCTCATCTGGATGCTAGCTAGAGAGGGGTCTATGAGGATGTATATCTGCAGGAATTTTCAGCTCTCGGGAACTCTAGGCATGGACACTGGCATGAACCTCAGTTGCCTTCACATGGAAAACCTTACAGGGCTCGCGGCTTTCCCTTTAGCATAAAAATTTGTGCTGCCAGAGACAGGAGGGACCTTGAAAACTTCTATGATGTTTGGTGGGATTTTATCTTGTATACCACAAATGCAGAAACACAGGACTCCCCTAACCACAGGACAATGAGAAATCAAGATTTCCAAACAGTCTTAAGTACTTTACTAACCTAATATAAAGTGGATATATCACACTTTTTTTTATTCTGTTATTTTTATTAATTCATTTTTATCTCACAGAAGCAAATCAAACAGATTGATTTTTTTATACCATTTTGTTTGATTTCCTCCAGTAAAAATAAATCTGGTGGCTTGAGAAAATTGGGTCCACAGTAACTCTGATTAACCTATGAAAAAAACAACAACATATGGACCAGGTTTATGGGGAAATTGGCATTTTATTGGAATGACAAGTTCTGTTACAATGTGCAACCTTATGCTGCTTTCAACCTGCTGATACAGTATTTCTTTGTGTTATTTATCTTTGGCTTATTTTGATGATGGTGATGATTTAAAGGGCATCTGGAGTGGCATTAGTTAACTGGCCCCTTTCTCCCCTCCAGCGTATTCCCAGCTACAGACCCACCAGCTGTTGCAACAGCAGAAGCCAATCCAGCACCAATTTGTGATCCAGCAGCAACACCCACATCAACCCCTCCAGCCCAGGCCTCCGCAGCTGCAGGTCCCCCCTCCGCCGACCCCCAGCCTCGGGGCACCCCCCAGCCTGCACGCCCAAGGGCCCTCGCAGAACCAGGCGCCCGCTACCAGTCTGCCAGCCTGCCAGGCCCCCAGCCAGCACAAGCCCGCTGCCAGCCAGCCCTCGCAGCAGCACACCCCGCATCCCTCTGGGCCCCCAGCACTGGGGGCCCAGAGGCTGGAAGGTGGCTCCCCAGCCAGACCCACCGGCTGCCCCAACCACGCCGGCCAGCGCAAGTTCCAGCACACCTCGGCCGTCATCCTTCAACTACAGCCAGCTGTTGGAACAGTGAGTTGGACCTCTGGGGGGCATTCATTTTGGGGTGAGGACTGGGGCAGAGGGGTGGAACTGGATCCTTCCCCCCCAGCCTTTCCTCCCAAGGCAGGCTACCTTGGGCAGGTGGGCAGGGCCACACACCTGTCCATCACCTACCTGTCACCCTTATGAGGCCAGGTGACGACTCAAAAGGGGCTTGTCTTTTGGGAACCCACTTGCAAGTAGTTTTGATATAAGATGCTTGCAAACAGGCTTCGGAGCGATGGCGGGCTGCTTTGCATGTGGGACGGGTGGCTGTGGTTTGGGCAACGGGCCCATGGGCCAAATTCAGAACTCATGTCGGGCCTGAGCAAGCCTCTGGGCTGGAAGTGCCCCACCCTCGCCTCAGCTCATTGTGAATCACACAAAAACATCCCAGAGCAAGGGGAATGTCTTCGGTGGGTTGGGCAAACCCTGACTCCCTTTTTAGCTTTGGGTTTTTAGCTTTGGGTTTCCCTCAGAAAGGCTCAGGCTACTCTTCCCCTTATCCAACAGAGCTCTTCTCATGGATGTTTGTTGTGATAGCAGAGCCTCCACATCTGCAGGCAGCCTACCTCTGAATACCAGATGATGGGGAACAACCACTGGAAGCCTGTGGGCTTCCCTCTTTAGGCCTCTGGTTGGCCACTGTGAAAACAGGATGCAAAACTGAGATAGGCCCTTTTTGGCCCTGATCAAGTAGAGCTGTTCTTGGTTTTATTTATTTATTTTTACATATTAGGAAACCACTTAATGAGGCCATGAAAGCAGTGTGTAGCATAGGAATTCAATACAGTACCAAAAACAAAAACAAAAAAACATTCCTACAGAGTTACAATTCTAATTTCATAAATGACTGGGTTATGCCTTGGGGAAGGCTATGATTCTGAGACGCCTGTCTAATTTCAGCTGGGCATGGATTCCAGAGGGCTTGAGACGTGGCACTAAAAGCCCAGTTTTTAGTACAAACGAAGTGCACATCTGTTCTGATGTCCTTGCTTTGATGACGTATGGGTCTTTGATCCTGCTCTGGGTGAGGCCACCCACTTGCTCAAGAAAACCAGCCATTTGGGGAGAGCTGCTTGCCCCGTTGCCTCTGAGGGGGTTGCTGCTTCCACAGGGGCTCCCCTCCACACTTGATGTTCTGCCTTTGGCAGCCTCGTGTGAACTCTGTCCCAGAAGCCAGGCCCCTGGCAAGATGGGTTTGTGTGTGTGCCTCCTGAGTTCCTCCCCACTCCAGATCTCCTGTCTGCTTGTCTCCCATTATGGTTAGGGAGTGACACTTCTCTGCAAAGTACTAAACACTCTGATGGGCAAAATGCCTGCAAAACAACAGTGCATCTAAGCCTGCAGTTTCAGGGGATTGAGGTTGTGCTCTGGCCGTGGCAGGTCCCGGGTTCAGTTCCCGTCAACTCCAGCAGATAGACCTCTGCAGCAGGGCAAGCAGGGGCCTCTTATTTCCCCCTGCTCTTGATGTTTTCCTCCCTCGCTTCTCTCGTCCTTCCTCTGCAGCCGCCACTCAGCAACCAGGAGAATTCCAGGAAAGACCCGTTTCCTGCAGAGAAGCCCCCGGCAGAGTCACGAGTCGCCCAGCCCCTACTCCCACCCCAGGGCGCCTTGACGACGCCACCTCTGGCGGCCCCTCCTGAGCAGCAGGCCTCTGAGGGCACTGGGACCACCCCGCCTCACGGTAAGGGGTCTTTTGGGGGTGGGGAAATGTGCTGCGTGTGTGTGTGTGTGTGTGTGTGTGTGTGTGTGTGTGTGTGAATCTTTGCAGCCCTTCCTCTGCTGCAGGGTTGCTTTAAAAGGAACTGGAGAGGTGTGTTTTTCTTATTGCAATCTCCAGCGGGAGGAAGGAGAAGGTTGTCAAACTCTACTTGCCTCTGCCTGCAGCAATGCTCTGAATCCCAAGGAGTGCTTCTGAATAGGCACTCAGGGGCAGCGTGGCGCTGTACGTTCCTATCTGTTGTTGTGGGGTTATGAGTGCTGCTCCAAATCGTGGGCAGTTTGCAATGATGGCTCCAAGGGAGCCTCTGTGTTCAGGAGCAGTCTATCTCTCAGTACCAGTTGCAGAGAATCAAGCAGTGGGGGAGCACGCTATTTGTTGGCTGCTGTAGAAAGTGGTATCCTGGATGAGACAAAGCCCATCTTGGTTTGATGTTTTTTTAAGGAAAGGTGAATTCTACAAGCTGAATTAATTGATATGTATTCTGTACGTGCTTTGGCTTAATGTCGTTCTTATGATTTGGTTGATTGGGAAAGGGGCACAGTGCTGGAGAGCACCCCAAACCCTCGTATCTTCTCCCTGTACCAGAAAGTGTTGGAAACCCTACTTGCCCCCAGCTACTGAAATTTTTCCCTTTCAGTGTTTTATCGTTGCTGACCTCAGGGACTAGAAACTTGCCTCTTGATGAACGTAAAAGATAATCAGAGTATTCTTTGAGATTAACCCCCCCCCAATAAAAAAATTCTGGAAGTGCACGGAATGGATGTTGATCCTGGACTGTATGGAATCCTTAGGGAGATACCACCTAGTTCAGGAACATCTATGCCTTCTTCTCTGTGGATGATGGGAGCTGTAGTCCAAAATACCAGGAAGGCAACAGGTTGATTTACACAGAGATGGCTGGAGCTCTTTTCTCAGACAATCTTGATATTCAGCTTCCCTTTTGAAAGATCAAGTTTCTAGTCCCCTGGCTATGGAAATGTGCGGGTGGCATTTTGTGCATTCTTGGAAGATGGTTGTTGTTGAGGAAAGAGGAGCTGAGCTGATGATCCAGGGGCTGTTTTTTTAGTGTTCTGAGAGACACATTTTCCATTCCCCCACCCCACCCGAACATGCACATTCATGAAAAATAAGCCATAAAAACTGAAATTTCCTTAGCTTGCCCCACCTGGTTCTACCAGGAGAACTGGTTTAGGCTTCCCGAGGGGACCTGGAGACCCAAGTCTCATGAGAAGTTGAGAGAACTTTGAAATGTGACATGATGGAGCCATATTTAAATATCTGAAGGGCCACCTGCCAGGGATTCTTTAGCTGTGATTCCTGCATTGCAGGGGGTTGCACTAGATGACCCTTGGGATTCCTTCCTACTCTGAGATTCTAAGGCTATTGTCTTCCAACCCTGGCAGGGCTGCTTTTATGTCCCCCTCGGCATGGGCTTGTTTTGGAGAAGGGAAAATGTTTGTTCTCTCCCCGCCTCCCTCCATCATCTTTGCATAGTAGTACTTGATCCCGCCTGCTTTTTGTCCCAGTTCCATGGGGAGGGGAGGGTTTGATCGCCCCCTCCTTTTTTTGTTTGCACTCTTGGGAAGCTGGAGGGGAGGCCCTTGCCGCCTGCCTGCTGCAGAGACAAAAGGCTCTGCAGCTGGATCTTTGACCTGGCTGCACATTCCCTTCAATCAAGTTAAATGGAGCAAACCTTTTCTCCTTTGGGGAAGGGGAGCCCCACATCTGCATTTGGGCCAAGGGAGAGGAGGGGGTGCTTGGATATTCCGCCCCCCTCCAGGGAACAATGGCCAGCTCCTGCTGCTCCCCTCTCCTCCGCAGACCTTTTGTGGGGTGGGGGCGTGGGCCACACAAGCACACACCTGCTTTCTCCCCCCCAGCTGCTCAAAAATCACTCTCACAGTCCCTCTCACTGCTTCCTTTTTTGTGTGTCCAGTGCTGAAAAAATAATGGAAAGTGGAAACGAGAGAGAGAGAGAGAGAGAGAGAGAGAGAGAGAGAGAGAGAGATTTTCCACTTTCCATTATTTTTTCAGCACTGGTCAAAAAGAAAAAGAAAAAGAAAAAAAAAGAAGCAGCAGCAGCAGTGAGTGACTGAGAGTGAGAGTGATTTTTGCATAAACAACAACAAAAAGCCAGCACGGATTCCCCAGATGTCAGTGGCATCCTGTTAGTTGAATGAGGAGCTGAATTTTCATGTCTGCCAGGACTCCCCCTCCCCCAGTATCTAGAGAGCAAGTGTAGTGGTTAGTGTGGTGGATTCTAAGACCAGGGAGAGTGGATCCCCACTCAGCCACAGGCTCACGGAGTCACCTTGCGCCAGCCAGTAGATCAGTCTTGCCTACCTTACAGGGTTGTTGTGAGGAGACAAGGGGGAGGGAGCTGATAATCAGATATCTAATATTCTTTGCTTAGACTTTGTTATTTTAACCCATGCGTGGCTGTACTCCTCCTCTGTGCCCATTTTATAGTTTTGTTGTTCATCTTTTTAATTTTCATTTGTTGTTATAACGGTTCCATTTTATACACATTATAAAATGAAAATTTCAAAAACGACATTTTTCCTTTATCAATGCCTGTGATCCCATAAAATGTATACACTGCTAGATTGCTTTTTTAAAAACAACAACCCAAAGTGGTATTCAAATACATTATGAAGAGAAATGAAATCTTTCCGCCCCCAAAAGAGGGCAAGTTGGTACACCACCTTGGAGGAAAAATGAGCTATATATGTAATGAATAAATTTTTAAAATATGGAGAGCTCCCGGTCCCCGCTCTCTGGGGCATCTTGCCATCCGTTGTTGGGAACTGGAGACTGGGTTGCTCCTCCCGCGGCTGCCGCTCAGCCCTCCTTCCTCCGCCCCCCACTCCGGAGGCTGCGGCCTCGGCCCTTCCCTGCCGCCGAGGCGCGCTCGGGGAGGCGGAGGCTCTTGGCGCAGCCAATCCTGGGAAACAGGAGGCGGCGGAGCAGAAGGAGGCGGAGGCTGGCCGGCAGCTGCTGCCTCTGCTGCCCCCGCTCCCCCCTCTCCACCCTCGGCGGGCGGCATTGTTTGCGCTTCCCCTTCCCCGGCCAGCCCGGGCGCGGCGAGAGCGCGGCCCGAGCCAGCGAGCCAGGAAGGAAGGCCCGGCGGGCGCAGCGGCGCGCGTTTTGGCACGCGCCCAGGGCGCACGGAGCAGGGGACCCTTTTGGCACCGCCGCGCGCGCCTCCCTCTCCCGGGGCGAACAGGTGCTCAGCGCGGCCGAGGCGGAGCGCGACTCTGCCCGCTTTGTTCCGGCCTCTTCCCCCCCACCCCACTCCCGATGCTGCGTGGCGGGAGTCCGGAGGCTGCCTCGGCCTGCCGCCGTGCCCGGCTGCCCTCGCCACGGTAAGGGCTCCGGCGGGGACGCGGGGCCTTTGTTCCTTCGCCCTCCGATGGGACTTGGAGTTGCTGCTGTTGCGCTTGAGACTCAGGTTAGCGGCGGGCGGGTGGGGGTGGGGGTGGAGACTTCTCTGTTTGTTTGTTATTAACGATATTTCTCCCATCCACGGTTGCCAAGTCCAAGAAAGTGGGACTGGTCCCCAAAGGGAAAACACTCAGCGGGAGCGATTGGAGGTTTCCTTTTTTGGATGGGTGTTTGTGTGTGTCAAAAATAGATAATAGACCTTTGTGCCCGGGTTTGTGGTGGAGAGGGGCTGTTGTCAAAGTGACGGGTAAGTAGGGTGTTGTTTGGAATTGCTTGGCTGTGCAGGGTTTAGAGGCAAAGAAAGAAGGAGTTCCCTCAACTCCCTTCTAAATATTATGGTGGTAATTTTTATTTATCGTAAGAGTTGTTTTTCTGGAGTGTAAGGCTTGGGGGTCAGCTCCATTGTTCAGTTGATAGCATTTATACCTGACCTTCTCCAAAGAGTTCAAGGTGGCGTGCAGGGCACTCCCTCTTCATTTTAACCTCACAACAACCCTATGAGGCAGGTTAGGCTGAGCGGCAGTGACTGGCCCAAGGCTATCCAGTCAGCTTCATGGCTGAGTGGGGATTTGAACCCTGGTCCAGGTCCTAGTCTGACTCTCTGACCTCTGCCTCACGCTACTCATGGGCCTCCTAGTAAAGCTGTCTAGAATCGTGCAATTAACTGTTACAGCTCAGTAGAACCTTCATATCCAGGGGCAGTCTATTTGACAGCCCGTGGAGTGTGTGACCTTCTTCTCTTGTTGCCTTGGATGACTTCCAGGATCATCCAGTGTTGTTGGAAAGGTGAACTCAGGCCTCTATGAGCCTTGGATCCAGTGGGGCTCTTTCCTACCTTACTTTCCCCTTTAGGAGGGGCTGTTCTGGGATAACAGCTCCCCCCCCCCAGTAGTAGGAGTCCCCCTGGGGTTGAGATTGGGCACTGGAATAATCCGGAGGCAGGAAGGCATGGTAGAAAATATAGCCTGATGCCATCATGTTGGGAAAGTACCAGTAAGTCTGGCCAAATCTTTTCTCCCCTTCTGAAATTCAGCTCTCAAATGATGGGAAATGAATTCAATCTATATTGCTTCACCATCAACCTGTAAGTGTGTTGCATGTCTGTTTTTAAATAAAAGTGGGCTAAGCATGGGTTTAAGGAATATTTGCAGCCACCGCCACCCTGCCCTCCCCCCAGGCTTGCAGTTTGCAGCATGATTACTCAGGGGTAAGCCCCACTGAACTTCTTGAATCAGATCTGGCTGTATGGCTAAGCCACGGGGTACTTAAACTGCACATTAATCGCACTGATTCCCAAGGGGACTGAGGGCTGGCCTGTCAAGTTAGAAGAAGCATGCACGAGCTCCTGTTTTGCGGTTGAGGGTTGGAGCTGATTTCAGCCAGTTGGGGATGGGTCCTGATTTTGGTGAGACTGCAGACTGAGGGCAGCAGCAGAGCCAAAGCTGGGCGCAAGCTGCCCAGGAAACATGTGCAGGAGGTGGGCTCTCAGCTCAGCTCTCCAGAGTTGTGGAGTCTAGCGCTACCTCCGCCAATCCACAAGACATTAACAGTACAATCCTGTTTTCTTGGAAGCAAGTCCTGTCGAGTTTAGTGGGGTTTGCTCCCAGGATTCCAGACTTGGAATGCCTTGTGGAGGGCACTCGGGGTCTCTCCTGTGTCTTACAATGAGTGTGAGAGAGTTTAATCCCCTAAATTTAATTCTCCATTGCAGGGCTGGGAGACTTGTGGAAAACTGCCTTGGTCCATCTAGCTCAATATTGTCTGCACTGATTGACAGCAGTGGCTCTCCATGGTTTCAGGCAGGAGTCTCTCCCAGTTCTACCTGGAGGTGCCATTAAATTGGGACCTTTTGCATACAAGGCAATGTTCTACCACTAAGCTACATGCATTTACCTGTGCTGGACACACACCCAACTCCCACCATCCCTGACTATTGAGCATGCTGGTCAGGAGCCTGGAGGCAACATCTGCAGGGCCACAGGTTTCCCTCCCTTGCTCCGCTGAATGTTTAATGCGATGTTAGCTGCTTTGGAGTACAAGTGGGCCTTTGGTGGTTCATTGATACTTTGTTTGTTTGTTTTTAAAAAAGCTCAAAGCGGTTTGCAAAGAGAAAAAGGTTTCGGTCAGTTGACTTGTTAAATGCTACCAAACAACAGTTGCGTTCTCTGAAGCACAGTTGGATCGCAAAAAAGAATATTGCTTTATAAATATTTCAGTCGAACTATGCTTTCCCTCACTGCAGCCATAAAATTGGTTAGCTGCTGTTGTGAAACCAAGCAACTTTTTTTAAAATAAAAAAATGAAATGAATTATTGCACTTTCCAGAAAAGTTTGATTACGTAGATTTATGTAATTTGGCTGACTAGCTCTTCCAAATGACTTCTGTCAACAGTCATTTAGCTGTTTGTTTGTCTTTTAAAAAGCAGAAGTAAGGCAGAGCGGTGGCAAATCTTTGAAAACAAAAGGCGCTTTTGCTGACAAGGCAGCAAGCTGATTGGGAAGGGCACAGTTGCTCAATGGTTAGAGCACCTGCTCTCCATGCAGAAGGTCCCAGGTTCAATCCCCAATGGCAATATCTTCAGTTAGGACTGGGAAAGATTTAATGCCCGAAATTCCAGAGAACTGCTGTTAGTCAATGCCTGCAATACTGAGCTAGATGGACCAGTGGCCTGGCTCAGTTTCCTAAATCCAGTTATCATTTGCACCAGTGTTTTGCGGAAACTTTTGCAATAGTTGACCTCATTCAAACTGGAGCGGATTGCTGGCCTTGCCACTGTTGCTTTAGGGGACTTGTAGGTCTAAATGCATATTGAAAAAATAAGAAGGCCGTTAATAAAGTTGGTCCAATCACAGGTCCCTCTAGCCCACAAGTGAATGCAGAGGTTGTTTTTGTTAAGCCTCCAGACAGCTTGCCCACAGCTTGACCACACCTGACTCTATAGCCTGTGGGGTTTTAATTTCATTTTAAATGTATTGTTTTTTATATTCTTAACTCTCTTTGGTTATTTTATGCATAAACTTCCTTGAGATGGAGGTTTGGAAGGCGATTTATAAATTAATGGTAATAATGATGCGCCTTGACTTTTTTGCCATGCTGGGCAAGCCTGATGGGAGTCAGCCAACACGTGGTGGAAGGCCACAGGTTAGGCACAAGAAACCTGGCTATCAAGGTCGCCTAATGATGTTTGCACCTCTGTTTTGTTTCTGTTTTTATAGGCGCAGCTTGGCTCACTTCCTTGAGCCATACAGGTGGGCTATGTGTAAAATGGGGCCACAGAGAAACCAGGGGTGGGGTTATGGCATGCCCTCCATCCTAAAGTACAAAAATAAATGGAACTTGCTTACTCCTTTGCAAAAGCCCAGTTGTGACTGAGCATGCTCAGTAGCTGCAGAATGTTGGAAAAGAAAGGCAGGAGTGGGATTCTCGGTTTCTGCGGGGAGGAATGGTTGGCTGGGACCCAGAAATGGAGCACTCCTGTTCAGAAAGGGTTGGCTACGCTGCCGTACTCCCACTGCAAATGAGCTGTGCTTTCTAAACAAAGCAGCTGCCTAAGGAGCTTGTGATAACAGCACTTCAGCTGGGTACCATCTCCAAGGACACTTCCCTGGAGTGGCTGGCGCATGACTCATTTCTTATGCAGCAGGTTGGCAACCAGACATCCCCTGGCTGAAAGGGGACCCTAAGTTGCCAACCTCGGCGGAGAACAGACAAAGGGTTTTAAAACATTCTGTCCCTGCCATCACCCAAACTTGGGAAGCTGCCTTTTATTATGAGTCAGGCCACTGGTTCACCCAGCTCAGTATTACCTGCGCTGACTGGCAGGGTTTTGTTGGCAAGAGACTTCAGGAATTGAACCTGAGACCTTCGGTGTGCAAAGCAGGTGCTCTGCCACTGAGCTACAGACCTTCCCTTAAAATCAAGCCGAGATTCTAGTCCTCATGGTTCTGATTGAAATAGGAACAAAAAGAGCTTCCTTGTAGCAGGTCATACCATTGGTCCATCCAGCTCATGAATGTCTACAGTACACAGTGACTGGCAGCAGTGCTCTTTCCTGGAGGGGTCTCTTCCAGCCCTACCTGGAGAAGCTAGGGATTGAATCCAGGACTCTGCATGAAAATCAAATGCCTCCTTAACCACTGAGCTGTGGTTCTCCCCTGGTCTCCGTTATTCCCCTGCCTCTGTTTTATCTCCAGTACAAAGGATATTTGAATATAGCCCTTTTATGGGTGGTGCAGGGTAATGAATGTGTTTCAGCACAAAGATAGGGGTTTTGCTTTAATTTTTGGGATTACAAGCATTGTGATAGGATATTAGTGATTTTGTTTTGGGGTAAATATTTTTAAGTTTCATTTTATAATGTGTATATAAAGCAGAACACTGATAACAACAGGTGAAAATTGGAATAATAATAATAATAATAAAGCTGTGAAAGAGGCACAGAGAATGAATACAGTTGCACATGGGTTAAAATAACAAGTAGGGAATATTAGTGTTATTTAATTACCAAGTGCGGTTTCAGATTGGCCAGGCTTGTGACGAAGGTTGTTTCGAAAACAATGGTTCTGCTGTAATAAAAGAATGCTAAATTATATGAAACGAGTCCAGAGGGTCCAACAGGCTGCAATAAAGGAATGCCGGATCACCTAGAAAGCGAACAGAGGTTCTAGTCCTTGCCGAAATCTCAAATTACGTGCAGTTTTCTGCATTATACCTGTAATTGTTTGTGTTCCTGGTGCGCATAAGTGGAAAGAGGAAGAGAACTGTCAGATCGCAGAAGGAACATGTGAAAATAAGCTGTTTTCTGTTTTTGCATGGCGAAAGGGGAGGGGCAAGGAGATTATTTGGCACATGAGTAGGACGGCCTGAGTTTTCAAAGCCTGGGCTGAGTTGAGGAGGTTTTAAAATAGCCACTTGGAATTCTCCTTCTGGTGGTCTGGATGGTGCTGGCAGCTCCCTTCCGTGCGGGGAGAATTCCAGCCAGGGTTTCTGTGCCACCCTTTTCCTGTGGCAGAAGGAGAGAGCTCATCTCAGCACTGAAGCTGTGCCTGATGCATCTCCCCCCCCCCCCAACCAAGCGCCTTCCCTCCCCTATGAGGGAGGAGCAGCTTTCTGGGAGGACTGGCTGGCCTCCCAGCAAGCTGGCTGGCACAGAGACAAGAGAGAGAGCTTTCTTGAGGTCTGGCCATCCTACTGGCTGCCCCCTTGTTGCAGATCCTGTGGGGATGAGCCAGGCAAGAGGACCTGATGCCGTTGCTCAGGGGGTTGGGAGAAACCCAACTTTGAGCCCTGGGTTTCACAGTCCCTTGTTTGATGCCTTGGAGCCTGCCTGCTCGCTCCTGAGCTTCTCCTCTTCCTCCAGCAGCTGCTGTCTTCCCCGCCTGCCCCTCTTGTGTGTTCATGCGCCCCCTGCGCGCCATGTGCCTGCTCTGCGCTGTTTTCCCGATCCTGCTTGCGCAGCTGGGGAAGAGGCGTTTGGGCGCTCTCTGGAGACGTGCTCCAGTTTCACACTGCAGTCATGCACTGTCAGGTGGTTCCCATGCCTGTTCCCATTATGAAATGGGGGGGGGGAGGAAGAGTGGACTGTTGCTCCTCTCTCTCCCCACCCCCTTCCTCTAACCCTTGTAAGGATCAGTCGCATGTCCTTTGTGATTGATTGGCAGGAGCTCCGGAATGGACAGCAGGTGGCGCTCTTCCATGCTGTGCATTGTTCACTTGTGGGACATAGGAAGCTGCCATATGTGAGAGTCGGACCGTTATGACCCATTTATCTCAGCATTGTCTACACTGCCTGCGCTGGCAGTGGCTCTTTGGGTTTTCAGGAGATTCCCAGTCATACTTGAAGATGCCGTTTGGGGATTGAACTTGGGAAAAGCAGCTGCTGCTTCCCCTACCAAAAAATGGCCAGGGTCTAATTTTCTAAGTTCCAATTAAATGGCTGATTTAAACTTGGAAACTGCAGTATATGAAGCTCAGTCCATTGCGGTCCATCTAGTTCAGTATTTGCTACACTGACTGGTAGCAGCTCTCCAGGATTTCAGGCAGGGAAAATTTGTCAGCCCAAGCCGGAGGTTGCAAAGAATGACCCTGGGACCTTCTTTATGCAACGTGTCTACTCAACCACTGAGCAAAGGCCCTTAAAAATAAAGCCAAGTTTCCAGTCCTCATTTTTCTGAATAAAGGACTGTTTTAAGTGGGAAGAGGCCTTCTACTGAGTCACACCTTTGGTCATCTACATCAGGGTTTCCCAAACTTGGGTCTCCAGCTGTTTTTGGATTACAGTTCCCATCTCTGATGACTGGTCCTAGTAGCTAGGGATGGTGGGAGTTGTAGTCCAAAAAAAGCTGGAGACTCAAGTTTGGGAAATCCTGGTATAGATCAGTGTTGCCTGCATGGATTAGCAGCAGCTCTCCATGCATTCAGGCAAGGGTCTCTTCCAGATATAGCTGGATACACCTCTAGGATCTTCTGCAGGCAAAACAGGTGTCACAGCCTTTTCTAAAAGGGGCATCAGGCCAGTTCTTTGAAGCCTGCAACCAACTGCGACCCAATTTTCACTTCCTAGTGCAGCACCAAGGGATGCATCCCCTGCCGGTGCTACTCAGAGTAGGCCCATTGCCTGCGGAAGGCAGCCGGTGTGACCTGTGTTCATTAATATGAATTTTGTTTGCACTGCTTGCTGCCGGGTGGGGGCATAAGCTACTCGCCCTCCTGCCTTCCCCAGCAAATGACACTGCAAGGGAATGTTCAGAAGCTGAGCTGCCAACTTGAAATAGACCGCAGTGGCCTTGGATTCCCCTAAATATTTGTCCTGCTCAAATGAGAAGCAATAAGTTGACTTCTCGCTTGACAGTGCAAGTTGACCTGCGACTTGGCAGTTGTGCCCTCTGCCTCGAATACTAGACCAGGTCATCTGGGATAGCTGCTCAATCATGTGAGCATCTCCTCCTCAGCTGTTTCCTGCCATAGGAAAGGACCCCTTTGTTTCTTAAGGCCCCCTTCTCATAGAGAAATTGTGTGTGGAGGGAGAAGTTCTCTCTCTGTCATAATACTAAAACGTGGGGCAATCCAACGAAGCTGAATGCTGGTGGGTTCAGGGCAGAGTTAAACTGTGGAACTTATCGCCCATGGATTTGTCTAGCGGTGGCCAGTGTTAGAAACTCAGATATATAAGCCAATCACCATAGGGTACCTTAAACCTATGTTGCGTTTACCACAATGGAAGGTCTAGGCGCCGTTTTGTTTTTACAGTGGAGTTTCGTTGTTGTTGTTACTCATTTCTGTGCCTCTGTGCCACTTTATATTTTAAAGTACAAATCTCAAAGCGGGTTGCAATGCCTTCAAACATCAAACAATCCAGGATAAAACAAATTTGAGCTTCAATGAGAATATTTCAGATCCTTCTCTAAGTGACATTTTGCTTTCCCCAGTCACCAGCCTGGCATCCAGAGTTCTCCACACGGTCGCAGTTGGGCCTGTGCCAGTTGCAAAATGATTTCTAACACGGCCAGTGGCTGCTCTGCCTCCACTCTTGGAGGAGGCAACCTGCCTCTGAATACCAGTTTCTTGGAATCGCAAGCAGGGAGAGCCCTTTTATATGCAGAAGTATGTTCTGTCCCACTGAACATACCGTTACCCTAAATACGAAGTCAGCTTCCAGTCTTTCTCATTCATTCAGCTCAGCGTTGTCTGCACAGACTGGCAGTAATCGGTCTCCAGGGTTTCAGGCAGGCTTTTCTCCCAGTGCTACCTGGGAAATGCTGCCGTTGGTGGATGACCACGGGACCTTTTGCTCTTGTCAGTGAGTTACGGTCCTTTTCTTTCAACATAACGCAGGGTCATAGCTTTCAATGTTTCCCTTTTTTAAAGGGAAATTCCCTTATTCCGAATAGGAATCCTCGCAAGAAAAGGGAAAAGTTGACAGCTATGCGCAGGGTTCTAGTCCTCATGGTGTTGAATAAATAGCTGATTTAAACAGGAGCATAGGAAGCATGCCTTGTGCCGAATCAGAATACTGGCTCCTGCCAGCCAAATCTCTTATCAGAAGCTAACAAAGCATTTTGGACCTCGGGCAGAACCCCCAAATTAAAATGAGGCCGGTTTGAGTTTTGCCACTGTGGTACCATTTGACACCCCTGCTCATCCGCCAGCGGCTGGATTGTATGCCGTCAGAAGCGGCTGCGTTTCCCCCTTTGTTGGGTCTCGGCGCGGCAACTCCCAGCATGCCTTGCTTTGAATCCTTGGCGCCGCGTGCGAAGCACATCCTCCAGGGTGGTTAATATTTAATGCGGTGCTGGCTGGGCGAACGGACCGCAGTCTAGGAAATCAAGAGAGAGAGAGAGAGAGAGAGAGAGCGCGCAAATCCCAGAGTCTCTGAGGAGGTGGCATTGAAAGGGGTCTGGAGTGGGAGGTGGGGAAGAAATGGTTTTGTCTCTCGGCTGCGCCTCAGCAGCCAAGGATTATGGACCCTCTTGTGTGGGGGTGCTGGCGGGGGGTGGGTGGGGTCGGCAGCTGTGGTGTGCAGAGTGCTTTGGCACTCCAAATGATGTCATCCGGGCAAAGCTGCGACTCTGGTCATCCCCCGAAATCGAAGTTGACACGCAGATAAAAAACGGGGGCCCGGATTCTGCTTCAAGAGAGAGCGAGAAAGAGCATAAAACTGAGCGTTCCTTGTTCATTTTATGGCTCGGTTTCGTGTATTCTGCTCTTGCCCTTCTTGGGAGGGGCAGCAAGTTACGTGGGACAGTTTCCAGCAGCAGTTAGGATCTTTTGAAAAGGAAAAATATATAAAGTGCTGGAGAGGTGGAGCTGGCTTTTGTTCATTGTTCCACCTTCTGTATTTCTCACGTAAAAAGCCTTGGCTTATGGGTGGTTGCGGTTAGGATTCTGGTAGCATATTTGGACATGAAAAAGGAGATGTGGAGAAGATTGGGGTGGGGAAGCAAAGTGATACAGGAGGGGAATACCCACAGGAAAACATTTTTTTTCTTTGGCACAACATGAGGCCTAGAAACTTGATGCGTTGACATAAGGATTCTCAAAACATTCAGGAGTCCAGGATCCGTGTGCTTCCAGTGTGTAAAGTAGCCCTGGGTTGTGTATGCGCTTTGCCAGTTGCCCGTTGGTTGTTTGAGAGAGCCATGCGATCGTGCCGGAGTTTGCAGTTGATAGAATCGTAGGATTGTAGAGTTGGAAGGGACTCCAAGGCTCTTCTAGTCCAGCCCCCTGCAGTGATGTGTTGTGCAGGTGCATTGGCTAGAGCAGTTTGTGGGTTGCTAGTTCTGTCCACACAGTCCCTGGCATTCAGCCGCTTTCTGCCACTTCAAAACTTTAATGTGGCCTTCCCGAGCCTCCTCTCTCTCCCCATACTGTGTTCTGGACTACAACTCCCATCATCCTGTGCTGGCTGAGGCAGATGGGAGTTATAGTCCAAAGCAGGGGTAAGCAAGCTTTTTCAGCGGGGGGCCGGTCCACTGTCCCTCAGACCTTGTGGGGGGCCGGACTAGATTTTGAAAAATAAATTAAAAATGAACGAATTCCTATGCCCCACAAATAACCCAGAGATGCGTTTTAAATAAAAGGACACATTCTACTCATGTAAAAATACGCTCATTCCCGGACTGTCTGCGGGCCGGATTTAGAAGGTGATTGGTCCGGATCTGGCCCCCGGGCCTCAGTTTGTCTACCCATGGTCCAAAGCATCTGGAGGGCTGGGAGTTCAGTTGTGGGGGCAGCGGGCTGCTCTGTACCTTTGACAAGGAGCCCTTCTCAGATGGACTTACCTGCTAAATAATTTCTCTGTGTTACAGAAGATTCTGGGGCATCAGTGTACACCCAGTTTGTGCAAGGCATCAGCCTGGTCCAGGCCACATTGTCATTAACTGTGATTCCTGTGTTGCGGGAAGTTGGGTAGATGGCTCCTGGGGTCCCTTCCAATTTGATCATGCTGTCAGTAATAGCATCACGTCTCTGATTTTCATTTCTTCAACAGACCGTGTGTGTGTCGTAAGGGGTTCTTGGAAACCCATCCAGATTTACAGACAGCCTAATTTTTTGCTGAAAGGTTATTTAGTTACTGAGGTTTTTTTTTGCCGTTTCCTTAGTGGAGGAGGGTGGGATGTTGATCTTTAATTTGGTACAATGTGGCAAAGTGACTTGTACATCCCTCCCCCCAAAAATTCTCAATGCAAAGGTCCAAGGATTCGTAATTAAAAATAAACAAATCACCAATTTTCACCTTTCAAACTTTGCAACTCTTTCTTTCTTGGGAGCATTTAGGCAACCAGAGTGATACATAAATGGAAACCTTTTAGCTACAAATTAAAACTAGCATAATATCCCAGTTGGATAAAAGGGTCTTCACCACAAGTGTCTACCTGCTGGCTTTCTAAACTTGTTTTAAATGTATTTTTGGGGTGGGGAAGCAGGTGTTAAAACTTTTAAAAATTATCTTATGTGTAAATTGCCTTGAGATGGTGGTTTAGAAGGCAATTGATAAATTAATTGTAAAACGAGCCTTCCCTCCTAGTATCTGATTGTAGTCAGTCCGGGCTAGACCCCCACCCACTGAATCTTTTGTACAGTCGCAGAATTATTGCATTTTGATGGGGTGCACTTGTAATGTCCAATTCTCAGGCCCCCCACCCAAGACTCCAAAGTGCTTAGACTCCAAAGTGGTTTCAGAGTCTGGGAAGGGCTATACCACTTGGCACCTGTTGACAGAATGAGGAAAGCAGAGTGGGCACCTATGCCAGGCAGGGCCCTTGTCTTAGCCCCACCCCCCACCCCGCAGTTGTTAGCAGTTTTGGGGGTATTGGATGAGAGCCTGAATCCCCCACAAACCCCCCACTCCACAAATATTTTTGCAAATTGCAGAGGAATATTTCTCCTCCTATCATAGTTGCTAGGGGATGTATGTGGGCTTTTTTGGGTATATTGTTATATTCTCTGTTGTGTTGCTGTTTTGTCACGTTGTTATGAAATCGCTTTTGCCCTTAGCACCCCCGTTTCCGTTCTCCGCGAGCTGCTTTGAGTGCAGCTTCCCCCCCACAGCAAAGCACCAGGAGGATAAAATTGCAACCGCAGCAGCTCTCTGGTGCAGCCCCCTCCAGAATCTGGCGTTCGGGACTGGAGGTGGCAAACTCCCTTGGGATGTATTTGTAGAAGCCTGGGACAGAAAGTCTAGGAATCATGGCCGAGAGTGGATTGTATGTAGTTTGGCCACTCGCCTCCCGCATGCCACACACAAGTCTTTCCCAGGCTCCTGTGCCTATTGGAAAGAGGAGGGCATGGATTTAAAGCCAGGGGTCTGCGAGCGTCAGAGTTGGCGTCCCCCTGCCTGGGGCACGCCGGGTCCTCTGTGCCAGTTCTTCTGCTCCAAACTGCCTGGCAGACTCTTTCTCTCTCTCTGTGTGTGTGCTCCTCCTTCCTTCCACAACCCTCTCTGTGTGTGCTCCACGCAGAGGTTGGAAGGGGGGGGCAGGCGTCCCATGCGGCTTGGAGCAGGAGCAAGTCAGCTGTATGGTAATGGGCAGAGCGGGCGGTTGGGGAGGGTGTCGGAGGGGCAGGGCCGGTGGTCCAGCCTCCTTGGTGCCTCTGCCTTTGTCTCGGCTTGCCTGTCACGCTCGGCTTCCCTCCTCTCCCTCCTTCTCCCATGCAGAGGCCGGCCGGGACAGCCTCCGCCGCACGCCTCCGGACGCCCCCGGCAGCCCCGGCATGACATCGGGGAACAACGGCAGCTCTGCCTCCACCGTCGCCGGCGCCCCTCAGAACGGTGAGAACAAGCCGCCCCAAGCCATTGTGAAGCCGCAGATCCTGACCCACGTCATCGAGGGGTTTGTGATCCAGGAGGGGGCTGAGCCGTTCCCGGTAGGTAGCCAACAAACCTGGCGGGGGGGTGGGTTGAGTTGGGGGTGGGGGAGCCCCAGGGCAGTGCATGGGTAGGTGTTGGTGGGCTGCCTTTGTTGTGGGGCTTTGGGAAGGGTGGGCATTGAAATCCCATGGCAAGAAAACTTGAGGGTTGTGCTTGGGCACGTGCAGATGGCAAAGGGTTTCACCCACCCACACCCTGGCGTTTCTGTTTTCACAAAGGCTGTGGGGGGAGAGTGAACTTGGCTGGGACTGGAGGGGGCAGAGAAACTGGTCGGAGCACGGGGCGGGGGGGAGCTGGTTTACATGGTTGGGGTGATGCAAGGGAGCCCAGGGTCCCTCCTCGCAATATAAAATCTTACCAAGTCCCAAGCACATTTCAAGTGCTGTGATGCCACTTGAAGCAGCTGTGGCTTCCCCCAAATAATTAGAGGAGCCGTAGTTTGTTACAGGTGCTGCAAGTTGTAGGGGAGACTCCCTTATCCTCCCTTCCCAGCTACAGTTCCCAGAGTTCCCTGGGAAGAGCTATTGAATTTTAAACCACTCCAGGAATTGTAGCTCTGGGAGGGAAATACGGGGTCTTCGAACAATTCTTAACAAACGGAACATCCCAGGATTCTTTGGGGGGGGGATTCAAGGTGGCACCGTAGCGCTTTAAATGTGTCGTGTGGAATGCGACCTCCGAATGCGCTGTTCAGAGATCCCTGCCCAGCCAGGCCAGAGCCACCCACCCACAGCCCTGCGCTCCCATTTCTGGCGCTCTTGTTTCCAAGGTGCATATAGCCAAGCGTTTCTCCCGCTGCAGCTGTCAGTCGAGCGTCCGCCCTCCCCTCGTCCTGCGGGGCCAAGGCCACCCGGGTCTCCCTGGAAGAAGAGAAGGGGGAGGGGGCTGCCTTCCAAGCTGCCTTACGCCGACTCCCTTGTCGAAGCACCTCCCTCGCCCATCTCTCCTTCGCTGGAGGTTTGTAGAACAGAGGTTTGGATGGCCATCCGGCAGTGGCGATTCCAGGGGGTTGGACTAGATGACGCTCGGGGGGTCCCCTTCCTGCTTGACGTGACTGTGGTTCTTTGCCAGGTGGGGCGCTCTTCGCTGCTGGTGGGGAGCCTCAAGCAGAAGTATGCCCAGGACCTCCTGGCCGAGAAACCCCAGCACCAGGACAACAACACAACCACCACCACCGACTCTGAAATGGAGGACCCCTATCTACAAGGTAGGCCCAGCGGAAAGCCTAGGTAAGCAGAGAGAGAGAGGGACCTGGAGCATGTGCAGAGTGCCTTTCACTTGTTCCCTCAAGGAGCATTAGGGATTGATGGGGCAGCTTCCCAGCAGAGAGGTGTCGTATCAAAACGTGCAGAAAAGCAGAACAAATATTTGGCACAACCCTCTTCTGCAAAGGTGGAGAACCTGTGGATGTTTCTGGGCTCATAAGATCACCAGAAGAGGCTGCTGGATGAGCCTGTTCTCACAGTGGCTGACCAGTTGCCCCAGGGGGAAGCCAGACTGGGAGAGTCCCTTGTCTAAAACCCTTGAGAAATGCTGCCGGTCTGTGCAGGCAATAGTTAGCTGGAGGGAGAAAGGGTCTGCAGTTCCTGACGTTCCTGTGATGGGAGCCACATCTGGTGGCCGCAGGTTCCGCAGGTACCTGGCTGGAAAAACAGCAATCGACTGCTGGGGGTTGGGCTAGATGACCCCTGGGGTCCCCATCCGGTTCTGCCATTCTGTGATTAAGAGGTGCCTGATCCAGCAGGGCTTCTTAAATGTGGGTGCAAGGGTTTGGGGGGCTTTGCTGCCTTTTGTGGCTTTGAGGTGAGGGGTCCTAAAAAACTCTGCTTTCCTTCCCCAGAATCCAAAGACGACGGATCACCCCCGAAGCTGAAATGCGAGCTCTGCGGCCGCCTTGACTTTGCCTACAAGTTCAAGCGGTCAAAGCGGTTCTGCTCCATGGCCTGCGCAAAGAGGTACCTCCCTGGCAGAACCGTCTGCCTGCCCTTCTCCTTGAAGGGGCTGTAGCTCAGGGCAAAGCAGCTGCCTTGCTTGCGGAAGGTCCTGATAGCATCTCCAGGCTGGCAGCTCTAGGAATCTCCCCTGCCTGAAAACCCAGAGAGCCACTGCCAGCCAGAGTAGGCAGTGTTGAGCTAAATGAACCCAGGGTTTGACTCCATTATAAGGCGTATTCCCACGTTCCACAAATTTTGTGCTGGGTAGCAGCGGAGAAGCTTTTATATAGCTGATTACTCTACACACACACTGGGCTGCACTGCTTTTATCGTCTGTATTTTAACATGGTTGCTTTTTATAGTGCTGTGGTGCTGTTTGGGTCTGATTACTTTCTAGAAATTATTAATATTATTAATTGGATTTAAATTCCATCCTATACCCGGAGTTCTCAGAGCTATTCACAGAACGAAATAAAAACATAAAACCACAAAATATACCATCAAAATAAAAACAACAACCCAATAAAATACCTTGTATGTTTTTAAGCTTTTTGTATTTTGCCCAGTGTTGTTTTAATTTGCGAGTTGGCGGGGTGGGAGAAGGAGGGGTAGAAATAAAAACAATCATAATTAATAATACAAGGTTGGAATGTTGGCCACGCACAGGCTTTGACCTTCTCTCTCTCTCGCAGGTACAACGTGGGTTGCACAAAGCGTGTGGGGCTCTTCCACCCAGACCGCAGCAAGCTTCAGAAGCCCAACACGCCTCCACACGGCCGGCGTCGGACCTGCAAGGGCTCCCTTCCCCCTCTCAGCAAAGAGAACAAGAAGCAGGTAAGAGCCTTCTGGAGTTATCCAGGGGCAAGGAACTTTTTTGCACAGCGGAGGAGAAATTTGGGAGCATCAGGTATCTCTTTGTGTCTCCCTCCAGTGCACCTGCCACAGGCCCAAGAGGAGCATAGTGCATGGTTTTATCTTTCTTCTTCCCCAGAGTCCTCAGTTTCCGACCTCTAAAATGGGCCCATTTGGGGTCCTGCATGGAGGAACTGCCACATTTAATCCCCTCCTCAAAACCCTGTGAAGTAGGTTAGGCTGAGAAAAGGCAGTGGCTAAGTGCCCAAGGCCACACCCGGGAATCTTTATCCATGACCAAGTGGGGATTTGAACCCGGGTCTCATGGGCCACTTTCCCATGTTATCCTCACAGCAAGTGACTGTCTAAGAGGGGAAGCTAAGAGGCAGTGACTGGCCCAATGAGCTTCATGACCAATGAGTAGGGGACTTAAACCTAGTTCTTTCCCAGGTCCTAGTCCTGCACCCTAACCACTACACCACACTGTCCCCCCGGAACACGATAACAAATTGTTTGCTACACATGCTTGGAAGAAGAGTTCTCAGCTGCAGAGTGGACATTTGCTTTCAGGCGGTGCTGGGTTCATTTGTAATGATAATTTCTTCACTAAATTCTAATAATTGAAAGATCTCAAGAGTCAACTTCAGGGGAAAGGTATTATTTGCTGCATGTTAATCTGCCCATAATTTATGCAGAGATCCAAGGGAAAGATTTCCTTGCTGATGTGTGAGAACAGGAATGCCCAGTTCAGTTTCTTCTGAGCTGTCTCAGAAGTTCTTTTCGCACAGTCTGCAAAAAAAAAAGATTACAAAAGGGAGACGATATTGCTAAAGCGGAGTTGGCCAATGGTTCCTCCCCTTTTTACTTCATCTAATGTTGCTGATGTTCGTTAATATTATTACTGCATTCGCATTTTGGTATATTGTAGTGTAATTTCGAAAAGTTTCTCAATTTTGTTGAATTAAGTAAATAATTCCCGTTGGGTTCTGAATAAACGCACAATGAATCGTTCCTGTTCTGTATTTTATTGTGTGGTTACCTTCCTCTCATAAGCTGTGCAGACTGCTATTCTATGATCTTGTGGAACCAAAGGGGGCAGTGGCTCCAAAGAAATTGAGGAGCCCAGGGAGTTAGCGCAGTAAACATACAGATGTTGTAACTGAGCCTCCAGACAGCAGCTGCCAGCCAGAGGAGGCAGCACTGGGCCGGATGGGGCAATAGCACAGCCTCCTAAAGTGGGGTGCTCCTCTGTGTTTGCAGGCGCCGGTATCGCTGCCCCCTGGATCGGGGCCCATTTCCGTCTCCGGGTCTCTGCAGCTGGCTCACGCGCAGGAGGACTCCAGCCGCTGCTCGGACAACTCCAGCTACGAAGAGCCCCTCTCGCCCCTCTCGGCCAGCTCCTCCGCCTCCCGCCGGCGCCAGGGCGAGCGCGACATGGAGCTGCCCGATGTGCACGTCCGAGACCTGGTGGGCATTGGGCACCACTTCCTGCCCAGCGAGCCCACCAAGTGGAACGTGGAGGACGTCTACGAGTTCATTCGGTCCTTGCCCGGTAAGGATTGGGGCCTTCCGCCTGCCTGCTTAGGAAGGGAACCTTGGAGCGGTCCAAGTTGGGCAGAAATGAGCCTGCCCCCCTCTCTCCCAATTCTCTGGTCTGGTGGGAAGCCCAATATTTTCCGGTGTTGCTACTTTGAGGAGTTAAGTTTATGGATGGATTTGATTTGGTTACGGAAATATCCCAGGGGTCATTTAGCCCTAACTTCCCTGCATTGTGGGAACCACAGCTGAAGCATCGGCCATCCAACCTTGGCTTAGAAATCTCCAACCAAGGAGAGCTCACCAGCTTCCGAGGGAGTCTGTCCCACTGTTGGAACAGCTCTTGGCATTGAGAAGTTCTGACCGTTTTCTGGTGATGATTAAAAACATAATAAAACATTGAACATGGAAAACTCCCGACAGAGGGCTGTATTTCAGAACTCCTCTAAAAGTTGTGTCATTCTTAATCTGCTTGATGTCAGATGAGAGGGCGTTCCACAGGGAGGGCGCCACCGCTGAGAAGGTCCTCTGCCTGGTTCCCTGTATTCTCACTTTCTCGCACTGATGGGGCTTTTCCTCTCCCCCTGCCGCAGGTTGCCAGGAGATTGCGGAGGAGTTCCGGGCGCAAGAGATCGACGGCCAGGCCCTGCTTCTCCTGAAGGAGGACCACCTCATGAGCGCCATGAACATCAAACTGGGCCCAGCCCTCAAAATCTACGCCCGCATCTGTATGCTGAAAGACTCCTAGAGGCCTTCAGGCCGGGGCGGGTGGGAGGCCCTGCTGGCAAACGGATGCTTTCTTCCTCGGAGGCTGGGAGGGGCTGGGAACAAAATGGACTCTGCTTTCTTCTGCCTCCCACTCTTCACAATGCAACTTGAGCACAGAGGCAACACCCCCAGCCTCCCTCGATGACAGGAGGGGCGTGGAGGCACCCCGATTCGGGTGGGATGTCCGTAAGCTAAAGCCGTTGCGGGGCTGTACATAAATATGTAGCATTAGCTTCCCCCCTGCAGCAATGGAGAGAGTCGTGCAACCTTGTTTTTTTAGTGGTGGGGGCGAGGACCCTCTTTCTCACCCTGGAAGCTGCTTCTCCTGCGTCCCAGAGACCCCACCCCCCAGGATCAGACACACCTACTTGAAACCTCAAAAGCCAAACAGGACCATTGCCTTAAATTTTTTTGTAGGCGTGTGTGTGTGTGTGCGTGCGCACGTGTGTGTGGTGCCGAGTAGTGCCCTCTCTGTTTTCTCCTCCCTCCCTGCACCCTTTCTCTTCTGCTATATCTCTTCCCAAGGCACAGCGGGGGAAGCAGCTGCCCTGATAGATCTCCTGATTCCCGTGGGGGATCATGCAGGAGCAGAAGGGATCTCCGTCCAGTCTCACGGGGGTGTATTGCTCCCCTCACACTGTTTTGCTTTGGTTTTTTTAAAACAATTTTTTTAAAGGGGAGGAGTAAGTAGCCAAGCACAAGTCGTGCAAACTGGCTGGCTGACATCCAGGACTACTGGGGAGGCCTCTATTCTGATTTGGGACCAGGTCTGCAGCTGCCTTAAAAATTTAAATAAAAGGCCCTTTTGGCCCCTGCCACAAACACCTCACTCCCCCCCCCCCGTTCTCCCCCTCCCATAATACCAAGGCAGGGCAGGAGGAGCCGGCTCTCTCCCTGGAAGATGGGGCTGGCCTCAGGATTGTCGAGAGTGGGCGGGCTTTTTCCTCGGGTGATCAGGAACTGCGGGGAGTGGGATTGCAGCTGAGCTGCACCCCCCCTGCCCCTTTTGATGGTTTGTGTGTGGTGCCCCCCCTTCTTCGTGCTGGCCACTCGCCACAGCCTCTGGGCTGCAAGCAAAAGGACTTTCTACTGTTGCCCCCCCCTCCTGTTTTTAATAAACGCCTTTTGGAATTTAAAAAAAAGACAAAGACGCCATGTATTTAAAAGGCTTCCTTGCTATGGGGCTGGGTGGTTGGGGGCAGGTCCCGGGACATTTTTAGCTTCCCAGGGCGGAGAACGTTCAGCTGGATTCTCCAGGTGAATCATAACGTCAAAACCACGGAGAGAGACGAGAACTCACAAGGCGAAAGGAAGGACTTCTTCATGCAGCACGGAGTTCAACGGTGGGACTCGCTGCCACAGGAAGTGGTGATGGCTTGGACGGCTTCAAGAGAGGATTGGAAAATTTTGCAGTCGGAGGCAGCCGTGCTTCTGAATAGCTGTTGCTGGAAGCCACGGATGGGGGGAGGGCTCTTGTTCACGATCCTGCTTGCAGGTTTGCCCACTGTTGAGTGGGATGCTGGCCTGATCCAGTTGGGACTCGCCTTATGTTGGCAAGACAGCATCCTCCTCATCTTGGGGCAGCAGTCTCTTAAGGAGCACTGGGGGATGTTGTGCCTAACTGCCCTCCAGTGCCTGCTCCCTCAGGGTTGGGGAGTCTCACTGGCTTTTAATGCAATTGGGATGAGAGGTGGTTCCTAAACTGCAATCTGAAGCTTTTTTCCCTTCATATTTTTCATTTTCATCCCCCTTTTTCCTCTTAAAGCTCAAGGTTATGTGCATGTTTTTCTGCCCTCACAAACCCCGTGAGGTAGGGGAGGCTGAGAGATGGTGAGTGGTTCAATGTCACCTGTGAGCTTTATGGCAGAGCCAGGAAACTCTGGTTTCCAGGCAGATGCATGGCTGAAATGAATTCTTCCTAGAGCAGTTTTCGGTTGGGTATTCTGACGTTTGCAAAATGCATCCCATGCCTCTCACTTCTCCAGAGTGACTTTCCTTCCATCTGCCACCACTTCTGGCACACACAAGGCTTTTCCTCAGTTGCTCAAGCGTAATTTCTGTCACCTCAGGATGCTGGGAACTTAAGTTCTTAAAAGACGCTTGTTTCAGCAGTGGCTGGCAGGCAGGATGGCTACTTTTTCCACCTTCGGAGGCAGTTCCTGGGATCACATGGGGAGAATTGCCTGTGGGAAATCTTCAAGCAGGACCTGAACGCATCTAGCTGGCCACAGGGAGCTGGATTAAGTGGGCTTTCTGTAAATCTTTAGCAAAACTAAAGTACCGTATTTTTTGCACCATAACTTTTTTCCTCCTAGAAAGTAAGGGGAAATGTCTGTGCGTGTTATGGAATGAATGCCTGCGGGGGGGGGGGGGATCTGCTGCAGTCGTGAGCAGAGGATCCATGGTTCCCCTTCCTTCCCTCCGTGGCTCGATTTGAAACAGCAAAGCGGGAGAAGAGCCGCTGAGTGGAGAGGAGAGAGGGACAGAGAGCCTGCTTCTTTAAAGGAGCAAAGCGGGAGAGGAGAGGAGCCGCTTACATGAGTGTAAGCGGCTCCTGTCCGGTTGGTTCCTTTAAAACAAGCAGGCTCTCTGTCCCTCTCTCTTCCCCACTCAGCTCACTACATAGCAGCAAAGTTTTTCAGCTCGCTAAGCCAGGGATGAGCAGGGAGGAGGGAGAAAAGCAGAGCCTGCTTGCTTTAAAGGAGCAAAGTGGGAGAGAAGAGCCTTCTCCCCTTATACCCCTCTTCTTCATTATTAGCGGCATCCTTCTCCACCCACCCCACGCGTGCTCCTTGTCCCTTGAGTGCTTTTCCTTCCCTCCCCACTTAATACGTGGTTACAAAGCACGGAGCCACATGGATCCTCAGGATTTTTGCATTGGGCTACTCCAAACTCACTGTCAGATCACATGTCTGTGGCCACAGCATGAACCACAAAAATCATACATCCACTGTTTCATTTAGAATATTTTTTTTTCTTGTTTTCCTCCTCTAAAAACTACATGCGTGTTATGGTCGGGTGCGTGTTATAGAGCGAAAAATACGTTACTTCACATTACATGTCTGGTGTCCCAAATACTCACCAAGTATCCCTGTTCATCTCATTTTTTATTTTAAAAACCCTTAGTCAGAAGACTGGTACACTTTCCAATCCAGCCCAAGGTTGCAAAGACGCTTTTATTATCTTTTTTCCACAACAGAGAAATACAAAGCAATTTTTTATTTATTTTTCCTTCTTTCCCCCATTTCATTTCAAAACAATGCAAATGGCGTTTGGCAGCGAGGCAGAAGTTGCCTCCTCTCACCAGTCCCGGATTCCACAATGCAAGACTTTTCTTTGAAGGGAAGGGGTGGGAGGGAGAGACCCTTTAAAAAAACTTTTTTAAAAATTCCTTTTTCAGTTATAAGGTAATGATAATAACTAAGGATCTAGCTAGATGCGGCCTGGGCTTCTTTATATAGAAAAAAGTTGTTAACATTATGCATAAGAGTCCTATTTACACAGTTATTAACATGCGGATCAAAAAAAGAGAGGCTACAATATTGAATATCATACAACAATTCAAAACCGACTGAAAAGGGAACAGGGTTTTGTTTTTTTAAAAAAGGAAAAGATCAAATCAAATACAAACAGTAAAAGAAACAACTGATAAAAAACAAAATTATATATTTTTAAGGCTTAAAAAGTTTATCTTAAAAAAAAGTAGTTCGTTTTTGTTTTTTAACGCAACTGAAGGGTACATAATATAGAGGTGGTTTTTAAGTCTTGTTGTTTGGGGAAGTTTTGTGGCCCCTTTCCCTTGCACTTGGAGAGAAACTGCCAAGAGAACTTAGTTTGAGAGAGGTACAGCACCACCTCAGAAAGCTACTTTCTCTTTTGGTGATGGGCTCCTGGGGCGAGAGCAGTTGGCATCATGCCAGTGTCTCTTCACAGCTATCCAAGGAGCCACAGAAGACCTTAAGAGCCAGAGAGGGTGCCATCCTGTTGGCGCTTTGAGCCGTTCTTCTTTACAGCACCCAGGAGGCCATGGCCTCTCCTCAGCCACTGGGGTGGCCACAGAGAGATGACCGGTTGACTCATGGCAGTGGGGGTGGAGAGAGAGCTGGAGCTGAAGCAGTCGGGGACACGTGTAGCATCTGGGAAAACTGGAAATGGCCAAAACATAGCAAGTGAAAAAGAAGTCCCATTTGACAGGCTTCCCCCCACCCGCCCCAATCAAAGGAAACTGCAATGTTGTCCTCTGCTTCCGATCTTGGGTAGCAAATCTAGTGTAGCAATAAAGCTTTAAAAGGCGTTTTTCCCATTTGACAGGAATTGGAGGAAAACAGGAGATAAGAGTCGCAGAGGATCACACCACACTTTCTGTGTTGCTGTGGTTTGCAGATTTTCTGAACCCCATGGACCCTTCCACTCAATGGGGCTTCCAGAGACTACTTGCTTAGGGGAGGTTTTAGTTTTAGGGGAGGTGCTCAGTCCTCTGGGGTCACGAGGAAGCTGAACCCTCTCAGGGCAACGGAACGTGGCTTTGCAAACAAATGAGCCCTTGGAAATCCCAGAATTTTCTGGAATACTGGTGTGGATTTTTTAAAAAAAACTCTCTAATCCCCCTAGATCTTGGTGCAAGGGGATCAACCCCCCTCAAACGACAGCAACTGGAGAAGGATGACAATCCCACCCATTCTGCAAATATGTGTCTGCTATGGCCATGTTCAAATGGAAATTGTAATGAGCAACTTGCTTATGTTTCTATTCTGGGGCTAGGGAGGAACCTGTGCCCCCCACCCACCAATGCTGTGGGCACGCCCCGGGAGAACCCTAGGCTCTTCCAGCCCTGCCCACCAGTGCTGGAGACATCCTTGGAGAGGTTGCAAGGTGGTGCCTTGAGCGGTCTTGAAGGGTAGGGCAGCCAGGATCAAGAACCAACCCCCACCTGTCTTCTGTCCCAAAACACCCTTGGGGCTTTGCTTCTGCCAGCTGACAGCCCTCTGCAGAGATGGGAGAAATGGACTGGCACATCTTACTGTGGGTGAGCCGAATGGCAGCATTACCCAGGAGCAGGTCAATGCCCACCTTTCCTCCCTGCAGAAGAGACCCAGCCCCCCTCCTTTTCCATACAATGACAGAAGGGCTGGGGGCTACTCATACACAAGGATGGCGCTGCAGGGGGCAGGCTTTCGCACAGTGCCTCAAGACTGTGATGGGCAGACAAAGCCTTCTGTACTTCTGAATGGGCATAACACTGCCAGTCTCTTGCCATCTTCCCCCCTGCTGCAGTGTGTCTCCCAACCATATTCCGAAGGTGCCCCCTCATCTATTTCTAGGACAACAGCCCACTCCCTTCCACCTCCTAGCCGAAGGAGCGGCAAACCCCATAGCCTCTGAGCATTGATGTAATCCTTTGCACCAACACTGGTGCAATGGGTCCTGACCATGTGATGTTGCAGCATCTGAGACTCCTCACCTCCCACCGTGCCCACCTTAGCCAAAGGCCACTCCTGGGGTGCCCGTCCCCCCCCTGCAGCGATAACCCCACGCTGCCCCATTTTTGGCCAAGGCGGTCCTGTAACGGCTCCAGAGAAGAGTCCTGAAGGGGGCCGGCTCCCCGTTATCTGCATTGCAAATTCCTGGCCCGTTGGGTGACAATTTTCCTATGCAAAATTAAAGTAGAACAGGGATTTTGGAGGGGAGAGAAGTGGGGATCCAAAATGAAAGAAGGGGGGGGCCTGTGACTGGGGCAGAGGCTCTGTTACAGGGAAGGGAGAGGTGTGGACGTCTTCAAAGTGCTCTGGGATTGTCTTTGGCTGCCACCAACTTGGAACGAAAAATCTCTTTCCCCTCCCCAGTCTCCCTGGCTGCCAACAGGGCTCCATCCAGTCTCTCTCTCTCTCTCTCTGTCCTGACTGGTGGCGGATGAGGATCACCCCATGGCAGGAGGGGCGCTGCGGAGCAGGGACCGTGGGTTGTTTGACCGTGATGCCAAGGTGTCCTTGTCTTTTGCTCCCCGCTTCTGGGATTCAAGAGGGGGTGGCTGCACGGGAGCGGGGCCAGGCCAGGGGGTGGAGGCTGCTCCCCGAGATTCAGATGAGCGAGATTCGGACAGGGATACTGGGAGACTCCGTCCTTTGAGGAGAGTGTTGACTCACTAGATGTTCAACCACCGTGTGTTTTGACATGTGCTTCATCAAATAGGTCTCCTGGAGAGGGAGAAAGGGAAGGTCAGTTTCGGGGAAGCAGGAAGCGGCTGCCCCCCCCCCCTCTACGGTGACGTAGATTCATTTCAGCATGTCTGGGTCCTCCCTTCACCTCCACCCTGACCTGCTCCCACAGCATGCTTTGGGGGAGATTGGGGATCGGCCTGATCTACAGAGGGGATCTCCTGGCCCGCCACAGTTTCCCACAGGGCAGCTAGGGGAGAAACACCTCCACCCCGCAATCACCAAGCAGAAAACTAAAGTAAGCTGTGCACCCACACCCCACAATATCCCGACTCAAGTATTGTCCTGACAACTATGGAACTTGGATGGCTTTCAAAGAGGACTGGACCAATTCAAGGAGGACATAAAGCTATTGATGGCTACTCTGACGCATTTTCCTCCTCACAACAACTCTGCGAGCTGGGTTAGGCCCAGAGCGGCCAACTGACCTCCCCCCCAAGGCCACCCCCAGTGGACTTCATGCCCAGTGCGTGGGGGGATTTGAACTCGTGTCTCTCGCACTCCCCACCTGCCTTGCTTCCTGCCCAGCCAAAAGCCCCTGCTACTCACTGAAGTGTAGGCCCGCCCACACATGCTGCAGCAGTAGGCCTTGGCGTGCTTGATTGCGTGTGCCGACAGGTGGATCTGGAGCGAGGCAGAGTCCGAGTAGGCCCGGTAGCAGTTCGGACACTTGTAGGGCTTGTCCTTGTTGTGTTGCCGTTGGTGAGACTGGGTGGGAAAGGGGCAGGAAGGAACAGGAGATTGACATGGCAGCCCTCAGACGTCCTGGGGGTGGGGTGGGGAAGTTCCTTAAACAAAAAGCCGCCCCACCGCCACCAACAACCAAGGTACCCCCCCCCATTGCGACTCTGAAGACCCAAGTCCTCCTACACTACTACTTTCACTGAGATCTCTGCAAAATCTTTGGTCCTCCTTGCTAAATCTGCAGCAGGGCAGTCAGATGAGACTTGCACCCTTTCACCCAGCTCAGATCAAGATGCCTCTCGCTCTCAGTGTGGCCAAGTTCTGACTGACCAATTGCATTTATAGCTCTCGAGGGAGCATACATGCTTCTCCCCCTCCCCACAACAACCTTGCAAAGTTGCTTAGGCTGAGATATACCAGCTGGCCCCCAAGGTCACACCCAGTGTGGGGGGAGCGATTTGAACCTGAGTCCGGCACTCTTAACCCACATGGGTTCTGTGCTGCAGCGAACAAAAGAATCACCAGGAACTGACCCCAGGCATTTTGTCATTTTCCTCTGGAGTTTGTGACATGACTGCAACTTTTAAAATGTTGATGCCAATTTCATTTTACTCTCTGCTACATACATACATAAAGCTATTTACCTGCCTTTCACACCAAGGTCCCAAAGCAGGTAATAATGTTCACTTGCTATTATCTTCAGCAACTAAGTAGAACCTCCGTCTTTAGAGGCAATATACTTTTGAACCTCAGAAGCTGCAGGACAAACATTTGAGCCCCCAAAGGTATCTGGCTGTCTGCTGTTGGAAGCAGAGGACTAGGCTAGATCAGCAGACCATCAAGACAATTTTTTTGGGTGTTTGCGGCATGAGATACATAAATATTCTGCACAGGAAAACCTCAGTCCCGTCTTGCCACACAGGTCACCCTATAAATGCACCCCAATTATCTCTAACCCTCAAATGCTTTGACCCACTCTGGGACTTCCAATTCACTTCCCTGGCACATACCACCTGAATTCCCAACCGACTGACCTGGAGGTTCGAGAGCTGTGTGAATGCCTTTTCACATCCGGCGTGAGGGCACTTGTAGGGTCTGTCTCCGGTGTGAATTCTGAAAGGCAGCAAGAGAGAACGCTGAGGTGTTTTCCACCTCTCCTCCATTGCTTCACTTACCTGATTTAGTTCACAAACCGCCTCCCGCAAAATATCTCACAGCAATTTCACATTAGGAAATGGTGAAATTAGTGGCTGCAAATCAGGACGGTTTTGAAAGGTATGGTACATAAAACAATTCCATATCTACAGGCATATTAAAAAACATTTCGTATATGTTAAAATCCTACCTTAACCAAGTTAAGAACTGCTGGTTTAATCTATCAAGTAGGAAACAAATCCTGAAAAATGTGCACTGTTATGCGTCAATTTATTCTGACGTTTCTGGTCAAAGAAGTGGGGTGTGTGTGTGTGCCATTTGACACACACTAACTCAAGCCATGAGGACTAAAGGCTTGCTTTTTTACTTAACCTTGTTCTTGTTAATGAAAAGGAGGATTTCCAGTTTCTGGTGGCCATCTTTGCTTCCCATGCTCACCCAAAATGGCAACCCAGTCGACTGATCCCAGCGAGCATAAGCAGGTCCCTTACCTGGTGTGTTGCTGGAGGTGGGAAAGTTGGCGGAAGGATTTCTCGCAGTAGGAGCAGTGATAGGGCTTGACGCCCAGGTGGATGCGCAAATGCTGCGCCAGGTAGGAGGCGTTGGCGAAGGACTTGGAGCAGTGGGGGCACTTGTGGGGCTTGGCCTCTGTGTGGGACTTGGAGTGGATCTGCATCTCCGACTTGGTGAAGAAAGTGAGGGGGCAGACTTTACACCTGGAGACGGTCAAGGACAAGAAGGGGGAGGCGTTTCAAAGACACAATTCTGCATCAAAACATAGTCACTATCATCATCTATTTCTTTACTTAATATCTTCAATTTCCTGCAGTGCAGCGGCTTGGACAGGATAACCTTTGGCATCCTCTCCAACTCTGCCATTCCATGATTCTATGCAGTGGTACCTCGGGTTAAGAACTTAATTCGTTCTGGAGGTCTGTTCTTAACCTGAAACTGTTCTTAACCTGAAGCAGCACTTTAGCTAATGGGGCCTCCCGCTGCCGCTGCACCACTGGAGCACAATTTCTGTTCTCGTCCTGAAGCAAAGTTCTTAACCTGAGGTAATATTTCGGGCTTAGCGGAGCCTGTAATCTGAAGCGTCTGTAACCTGAAGCGTCTGTAACCCGAGGTACCACTGTATATAGATATCCTGCCTTTCTCCCAAGTTGGGATTCATGGCAGCTTCCAGCGTCACAAAACATCATTATAAAATAGAAAGTATTTTTTTTAAAAAAACCCAGTTTAAAAACATCCATTAAAATACGCCTAAACACATTTAGAACCAGGAATAAAAATGTAAGCTGCCCTGACAGCAGACTAGTGGCCAGCATCACCTGCTCCTTGGTTTCTAAAGGTCTGTCTGAGCAGGAAAGTTGTGGCTCATTAGTTCACTGTAGCCTACTCCGACTGGCAGCAGCTCCCTAGCAAGCACATCCAACAAGCTGCCGCTTTTGGACTTCTCGGAGGCATTTCCTCTCCACACCATGGGTGGGAAGCTATTTCCAGCTCCATGGGTCAGACCATCATCAGGATTGGTCAAATTTGAGAGGTCAGCCGCCCATCTGTCAATAATGCAGCATCCTTACTGCATCACATGACTGAAAAGTGGCTGGCCCCACCCACCCAAAGCCCATTGGTGGGAGTGTCTCCTCCTGCTCACTGATTGGTTCATAGAGCTCAGTATTATCTACTCTGACTGAAAGCAGCTCTCCGGGCTTTTTTCCAGGCAGGGGGCATTCCCAGCCCTCCCTGGAGATGCCATTGCGGGTTGAACCCGGGGCCTTGTGCACACAAAGCAGCTGCTCCACCGCTGAGCTGCACCCATCCTCCTATCTCGAGTTTAAACTGGCACAGTCCAAGAACAGTGACCCTCTTCCTGACATAATTTTCATTTGATTTTACAAGTATAAAATTGTAAACAATAACCTAACACATATCCACAATTAAGAGATTCCTCCGAATCTCTGACTTCCCACCTTCCCCTCTAGGGGTTCTGTTATTAAAACTTTTATACTGCATCTTTTTCTGTACTCCATTTTTTTTAATAACTTCATTATCTCCACAATACCCGTTACATTACAAGTGTTATTGCAATCCTGCTAATGTTTTCATCTGTTTACAGTGGTCTCCAAGATAAATTATACATTTTCCCCATTCCTTATTAAAGTTTTGGTCTTCTTGGTTCCTGAGCTTTCCGGTCTTAAACCTGTTCATCCTTTGCATGCCATTCCAACATCAATCTGTACATTTCTGACAGTAATTTTATATTGTTTGCTAACAGATCGTGTTGAAACCTTGAGATTTCATAACTGAAAACCCCTCTTTTTATCCATTTTGAAGATACCATTGACCCTATTTCTGTACACAGAATCACAGAGTTGAAAGGGACCCCCAAGAGCCATCTAGTCCACCCCCCGCCATGCTAAGGGGCCTGAGGTCTCCCCACCCCACGCTGGCGACAGAGTGTTAACCCCTTCCCTCCCACGCACCTGTACGTCTTCCCCTCTTTGCCGATGTCGCCCGAAGCCAAGATGGGGTAGGGCACCACCAGGACGGGGGGCCCTGTGGGGTTCTCTGCCTTGATCTTCTTGCGGCCGCGCTCTGCCTTGGGTGCTCCCCCCAGCAGGCTGTGACCCTGAATGGTCTTGATGGAGTCCAAGAGTGGGGGGCTGGTGATCCCTGAGATGAGGGTGGGCGAAGAGGCAATGAGACGGCTCTGTGTGGTGGAGGTGGGGGTGGAGGGGGTGCTGGTGCCCGTCCCAGCGCTGGATTCCGAGGTGCTGACGGCCGTGGCGCGGGACCCCAGACCCAAACCTGGAAGACAGAAGCCGGGGCGGAGGGAGAGGACAGCTTAAGACAAGCCCCAGAACATGCCAGGAAGGCTGAGGGGGAAGGTCTTTGGCAACAGCTCAGAGTAGTAGTGGTTCATAAGCATTTGCCAGCACCGAATGTGGAGGCAGAGCGTAGCAATTGTGACTGGCAGCCACCCATGGCCCTCTCCTCTGTGGATTTGTCTCTTGTGAAACCGTCCAGGTTAGTGGCCATCGCTCCCTCCTGTGGGAGGGAGTTCCGTAGTTTAACTACGCCCTGTGTGGGAAAAGTCCTTTCTTTTCTCTGTTCTGAATCTTCCAACATTCAGATTCACCGGATGTTCACACGTTCTGGTCTTAGGAGAGAGGCGTCTCCTCTCACTGGTAAGGCACAAGCTTGAGCTTCGGAATACAGCATGATTGCATCTTACCCAAACCATTGGAGCAGCCCCCCATGGCTAGCAGGTGGCAGGGAGGGAGAGAAAGAGAACATCCAGCACTCCCAGAACCAGTGCCCCCAGCTTAAAGCTTTTTTAAATTAAATAGATAGATAGATAGATAGATAGATGGATAAATTCATTTTTCAAATTTACAAACAATCATCAAGCAAGCAAGCAAGCAAAAATCCATAAATTCCCATGGACTTCCCCTCCTCCCCTTTGTGGGTCCTTATGTTAACTTTTTTTCCTCCTGCATCTTCTCTGTTAATCCAGTTCTATTAAATCTCCATTCCAACGTTTAACTACAAGTGTCATTCCAATCCTACTAATTATTTTAGTTGTTTACAGTGATTTTTAAGGTAAATTATATATATTTTCCATTCCTTATTAAAATTTTGGTCTTCCTGATTCCAGCTTAATAATAATAATAATAATAATATTTATACTCTGCCCATCTGGCTGGGTTTCCCCAGCCACTATGGGCGGCTCCCAACAGAATATGAAAAACACGATAAAACATCAAACATTAAAAACTTCCCTAAACAGGGCTGCCTTCAGATGTCTTTTAAAAACCAGATAGTTTTTATTTCCTTGACAACTGATGGGAGGGCGTTCCACAGGGCGGGCGCCACTACCGAGAAGGCCCTCTGCCTTTGGAGCTCTCTGCCTTGCTTGCATTTATCTTGCAGGATTTCAACCAGCTGGCCTTCAACCATGTATGGTTGAAATTGCGCAAGTTAAATGGGAATAAGATGCGGTTGTGCCAAGTGTGTGTACACATAATATCACAAGCTGCTCAAAAAGCACACACTTGTTCTGGGCTTGCAGAAAATTCACTGCCTAGACATAGTCCCAGTTTGGGACTGCCCCCTCTTCCCGGTGCCTGTTTGCCCCCGGCTTACCTGTGACGGTGCTGGTGGCTGGGCGTGCGTGCAGGGCCACGTCGGGCTGGGGGACCGCCTGGGGGTGCAACCCGGGGACCTGCTGCAGCTTGGGGATAGACATGATGGACTGGCTCCCCTCGGCAGGTGAGGGGGGCACCAGCAGAGGCTGCTGGGAAGACACGGAAGTCGGGGGCAGGTGTGGGGGCCGGATCTTCTCTGCCATGAGCTGCTCCTTGATCTTGTTGATGAGAACTAGATTGTCCAGCTGAAGGGGGAAGAAGAACAAAAAGGTTATCAACCACTAAAGGGAGGAGCGTGTGCTTTTCTTGTGGACAAAGGTGTGGGCAAGAAGGTTAGGGCAAATATGGAGAAGGGCTGCAGTCAGTGGTTAGAGCACCTGCTTTGCATGCAAAAGGCCTCAAGTTCAATCTCGGCGTCTCGAACCACAAGGAGTAAGTGTAGACAATAGGGATGAGGAAGAAATTCAGTTTGGGTTTTAATGCAGATTTACCTACCGTATTTTTCGCCCTATAGGACGCACTTTTTCCCCTCCAAAAATGAAGGGGAAATGTGTGTGCGTCTATGGGGCGAATGCAGGCTTTCGCTGAAGCCTGGAGAGCGAGAGGGGTCGGTGCGCACCGACCCTTCTCACTCTCCAGGCTTCAGGAAGCTATCCGCCGGGCTTCAGGGAGTTCCCGCCGGGCTCCCAAGGCTTGCGGACAGCAGCCTGCAGCCCGAAACCCGGGGTGCGCAGCGGAGCGCGCCCCGGGCTTTGGGCAGATATCTGCAAGCCTGGTGAGACCAGCGGGAGTTTCCGCCAGGCTCCCAAGGCTTGCGGATAGCAGCCTGTTCTGGGGGCTGGGGTTGGGGAAAGCTCGGGCTTCCCCCGCCCCAGCCCCGTGCCTGGGGGGGGGAAATAATTTTTTCCCCTTTATTTCCCCCCCCCCAAAAAAAACTATGTGTGCCCTATGGGCCGGTGCGCCCTATAGGGCGAAAAATATGGTAATTTGCACTTCTTCTTTTTAAACATCTTTATTGAAAGTTCAAAAAGTACATACGGTAATTGTATGTGCACTAAACATGGTGAGACGTAAATAAGAGAGAGAGAAAGAAACAGAACCCTTGTACCCAATTTTCACTTCTTGAAACAAGATGTGGGCTGTAATGCAGGGACTCCTTTGAAATTCCCATTTCTCCAAGTTTTGTAATAAAGTTCTCCAACAAAAAACATGTACAAAAGTTGTATATATTAGTGAACAGAACACACAAAAATTCATTATATTGGAGAAAACTGCTTGCAAAAACGAGCAATTCGCATTAAAATGCTGATGGATTTTCAGGAGGACTTCTTAAAAATAAATTTTCAAACGGATGCATGAATGATGTGAACTGAAGACTTGAAAAATGAAAAAACAGAAACCAACAAATCTGTTTATTCTTCCTAGACAATACTGAGCTAGACCAACTGAGGGGTCTGACACAGTGTCAGGCAGCTTCCTATGCTCCTCTGAAGATCTGGGGGTATGTGTGGACTAGAAACTTTAGAGGACTTATTTGTAAGGCTAGAAAACCTTGCATGTTTGGAGAACAGGTTCTTACCTGGCTGGGCATCGTGGGAGGGGGTGGCCAGAAGTAGGGGTTGTTAAAGCGCGGCTCCGCCATCCTGCGGGGAAAGCAAAAGAAGAGGGAGAGAGGTGGTTATGGTGGGGTAGGACTGGCCGTGGTGGCAAAAGACATCCTCACACCTCTGGGAAGGAAAAACACATTCCCACTCCCGGCTCCCCAAATGACGGGCACCTCAGCCCTAGCCTCAGGCGAGAGCCAAAGAGGGCGATGATCCAATCACAGAGGAGGAGTAATAAAATAAGAAAGGACCAAGTCATTCTTAACACTTTCATCACTTCACTAACTTGATTTGGGGGTCAAATACTCTCCAGTTTAGTCACAATTAAAAAAACACAGGAGATTAATTTAACCATGGCTCCCGTTTCATGTAATAAACACACACACACACACACAGCCAAGCCCCTGCTACTATTCCCCTCACATTAACCCCTCCCCAGCTTCCCTTTCCAACCCTATGTAGCTACTAAGCTCGCTTTTCACTTTCCCAATCCCATTTTTTTGGTGTGAAAATCCCGGATTGTGATGCAGCACAAATGGTGGCTGCATGACCACAGCCTTACATTTTTATGCATATAAGAAGATAATGACATTGTATTCAGCATGACTGTTTATGGAGCACAACTAGACAGGGGTGGTATTTGGAGTCCATAATGACCTTGTCTTGATGCCATTCACAGACCCCTAATCCCTTCCTCATACATCTTCCCTTTCAGATCAAAAACTGCTAGGGTATGGTCTGAAGACACACTTCTTGCTGACCACTTTGCCTGGGTCAGGTCAGTGCCTAAATGGATGACCAGGTCTTCCCTTTCGGCCCATGATGGAAGAAAGGTGGGATGTAAATGTGAGAAACTGATGATTTAATGGTTAAGGTCTCTTTGCCTTAATTGTTTCAACATAATTCTAGTCAGTATCAAAAAGGCTGGGGCCATTTCAACCTCCAATGCCTTGAACCTGCAGTCAATTCCCCCACCTCACCCCAAATTCATTTTAATCAGCTTTTGACCTGGGTAGCCTTTTAGGGTAACCATCAAATTGTTATTATATTAAAAAAAAATGGGAGGCAGTACCAAACAATTAACCCCTTTACTGTAGGGAAAATATAGTGTTATGAAGCAGCACAGGCTAGGAGAAATTGTAGAATCTTAGGTTTGGAAGGGACCCAGGGGTCATCTAGTCCAACACCCTGCAATGAAGGAATCTCAGCTAAAGCATCCCTGGTAGAGGATTGTTTTTAAGCTATTTATAAACCCACATTATGTGGGAGGACAAAACTATGGTCTGGAGACTTGTCAGTGGTCCAGGTGGTCCCCAGAGTCATATAAAAAAATGACAAGGAAGGGCAGACATCTAAAGTTGAATCAACAGAAGCTTTAGGCTGCATTCCTATTCACACTTACCTGGGTGTAAGTCCCACCGGTCTCAATGGGGCTTACTTTTGAGTAGACATGTATAGGCTTGCCCTGCCAGTTAAATAAATGGTGGGAAACAATTCATTTTAATCGGGGAGAACAATTTAATTCAGCAGGGTTAAGAATTAAGGACACACTTGCCTATTTATTCAAATGTTTGAGACTTTTCTGGACTGCGAATTGCTCCCACAATAGTGAATTGATAACTACAGACAAACAGAGTTGGTCTTTGCTTCTACAATGGATGGCAGCTTAGAAAATGTATTATTTAATTGTTTTTGTCCCAGGGTCTGTTTGAAGGCCCACAAGGCCACCCCTCTGCTAAGGCTAATGGCTGGATGAGTGCCCCACCTGGGATTTCATGAGGGAAGAAAGGTTGGATTTCAATGTAAGAAAATAGCTGGCTAAATAAAATTATCCTGCGGTTCCTTCAATAAATATTGCTCTTTACTATTTATAAATATTGTTCTTTACTATTTATATATACACAGATTGATAGTAAAAAATAAATAAATCCACAAACCTCAAAGCGGCTTAAAAAATATAAAACAATAAAATTATCACTAAGGAAAATGAACAACAATAATTGAAAACTTTTGAAGAGTTAAACAATAGACTAAAAAACCAATTAAAACTCACACGAACTTTATAGAACATCTAGACAGGCTTGTCTAAACACAAATGTTTTTAGTAGGTGCCTGCCTGATCTCAACAGGCAGGGAGTTCCAAAGTGCAGGTGCCGCCACACTAAAAGACCGAGTTATTGCAAGTGCAGAACAGATGTTATGCAGCACTTGTAACAGTGCCAGTTCCACCAATCGAAGCCGCTGAGTGGGTTCAAATGGGGGAAGGTGCTCTTCCCCCCACCCCCCAAAAATGTCATCTGCACTGAGATTTGATAAGAAGCAGCATTCTTATTTAACAAGTGTATTGTCTGGAATTAAACCTTTTTAAAATGCTTTAGTTGGATGATTCTCTAACTAAGCCCTGCCATTTCCAAATTGTGCTAATCGTGCTCGGGGAGGGGGTAACTTAGGAGAGGAAAGTGAGGCCAGGAGTTGTGGGGGTCCTCAGGAATGGGGTGGGAATATTGGCTAATGGCTCCTTGGGTCCGTAACCCTCCTAGTAAGTTCCAAGTCAGCAAACGCAGACTGAAATCCCATATACTTCACCTCTGTATTCTAATAACAGCCATGAAGATACGCAACAGAAACCACATACAAGTTTAAAATGTGAGATATCGGCTAACTAGTACAGAAAGATGTTTTCTTAAATTGCTCGCATAAGCCTGGCTGCACCGAACAGTTTTCAGCAAACATTGAAAGATTAAAACAGACCACACACGCTAAATCTTGTCGTTCCACAGGCCTCAGCAGATGACACTAAAGGCTCAGTTTTGTGCCACTGTCAAATGTGCCCAGTGAACCGAGGGAATGACCTAGGATCCTCCTGTAGATGATCGAAGTGATCAAGCTGGGATAAACGGGTTCAGGCAATCCCTAGGTGCCCTGGACCCAAGTTGTTCAGGACTTTGTAAATAGCAAGGTAAAGGTAAAGGTAAAGGGACCCATGACCATTAGGTCCAGTCGTGGCCGACTTTGGGGTTGCAGTGCTCATCTCGCTTTATAGGCCGAGGGAGCCGGCGTACAGCTTCCGGGTCATGTGGCCAGCATGACTAAGCTGCTTCTGGCGAACCAGAGCAGTGCACGGAAATGCCGTTTACCTTCCTGCCAGAGCAGTACCTATTTATCTACTTGCACTTTGACGTGCTTTCAAACTGCTAGGTGGGCAGGAGCAGGGACCAAGCAACGGGAGCTCACCCCGTCGCAGGGATTCGAACCGCCGACCTTCTGATAAGCAAGCCCTAGGCTCTGTGGTTTAGCAAACACAACCCCAATTTCCCAGCATTTGACTCCCTTCCAAATAAATAAAACAAGTGCTCCCAGGAGCTGAATTATGCACCCAATAGCCACATCCCACCCTTGCGGGACAACAGTATGTCAAAAAAACCCAATACGCCTCTTTCTCCTGCAACCTGATCTGGTTATCTCTAAAGTGGGATACAATTACACTGCAATGTGTGAACATGACAATCTAGTACCACACAGATACGCTTCTGAAGCTGGCCTGGAGATCCCTGTTGCATGCCTATGTCATCATCTACCATGGAAGCCTGTTGCTAGGCAGACTCAAACTTTTAAAATAAAATAAGTAACCACGGCTGAAGGATGCTGCTAGTCTGGGGGCCAAACGCTGTAAATGTGCGGAGAGCTTACAAAACGCTTAAAATAATAGGGTTGCCCACCCCTCCAAAAAAATGCAACCATGCCAACAAGGTCTATTTTTGTCCCTGCTCAACAGTACAGTTTTCGACGACGACCCTTTATAACGCAAACACCACCAGTATTTTGTTTGGAAGGTAAAATGCGGCTTCTACTGTTCCAATCCATGTTTAAAACCCAGGCTGAAAGCATCTAGATGAGCCCCGTGCTCTTCAGATGCTTTTGACTACAACTCCCATCAGCCCCGAAAGTATCTGGGGGGTGTACCAGGCTGAGAAAGACAGGTTTGAGGGGGGGGGCAAAGGACAGTAGTAGGGGATGAAACTGGGAAAAAGCAAGAGACCCTTTTATTGCAATGCGTTCATAGCCAGAGAGGCAAAATGGAAGATGCCACACTGCAGGAAAGCAACTCAAAGAGAAATTACGGGGTAGCAGGAGCCATTTGGGACATATCCCACCCAGCAAGGAATCAAAGTTAGCAATGAGTCTGGGGTTTCACGGCCCCTGTTCAACCTTGCCAACTGCAGAGCACCGCAGGTGCCAGTCTGAAAATAAATTCTTAGAAAAGTAGCATATGCTCATTGTATACATACATATGTATATGTGTCTATATATATATATATATATATATATATATATATATATATACACACACACAGAGAGAGAGAGAGAGAGAGAGAGAGATATGCAAATTTAGGCCAACTTTCAAAGAGAGTGGGGACACCCCCAAATTCTGTCTCTTGCTGCAATGGCTTACTATGAAGTGCCAACAGGAATTATGGGCCCCCGACTTTAATTTGTTCTGGAAAACTAAGAAAACTCCTGCTGCCCTTTAAACAAAGATTTCTTTAAAGGTTTTTTTTAAAAAAAATATATGGGAGAAGGACAGCAGATTCTGGGGGCCCAGGTCACCCCATCAAACACCCTGCAAATTGCCTTCCCAGAGACCATCAATTTAGTCCTTTTATAGCTAGCAAAATAACTCTTCCAGGACAGAGGTTGTGGGCAGACTACAGGCTTGCAGACTCTGATTTGTTCTTTGCTAGAATCTTGAGGGCTTGCGACCAGAGCAAAGTAGAAAAAATAATAATAAACTGCTGCCATATTTTGAAGAGCAAAAAAGTGGACACATTTGCCAACTTCTACTTTTAACTATGGATCGCTATGGCAACTCTAATTTTACACACTCATGAAAAAGAGGCCGTATCCCGGAAAAAGAGGACATAGGGTAACCCTAAGTAGCCTAAGGAATAAAGGTGCCTCTGAGCATGTGCCCAGCGCAGGAATTTGTGATCCAAGCTCACAAGTCCTTTCATCAAGGGATGTAAAGTGGAAAAGTTCCCCAAACGGAACATTTATGTGTTTATTTATTTAGCTGGATTTATATACCGCTTGGTCATCGAAACCTCTAAGCTGTTTACATTAAAATTCCAATTTCTAAGCTCAATTAGGAACAATTGCAAATATAATATTAGACAAGCATGTCGGTTTCAACACATTTACCGTAGCTTTGTTTACTAAACACAAGCAAACCAGACCTGCTAAATTCAATCCCTGCCTAAGGCTGGGCATCAAAACATTTTCGCTGCAAAGTTATCTATGGATTCTACTATTTTATCCGAGGCAAAATAAATAATAAATAAATAAATAAAATACTCTCCTTTGCACAGGAAAACTTTCCAATTCCAAATTCTCTGCAGCAAAATGGAAAGAATAATAGTAATCCAATGCAAGTTACTGTCATTCGCATAAAAAGCATTTCCGGAAATGTTTTCCCAGTTCAAAACCTTTCAAGAAAGTTTCACCTTCTACACCAAACCCACTATTTTTCAGTAGCCTAATTTAGGGGGTAGATAGCATGTGAACTGGCAGACCTACAGAGTGAGATGGGGGCAGGGGGCGGGGGGAAGATCTACAGCATCCTCTGACCAGAAGCAAGCAAGACCTAGCCATCATCTGGTTAAGTCCTGCCTTGAGGACCCTTACAGCCAAGGGGCCTCACAGTCAGGTCAGCAGATATATACGCACATAAAGAAAGACACAACACAAACCCATTTTAGCTCAGGCACTATGATCAGGCCTGGCACCAAAGCCCAGCACCCATGGGCAGCTACTATGCCCCTCCTGCTCTCATAGGGCTGATTGCTCTCACCCACTTTGTGCTGCAGGAATTTTTTATCGGGGCAAAGGAATTCAGCACTGAGTTTGGGAGTTTCCCACTCCAAAAATGAAAAGTGTCCGTACGACAATTTTATTACTGATCATTTATGTAAATCATTTCTATCCATCTCTTCAGCCCCCAAAAGCTCCGAGTGACTTCACAAATGCAAAGCAATGTGTGCTCCATGCTTAGAGTATCTGCATTGCATGCAAGAGCCCTCAGGTTCAATCCCTGGTATTGGCAACCCCAGATCTACTATATTAATCCAAAATTTTTACTGCCGTGTACTGGGAGACTAAACGCAGACCTGTTTGAGATCTTGACCTCCCAACTCTAAGGCTTAATACTGATGGACAAACCGGCAATCTATGTCTGAAAGAGTCGATCAGGCGGGAAGCAACTACTTTTCAATAAACCTTGCATACTTTTATTTTATATGCAATGTCGATAAAACGTGGTTACAGGCCTCTGAGGAGACATGGCAACTTGTGGAACGATGCCTTTGTTTAAAAATGGAAATGACCTGAAAGTTAAAAGTAATTCAACAGGCATTTGGTGCTTCTGTGCAAGGTGGGTAGTATTGTTGAATATCAATAAGTGAGAACAGCTGGGAAAATAATCTACAATTTAATTATTTTTTTTTAAAAAGTGGGAGGGCTCAAACTGGGGACGAGACTGCCACTTACCCAAGTTCTAATCTTCCATGCTAACATCTGCTAGCTACAATAACTGCACATAACCTCTAATTTGTGGAAATGTCCTTTAGAGGAAGGGCAGTAGATGAATGTTGGAGCATCTACAAAAGGCCCCAGGTCCCGTTCCCAAGAGCATCTCTAGGTAAGCTCTGAGAATGCCTCCTGCCTAACACCTTGGAGAGCTACTTGCCAAGTCAGTGTGGACCATATTGAGCTAGGATGGACCGGTGATCTGACTTCCGCAAAAGACATCTACCTATGTTCTATATTCTGATGCAGTTATATCTCTTGAGTACCAAGATACTTTGGGGAGAGACCATCCCCTTCCTACTCTGCTTGATATCTCCTAGAAAGGCACCTCGCTTTGCCACCACGGGAAACAGAATCCCAGTGGATTCCCAATCTCGGTTCCCCCTTCAGGTGTCCTGCATCTCAGCTCCCATCAGCCCCTTGTCAGTGTGGCCACCAGTGAGGAACAATGGGAGCTGCAGACCCAAATGATCTGCAGGGTAGTGGAAATGCTGGACAAGTGAGCTCCTGGTCTCAGCTGGCAATGCAACAGCATATCTGCCAGGACTAAGGAAGGTATATTCGGCCCACAAGGGCAATCTTCCAGGCCAGGGGCCACATGCCAGGGTGGGCAAAGGCAAAAGCAGGCCAGACAACACGTGCAATGCTTACATTTTAGCCATGCAAAAAGCTGCAAGTTTCTTCGTAGCTCATCTCTCTGTCCAGGCAAGCACGGAGGCCATTAGCAGAGTCCCTGCCAGGCAAAAGCACTTTGGAAGGGCATGAAGCAGGGCACAGGGAGAGTCCTGGGGGGCAGATCAAGAGGCGTGGAGGGCCACATTTGGCCCATGGGCTGGATTGAGAGGAAGGACTGCTTTGGGGGCCCCGTTATACCAGGGAGAGGGGTCCGTTTCAAGGTTCACGCAGCCAGGGCAGGTCAGCTGCAGCCCTGCAAAAAGGGAAGACATTAGCAGCGCCGTGGTTCGTACTCACAGGCTGGCCTCGGAAGCCCGGTGGCCGCAGCTGCCCGAGGAGACGTGAAGATGGTGCTCCAGGCTGGCGGGCGGCAGACGGTCCCCCGCTGGTGCAGGCAGGTACGAGCACCAGTGCCCAGGGCTGGCCTGGGGGTTTCACAGGCCTTCGCCAGCTCCTACCCAACTGTTGTTAAAACAAGCTAGGGCCCCATGTGGGACTGCTCTGCTTTTGAGGCCCCCTCTGTCTCGCCTTGCTGAAATAAAGAGAAATAAATAAGATGTTTTGTTTTCCCCCCACGCAGAAATGGCAGGTTCACCGATGGGAAGGGATGCGCTGGCAAACACACCCCTGGAGAGAGAGAGAACCAAGCTGAGCTCTTGAGCTGTGGCTGGTCGTGTAAGCCCCACATAGCTCAATGGAACCTCCAAGTCCAGAGTCAGTCTACCTCTCAAGCCCTGGGGAGCAGCAAATCGTGGAGGGAAATGCCAGTCGGGACCACTCAGTACGGGCTATTTGCACCACCTTTCTCTGGTTTTGTAACTGAGGTGTTTTGACTGCAGGAAAAGACTTGATTCAAAATAGTGCTTGTGCGTACAGAACTGATGAAGAAAAAATGAATGGCGAAGGAGCACACAGTGTTGGGTCGTGCCAATTAGAGAGGCAATGTGTGTAGTGGTTAGAGGTCTGAGTGATGGACTAAGACCTGGGACAGAGGAGGGTTCAAATTCCCCCACTCAGCCATGAAGCTCAACTGTCACTGTCTCTCAGCCCTGTCACTGTCTCTCAGCCCAAGTTACCTCACAGGATTGTTGTGATAAAGACAAAGAAGTTTTTTTGTGGGGGAGGGAGAACTGGGTATGCCACTTCAAGCTGCTTAGAGAAAGGGGGTGATATAAACGCAATATATACTGTATTTTTTGCTCTATAAGACTCACTTTTTCCCTCCTAAAAAGTAAGGGGAAATGTGTGTGCGTCTTATGGAGCGAATGCAGGCAGCGCAGCTATCCCAGAAGCCAGAACAGCAAGAGGGATTGCTGCTTTCGCTGCGCAGCGATCCCTCTTGCTGTTCTGGCTTCTGAGATGCAGAATATTTTTTTCTTGTTTTCCTCCTCCCAAAACTAGGTGCGTCTTGTGGTCTGGTGCGTCTTATAGAGCAAAAAATACGGTAAATAAAACTTGGAGCCGGCACCTGGAATGGCAGGGCATCAGAAAAAATTATTGCTCAAAATTTTAAAAGACTAAGTACAAGATTGGAGAGCAACTGGAGAGGAAATGCTGTGGGGGGGTGGTGCTTCTAAAAGGATTAAGTAACAAATTAAGCTCTCCTGTCACCTCTCTTGTAAAAGGGAGCCAATCTCTAGAGATTGAGCCTTGGCCTGGAACTACAAATGCTGCCAAACCTAGCTGTGGATGGCAGCCCTGGACTGTATCCAACCAAATCCTACTTAGAATACACCCACTGAAATCAATGAACCTAGGGCAGGAATGTCCATTCATTTCAGCGTGTCTACTCTGAGTAGGACTATCACTGGCTCACCCACGTTCCAGCGTGCTATATTATGTGTATTCATCAGGCTGCCAATGGGGTCTCAGAGGCACCCCCATACAATGTCAGAATAGGGTAACCAAAAGCATCAAAGAGAGATGGAGCGACTCCCCCGTGAAGAAATTATGCAGCACGTGGGACTTTTTAGGTTACAGAAAAGGCAAGTGAGAGGCCGCACGATATTGTATTTTAGTGTTCTGTTGGAAGCGGACCAGAGTGGCTGGGGAAACCCAGTCAGATGGGTGGGGAATAAAATAATAATAATAATAATAATAATAATAATACACATTTATAAAATTAAATGTGGCATGGAGAGAGTGGATAGGGATTGGCCTGATCCAGCAGGCTCTTCATAAGTTTGGATAATGCCAAAGCCAGCGCAACAGAGAATGTGCATCCTCAAAACATGTCAGAAATCTTTCTGCAACAAACAGGTGCTGCAGTTGCACCCAAGCACAAGAGCGCTCTCCCCTCCTGTATTCCGTAAACCTGCTCAATCAGGCCAATGGCCCATCCAGTCCAGCATCCTGTTCTTACAGATGGCCCTTTGGGAAGCTGGACATGAGTGAAACAGCACTCTGTCCATCTGTGATTTCTAGAAACTGGTACAGTATTCAGAGGCACGCTGCCTCCGACTGTGAATGCATAGCTTAGCCTTTATGGCTAGTAGGGTTGTTACTAATGAAAACGAACCCTGAACATTCAAAGAGGAGAATAAACACACACAGGGCTACAGTCCTGAGCAAGTGAAGCCCGGATTCTGGACTCTGCTTCTGGATCATTTGCACTGCATCAGGCACGCAAATAGCCACTGGCCTGGTAAAAATCGGCTCCATGCAGAGGAAACTCACAAAAACTGTTTTCTACTATCGCCTTTCCTTTCTTCTTAAAATTATATTGAATATACAACTCAAAGAGAGAATGAGCATAATGCAAACACAAGAAAATCTACCATTCGAGATCCAAAGTTGCATGAATCTATTTTCACCAATTCAATGAAGTTTGTCAAGGTTATGGAAACTGCCAAATCGTAAACCCTGCAAAACAAATTCCTTCTAAGGATAGAAAGGTTTTCCCTCTTTTCCAGCAGAAGCAAAGCTTTACTTTACCAGCACCATATCATCCTAGTCCACAAGGAGCCCCCTAGAATCTAATACAACATCTGGAATGTTAAACCAGCTAGCAGGTCTTTTCCTTCTAGCTACAAATCACTGAGATAGATAGGTCTGGGCAAGTGGGAGAGTAATTTTTAAGGTCTCAAACTGCACAGCTGCCTCCAGTTCCAGATGTTGGCACAGATCCAACCTGCCTGTAGTAATGTCTCTATCCATCAGCATCTTCCTATTATTTGAGATCTGCTGGTGTCCCCGCTTTGCATGATTTAAAACCAGGTGGGGTTCAAGCAGAGCTCTCTTGGTGGTGGCACCACAGCTGCGGAACCGGCTTCCCAGGGAGGCCACACACAGCTTCCACCGCATCTGAGGCTGCACCTTTGTAACTCCCTCCCAGTAGAGATGTAATGGGAGGCTACTCTCCAAGCTTTACAGAAATTCCTTCATTGGCTTTCCCCTGAATAATATTCTGTCCCACTGACTGGTTGAAGCTGGAATATGGTGGTGCTATTTGTGTTCTGAGTCTGTTCTTATTTTTCTTCTGTTTTATTCTTAGGTTTCCTTCCTGGTTTCAGTCACGCTAATTTTTCTTTTTACTTGTCTTTATTGTGATGCGATGCTTCAGGTGGTCTTCCCCCAGAGAAGGAACATATATTTAAAAATAAATAAATGCAAATAAATAAAGCAAGCATCCACATTCTAAGCTGTGCTGGGCTTTAAATTTTAGCACACACACCTTGAGTTTGGTGGCATATTGGCAGCCAGGTGGAACTCCTTTAGAACTGGTGTGACACGTCCTTGGCAAGCTGGCTTGCTTAACAACCTATCTGCTGCTTTTTGCCCTGGCTGCAGCTTCCGAGCCAAGCAGACAGCATTGCAAAAGTCCAACCTTGCAGTTCCCAGCGAATGGATCAAGTAGTTAAACAATGGCATTTGCTGCCTGAGCTGCGTCACCAATTTAGGTGGCTTCAAAGGAGTGGAGGTAGGTTTTGGAGAAATTAAGGGGGGGGGGAAGCTGTCAATGGCTACTTTCCATGGTGACTGTAAGCTTCCAGCAGGAGCAGTCTATCTGATGCACCAGAATTAGGCACCATTACTCTGAAAGGCCCACAAACCACCTCAGTTTACCCTGCTGAGGAACAGGTGGGCGAGCCTGGCGTAAAAATAGCTGCTGAGGCACTAGGTGGCAAAATGTATGTTCGCAGGGAATACCAAAAGGCAGCCTGTGGGCTGTTTCCTAGAGACTTCCTGTGCTCTCTCCTGAACCCTTCCAGTGACTTGGGCTTGATAGGGAAGCCCATCAATTGGTTGCCAAGCAACCACTCCGTCTGTTAACTCACCCTAGGCCAAAGATGAGGAACCGGAAGCACTCCAGCTCCTATCACCTCCAGCATTTGGTCCTGCTTTCTGGGGCTGATGGCAGCTGGAGGCCTACCACATCTGGAAGAAACCCTCACAGGCTCTCCACCTCTGTGTCAGCTGCTGAGGTGGCCGCCTCAGGCAAATTGGCTGGGATGTCAAGTAGTTAGCCCTTTTATTAATTAATTGCTGCCAGAGACAGGATTTCTGGGATTTTTCTGCCAGGTGTCTAAATAAACTCAATCTGCTCTGGGTACAAAGCACTTTGGGTGATGCGATAACTCAAAGTAGGCCCACTGCAATCGGGGAACTTTAGGTCACATCCACACCATTCCTTTAAAGCATGAGGATCCCACTTTGAACAATTCCTGGAGTTTCCTGGGAAGAACTGATTGTTAAACCACAACCACAAAATAACTTGCAACCATAAAACTAAGATGGGTCATAAAAATATTTGGTTTGCTTGAACAATGACTTATGGTCATTATAGACGAGATGTGAAAGGCCCCCTCTTTTTTCCTTCCTACTATATGGCACCCCAAATATCCTCATGTCACCCCATCTATTTCTTCATCTTTCCAATTAAATGTCACTTTGCCACATGAAGCGCTGAAGAGCCCAGTTTCTTTTCATTCCAAGTCTTGAAACGAACCCTGAAAAACAGCTTGCCTCTTCAGCACGTGCCAGGAAAATTCCAGGAAGGCCTCAGAGCCTACCAGAAACTGCACAGTGGGCCACTTGTAGCCCCAAACCCAATATTTTAAGAGAAACTACCCATTAGCAGGGAAACAACAGGGTTCCCAAACTTATATCCCCCCCAAATTTTAATGCACGGGTGGCAAGATTTACTGAGTGGGAGATGGGTGCTTAACTCAGATGTTGAGAAAATTGATGCGAGTCTTAAATCTGCTTTTAGTCTTGTTATTTCAACTTTTTGAATATCTTCAATTATTGCTATCAGTTTTTTTTTTAAGTAATAATTTTATTCTTTCATCTTTTCTGTTAACTGCTTTGAGGTTTTTCTAAAAACAACTGAGTAGCTGAATATCAAATACTAGAGACTAGCAACATTTAACTATTCTTCCCTGGTCTGTATGATTTATGCCAGAATAACTTGCAGCTAACTAAACGTTTGAGCTGGAAATATGACCCTGCAATTATTGTTATTCATTTATTGTTTTGTTTATTGTTTATTAATTTACTGTTTGTTTATTATTAATTGAATTGAGTTGATTATTTATTTATTAAATTGAGTTGCCAAAGGCAACTCAAAGCAACTTCCAACCAAATAAACAAACAAAACCCCACAGATACATTAAAACCAAAACAAACAAACAAACCAATTAATTAAATTAATACATTAAAAATACATTTAAAAACATTCTCCCACACTCTAAAAGGCCAGAGAAGACCGAAGGCCTGGCTAAAGAGGAAAGTTTTTGCCTGATGCCTAAAGATATGCAACAAGAGCCTCCCCAGGGAGAGTATTCCTCAAATGAGGAGCCACCACTGAAAAGGCCCCTTCTCGTGTTGCCACTCCCCCGATCTCCCATGGAAGAGCCACACGAAAGAGGGTTCAAGACCTGGTTTGGTTCATATGGAAAGAGGTTGTCCTTAAGCTTCTTAACTGCTCCCAATCCTGCTCCTTAATTCTACAACTGAGAATTAGCTGCTTCTGAATCTGTACACCAGGGATGGGGAGCCTGAATGTGCCTCCCTGGACTCCCAACTCCAATCAGTCCCAGCCAGCAATGGCCAGTGAGCCACAGAAGAGGCAGCCTACAGCAAGCCAACATCTAAGCCTCAGCCCCAACCGCAATACAGAGAGGATAATACCAGCCAGCCTTACAGGGCATTCATGTACCTAAAACTCTAGTATGCTGCAAACCCTTCTAAGCATCATCATCACAATATTATCTCTATATATTGGGAGTGGGGCTCAAGCTTCAAACTTCACAAAAAGCAACAAAGTGGTTCGTTTTGAAACCAGCCCATAGTTACGCTTCCAAGGAGAGTGTATCAAGGCAGAGGGCTGTGTGGATCTGCGACATAGAATATTAGATGGGCGACAGGTGAGCCTGTTGGAATTTGGCTTCAGCAAGGCGGGCAAACAAACGCGGACCTGGGATCACAACCTTGATCAGCCAGGCAGCACAACTGCAATGCTACACAGTTACCCGAGAAACTTCTGTGAACTCAGAGGAGCTCACTTCTGACCACGTTGCTCTAACTTGTAGGAGGACACATTTGAGCACAAGCCCACCGGAAGTTGGAACTACATCACTGAAAGGAACCACAAGGGTCATCTAGGCCAACCCCCTACAATGCAGGAATCACAGCTGAAGAATCCCTGACTGAAGGTCACCCAACTTTGGCTTAAGAACTTCAAATGAGTCCACCACTTTCCAAGGGAGTCTGTTCTGCTGTTGAACACACCAGAAAGTTCTTCCTCATGTTTAGTCAGATTCTCCTTTCTCATCATTTGAATCCACTGGTTTGGTTCCCACCCTCTGGAGCAGCAGAAAACAATACTGCTCCATTTTCGATGTGACAGCCCTTCAGAGATTTGAAGATGACCATCATATCACCTGTCGGTCTTCTCCAGGCTAAATATGCGCTCTTTAACGTCTAAACAGAAATGCAAACCATCTCCCAAGGTCTTGCCATTTAAACTGCGACCATGAATTAGGAGCACGGGAACCGGCGTATATACGGAGCCAGACAACTGGTTCACTTGGCTTAGTGTCTACACCAATTTCCAGTCGCTCTCCAGGATTTGAGGCAGGCGACAATCACAGCCCAACTTAGGGACGCCATTTGGGGACTGAACCCAGGAGCTTCTGCATAAAAAGCAGATGCTCTACCTTTTGAGTATCTCCTCCATTATTTTCCTTATTCTTCCACCCGCTCTACACCAGCCTCCTCCACTTTGCTCCCACCATATATTGTTGAACTCCTGCCACCACCAGCCAGCATGGCCAATTGGTCAGGGATGATGGGCACCGTGGCCCCAGATTTTTCAAAGGCTGGCACAGACTGGTCTATACTAATCGGTAGTAAAACTTGAAAGCCTCATTATCATCTCATCCATTTGCCAGAACCAGGAGGGTTCATCTGTTAACCCTGGCACTCCAACAGACACCAGCGCTCTGAGGAAAAAAAGCCCAGAGCTAAGTTCTTCCCACTATTCCTGCTCCACTAAATATATGATCAAAGGGAGATCATCTGCTGATCCACCTTGTACGAGCAGCAAGGGAACCATGCAACTGTCACATGCAGCTTTAAAAACTCAAGATATAGTATCTAATTGCCAAAATGCACCTTAAACCTAGGTTACGGTCATCACAACAGAATGTCCAGGCACCATTTTTCTCCATTGATGTTTGCGGTTGTTGTTATAATTATTATTATTAATTTCATTTCTATATCGCTTTATATTTTAATGAACAGCTCTCAAAAACACCTTCAAATCAAACAATGCAGAGTAAAACAAATCCAAGCTTCAAGGAAAACATTCCAGATCCTTCTCTAAGTGACCTTTTGCTTTCCTCAGTCACCAACCTGCCCCCCCCCCCCGAGAGCTCTACATGGTCGCAAGTGGACCTGCGCCTGAGGCAAAACGCACCTGGCTAATTTCGAACACTGGTTTCTCCCCCCCCCCAACCAAGATCCCCAACGAGGTTCTGGTCAGCCAAGATGTGGGCGAAGGGCCCTAAACCATGACCACCACCCCTCCTCCAGAGGGTGAAATGGCTGCTAGCCACAACAGCTATCTTCATGGCTGGAGGCAGTAATGCTTCTGACTACCAGTTGCTGGAAGCCACAGGAGGGGAGAGTGCGCTTGTGCATGGGACCTGCTTGTGGGTTTCTGCACCCGAGTGGCCACTGTTTGAAGTGGATGTTGGACTAGATGGGCCACTGGCCTGATCCACTAGAGCTCTCCTCATGTTCTTATGTTTAAATGAAAGGAACAAACGTCTCCGGCTGGCCCACATGCACTCGGTCAACAACAACCATCCTGTACAAGAATGATGCTGGAGCTGTTTCCTCAACTGGGAGCAAGAACCTCTTGCTCTCATGCGCAACCCAGTCGCCCTTTCCCACAAGCCTGTCTCCCGTGAGTTCGGTTTAATGGCCGTATTCGGCGTGGCAATGCGCTGCCGTTTACTCCATTTGCCCTCATTGACTGGCGGTTTTAGTTCACACCATCAACCGTCCTAAGCATCTCCCACCAGGAAGGGGAACGCACAAGAAGCATTTCCCTCAAAATAAGTCGCTTTGCCAAGGCCTCTCTGCTGGAGGAGGGGAACCAAGTGCCCTTTCCCACAGAATCTTCCAGCAAGAGGCAAGACAAAAGGCTCCATCAAAGCCTTGGTTGTTGGTCACTCTGTGGAGGGCAGAGGGTGTGTTTGGCCCCGTGGACCATTTTTGTGAGGGAAAAGAGAATTGGGGGGGGGGGTCTTCATGAGGAAGCCCATCTGGGTCAAGTTGGGAACAAGAGAAATAACAGCAAGTACACAGCATGCAAACCAAACATTTCTTGGCTTTTCTACCAGTGTTATACCGGTAAATGGTGGAAAAATTAAGCGTTGCACTGAACATCAGGTCCTTCATTCATTTCCCTACAAATATATCCACAACTAGGATTAGGCCCAATTTGTTCACGAACGCATTGTTTGATACATAAGGCCCTCATTCTTCCCGCACCCCAAAACCAGTTTTTCTAAGAATTACGAACCCAGGAGTCTACTTCTGTGCTTCTGCATGAGTCACTGTTTGGGATGCGACTCCTCACTGGAAGCCTGAGGTGGTTACCAATGCAGAGATGCAACAGCCAGCCTCCTTTAGAGTGTTGGTGATTTTGGTTTCCAGTCTACACTGGGAATGATCCCCTCACACCAAATTATGAGACTTTGTAGAGTTGCCCATCCCCAGGAAGCAAGGCCTGAGTTGTAAATAATGCAGAGACACAACGAGCAACCTCCTCCCTGGAGATTCTCATTCTTAAACAGCACATTACCAGTTCTCTTGCAGTAGGCACTTTGGGAATTACTGGGGTATTCTTCTGGCTTCTCCCCATAATCACATAACTTAAGGATCAGGTCTGTATTTGTTCATGAATACATGGTCTGAAACCACAGCTCCTAAACATGAAGGAGGGCCCAGTTCTCAGTGATGGAGCCCCCTTCCCCAAAATACAACAGCAATATGAACACAGCCAAATGAACACAGAACAGGAAATACCAAGCCAATTCCTCTTGGGGTAAGGAGTCCAGTATTATCAAGAAGAGCTCTGTGTGACCCGAAAGCTTGCAAACTCATACAGCTACATTAGTCGGCCTTGCTTGAGGAAGAGCCAAAACCACATCATCTCTATCACCGAGTCTTACCTGACCTTCTAAGTTCCTATTCTCTGCCACCGACAAAAGCAACCAATGTCTTAAGATGCCAAATGGATCAACTACATGCACACACCAGGGCTGTCTGAACCCCTCTCTCAGCAATGTCCAGCCCAGCTCAGCCCCAGGATGGCCCAAAAACTTGTGTCCACCTCTTCTAAGGCCTCTCTGCCGGCCCGCTTCAAGATCAGCCACCCAATCCAATCTAACCCAAGCTGGCATTTGGGGGGTGGGTGGGTCAAATTGTGGTATTTTGGGCAGAAAGTCTCCAAAAGGCAAACTGCAAAAATTATAACTGAACAAAAGGACGTGGAGTTATGCCTCACAGATCCATGCACAGTGCACCATTCCACTGGAGGAGCAATAAATAAAAATTTTAAAACCAGCACATTTCCCAACCACTGTCGCCACCTCCCCACTACCGTCCAAAAATAAATCCATGCTTGTCTTAGGACACATTGCTTCTTCTTTCTTAAGTCCAATGGCAAATGAGCTCACACAAGATTCGGCCACCAAACATCTTAAAATTTAAGTCTAGACCAAACACCACATATACGGGGAGACAAATGCACATGGAAACATGAAATATAAATATACGCACACACATATAAAAGCTTATGTTTCTCTGAAACTGTACAGACCTTTCTCTACCGAACTGCAAAAGTGGGGTAGGGGGGTGGGGAGAGAGAGACAGGATCTCCAACATTTTTTTTAAGCTGCAGATTCCACACCAGGAGAAAATACCACATTCCAATTCTAACAGCTAATTTCCAAACTATTCCTCAGCAAACGTGGCATTTGCAAAAGCTGTTTTAAGAAAGCGAGCACAATACCCCATTAAAAGAAAAGGCATGTAGAAAAAAAAGAACCAACAAATTCAGTTACAACCGACCCCCCACTCCGTAAATATTCCAAAAGGGGGAAAAAGGAAAGAAAACTGTACAACTCCGAGTCACTTGGGAGAGAGGGGGTGTCCTTTTTTATGCAATATTTTCATAGCCAACTTTCGCATAAGTTAACTTCAGATCTAAAAAAATAAATAAACAAACAGCCATTTCTTTCCCCCCTTCTCCCCTTAAATAAAAGTGCAATCGACACGCAATTCACAGTGCAAGAAGCAAAAACAACAGTGCAACATCCCAGACTCACACACACAAAAGCAAAGCAAGATTACAACAACGCCAACCCCCCTCCCCAAAAAGCATAAAACCCCAGAACAAAGCAAAACACCCCTTTTCAGGTGCCCCCGGTTCCCCCCTGGGCTGCGTCTCCAACACTCTCAAGACAGTTTTATTATTATTATTATTAAAATTTGCAGACAAAAGGGGAAACAAAAATGGCAGCCTCGCTTATTTTTAAAACAGAAACGGGGACGCCATATTCTGCAGATCTGCAAAAAAGGGAGAAATCGGAAGCTTCGCCTGGACTCCGAGAGGGGAAGAAGAGAGGAGGAAAAAAAAAATTCAGGCAGCCGCAAAACTAGAAAGTCGGAGGGGGGGAAAACGGGAGGAAAAAAAAAAATTAAGCTCCTTTTTGCCCTCGCCTTTATTTGCATTAAATCATTGTTGGCCGGAGGTCTTTTTGCACCAAAAGGGGTGTTTTGTTTTATTTATTTTTTTAACGTATTATTCTTAATAATCTTTCCCTCTTTTGAATAGCCCGGCTTTTATTTATTTAAAAAAAAAAAGACACTTCCTATACCAATACACATGCTCCGCTTGCAAATTGCAACCCAAGCCAGAGATCCGTCTGCAAAGGAAGAAAATGGGCACCCCCGTTTCGCTTCCTCTTCCTCGCCTCCTCCTCCTCCTCCTCCATCTCCACCCGCCCAACCTTTAGTTACGTCGGGGGGGGGGCGGAATAAGGAGGAGGAGGAGACGACCGGGGAAAGTGGGGGGGACACACACCGGGAAGACAGTGCCCCCCCCCGCACGATCTCCGGTGCAGACCTGCTGCAAATGCGCGCATCGAATTTGCAAACGCACCCTCTCCCCCCACCCAATTCTCCCCCCCCTTTGCAATCTTAGCCTGAAACTGACATGCATTTTGCAGAAAGCCAAAGAAGGAGAGAAAAAAAGCATGCGGCGTTGCTACTGAGCTGCAACATTTGCAATCTAGCCCCCCCCCCACTCCACAAGTTTAACCCCACCAGCCTCCAACCTCGCCAATCCTTGCTTGGAGCTGGCCTGGGAGAGCGCGTCCGCCTCTCTGCCCTTTCCTCCATAATAACAGAACACAGTACAGTAATCGGAAGAATACACACCTTCGATTGCAGAGGTTTTGGCAAACGTGGGGCGCTTTTAATGCAAATAGACATGAGGCGAGAGTATAGATATCTAGAGATAAAGACGGGTAATAATAGAGCCACTCAAGTCTTATCAGGAGTGGGGGCAAAAAGGAGGGGTTTTTTTCAACACTCCCCCCCCTCAAAAAAAAAAAAAGAACAACACTCCCTACCAGGGCGATCTTGGGAAGTTCAGTCTCTATAGCTTGGGGGTTTTTTTTCCTTCCCTCCCCGCCCCCCCCCCGCCGAGTGCTTATAAAGCTCAGTTCAAATCTTCCGGGTCGGCCAGGAGTTCACTTCTGGTTTTTGCAACAACCCAAGCCAGCCAGCCGGAGGGTTGCTTTCTATGAGGTCCGAGCGAGCAGCAGAAGGGTTTTTCCTCTTGCGACGGGTTTTTCCTTCCGCCTCCAAAAATAAAGCAAGTTTTCTTTAAAGAAGCATTTTAAAAAAAACAAAACAGAAAACCTCCCTATTCTTTTTGATCGTGTTATTTTCTTTTTCCCTTTTTCCTGCAATCTTTTTTTTCTTTCTTCATTGGTAGTTGTGTGCGAAAAGATTCGCTTCTTGCGAGAGAGTTTCCAAAAGAGGCAGATCCAAGAGAGGCGAGGGAAATGGGGGAGGGAGTTTTGGAAAAGAAAACATTGGGGTGGGGTGCAGAGGGGGGTTTGGTGGGTGGCGGAGGGGGGGTGTCTTGTGGGTTTGGCTGGCTGCAGAATGTGCCCAGACATTGCTTGCTAGGCACAGAACAAGAGATGGGCTGGCTTACGAGCCTGTTCCCTCCACCCACTGATTTTTATTTTATTTAAAAAGCAGATTCCTGATCATCTCCCCCCGCCCCTCCTCCAAACACAACCCCCAGCCCCAAAGTTGCCTTAGGCAACTTTGAATTTCCAATATAAATTGATAGGCACCTCCCTCGCAGGGGGAAAATAAAATAAAGGGTGTGCTGGTTAATTCAGGAAGGCCCGTGGCCCTGGAATCCCTGGGAGCAAGCACCACCGCAAAATCAGAAGCACAGAACTGTAGAGTTGAAAGGAGTCCCCAGGGATCATCTAGTCCAACCCGCTGCAAATGCAGGAATCACACCTTTGTGTAACCCCTGTCCCACAAACACATTTTTTTAAAAATGTAGAATGTTTTATTGGCCTTACAAAAAAAAACCAAAACCAAACCAGAAATAAAATATAAATTAACATATAACAAACACTTAAGAACATTTTAAAACAACCCCAGCCTTCCCAAATAATTAAAAAAAATTCTGCCAGATGTCAGCTGAGACTTAAGAATAAAATTGCCAGACTGTTAATTTTGGAAATAATACGGCCCCTCTTGCCCCCCCCATGCTACGCCCTTGTTGGGAAGACCGATCCATAGAGAGGGAGCCACCACTAACAAGGCCCTTTTGTTAAAACTCCAGCTCCCATCAGCCTCAGCCAGCATGGCCAATGGACAAGGATGATAGGAGATTTAGTCCAAGACCTGGGGGACACCAAATTGGGATTATACACAATCTCCACCAGATGTATTTCACCTCTTCCTGCTTTGTATGGGTCATTTCAAAATGGCAACAAGTGTCAATGGCTTCTATGAGTGGGATCCTCTCACCTCTCTGGGTCCAGATGTGGAATTGGGTGGTGTGGGGGACACCCGATGAGGACTGGCCCATTTAATTATTAGGTGGTGGTGCAGTGGTTAGAGTGTTGGACTAGGACCTAGGAGATGAGGTTCAAATCCCTACTCAGCAATGAAGTTCACCAGGTGACCCTGGGACAATCACTGCCTGTCAGCCTAACCTACTGCACAGGGTTGTTGAGTTCCTTGAGCTCCTTACAGGAAAGACAGGACATAAGCAAGCAAATAATAAGAGAGCTCAAAGAATGCCACCACCTTGAGCTGGCACCAAATTCATGCTCTACCTTCTCAGCAACCCTGCATTATCATCCCCATGTAGTCAACGAGACATCAATGTCTTGCGCAGGAGTAGTCATTGCGGTGCCTTGCAGATGTCATTGGGCTCCAGCTCACATCAGCCCCAGAGTTGACTAACCCTGGTTCTTACCTTAAGAGGCTTCCCTAATCAGTTTGGAGCTGGGCTGAGTTTTGAACCCAGGACTTCAGTTCTTAGCTGCTGCTGCTACCTCACCGAGGAAGACTGCTGTTTCATTTGCCCCACACGCAGATGTGGAAGAGAGCACATCCCAGAAGCCTCTCTGGGGCAAACTCAGCCTTTTTGCCCTCCCGGTTGAGACAGAGACACTCAGCACGTGCTTCTGCTCTGCCAGATGTGCTGCCCGTAATTACGCACTCTATTTGTGCTGATAAATTTCCATATGACTACAGTAATGCACCATAAATTAATCCCAGGACAGGGAGTGAGAGAGAGTGACCAGACAAGCTTTACAAGCTCATCCCAGAGACCTCTGCCAAAAGAACGAGAAGGGAGCAGGCTGGGGATGGGTGGTATCTCTCCGCCTGTCTCTCACCTAGGCTCGGAGTCAGACCAGTTGCAGGCGACAGCAGCCTCGCTGGATAGATCATTGGCTTTGTACCAATCAGCTCATTCTCCATAATGGAGAAACCCATATTCAAGTTTGAAAACAATGTCTATCTCACTGTAGTCTCCATCTTATTACAGCTTCAGCTCACTCTAGCAGCAACCTCAGGTGATAAAGCAACAATAGGGCTGCTGCTAAAATGGGCCCCCCTGAGAAACAAGAGGGAATGATCCACACACACAAACAGCCCAATGAGCACTGGGCGTTCTCAGTACCCAGAGAGTGCTAGCTGTCAGCTAGGAAAGGAAAACAATCAGAAGGCAGGACGGAACGGTATCTGGGAAATGGGCATGGCCAGCCGGCCGGCTGCCTCCCTGGAGTATTATTGTCAGGAGGTGAAAATATACTGCAGCAATTCATCATGCCTTGGGGCACATCCACATCACATATTTATGGCAGCACCATGGCATTTTAACCAGTCGTGGCTTCCCCCAAAGAATTCTAGGAGCTGTAGTTTTGTTAAGGGTGCTGAGAGTTGCTGGGAGAAATCTAATTTTCCTCAGAGAGCTACAATTCTCAGAGAGGTTTAACTAGGGTTGCCATATTTCAATAAGTAAGAACCAGGACCCCCCAAAATTGTGTCTGGGTTGGAATTCTAGCTCTGTGAGGTGAGTAAGGGTTTCCCCACAACTCTCAATAAATCCCCTTGACTGTTAAAGTGGTATAAGAGTGTTTCAAATGAACGATGCAGATGTGGCCAGTTTTCTCTTCCCTTTGTCCTTCATTTGGTTTTGGAAAAGCTTTGTGCCAACATTTTGCTGAAAGCTTTTTCCTACTTAGCTGGGTGCTTTGTTCCTCATTTCCCCTCTGCAATAGTCTGGCTTGTGCCTAGTCAAAAGTAAAAGAGGATAGCTGTTCTTTGGATTTTGGATTGACTCTCTCTGTATGTGATCGTCCCATAACCTGGTAGCAGCCGTTCAAAGGCAGCTGGGCAAGTTCTAGCTCAGCATTGGAAAAGAGCTACTAATTTAATACTGGATACCTGTATTAGTTGGAATGAGTCCTCATGGAAAACTGTCAAAGCAATTTAAAGTTCTTTTTTTTTTTAACCCACAAAGGTCAAAGATGTTTTTGAGAAAACATGGCCTGTGTTTGTTCAATACACTAGAAAGGACAATGCAACCATGAAACCACCAGCAGCTCATGGTAGCCTCTCCAACCATCTATTCAGATGAGAAAAACCATCTTCTCCAACCATTTAACACCCCAACATGTAGACTATATTACTATTGACTCTATATGCATGTAATCTGAACGCATGGAGGGAGGGGGTGGGCCTTAGGGAAGCAATCTTACATGCATTTGTTTTTTTTATAAGATATTTATTAAAGTTTCAAAAATAAAAAAGAGTTACAATAGTAATAATAAGAAAGAATAAAAAAGGAAGAAGAAAATACAAAATACAAAAAAAATACAAAAAAGTAAAAACAATTAAAAACAAATCAATCTTTCCATATCTTATCTTTCACTCACTTGTTTCCCTGACCTCCTCACACCTCCCTTTTTTTGTATTCCAGTTCAGTAAGTTAATTCAGCAAATCCTTTCCCTCTTTGTTTTTATCTTAGACCTTTGTCTTAATATATAATAATTGTATATTCTCATCTGTTAACAGTCCATTTTTACATACTCCTTGTAGCATTACTACTAAAAACCCCTTAGCTTCATTCCAACATCATCCTAACATTCATTAATTTTACAGTATTTCTGTAGATAGTCTTTAAATTTCTTCCAATCTTCTTCCACCGACTCTTCTCCCTGGTCTCGGATTCTGCCAGTCATTTCCGCCAGTTCCATATAGTCCATCACCTTCATCTGCCATTCTTCCAGGGTGGGTAGATCTTGTGTCTTCCAGTACTTTGCAATAAGAATTCTTGCTGCTGTTGTGGCATACATAAAAAAAGTTCTATCCTTCTTTGGCACCAATTGGCCGACTATGCCCAGGAGAAAGGCCTCTGGTTTCTTCAGGAAGGTATATTTAAATACCTTCTTCATTTCATTATAGATCATCTCCCAGAAAGCCTTAATCCTTGGGCACGTCCACCAAAGGTGAAAGAATGTGCCCTCAGTTTCTTTACATTTCCAACATTTATTATCGGGCAAATGATAAATTTTTGCAAGCTTGACTGGTGTCATGTACCACCTGTATATCATTTTCATAATATTCTCTCCTAAGGCATTACATGCCGTGAACTTCATACCTGTGGTCCATAACTGTTCCCAGTCAGCCATCATAATGTTATGTCCAACATCTTGTGCCCATTTAATCATAACAGATTTCACTGTTTCATCCTGAGTATTCCATTTCAACAGCAAGTTATACATTCTTGACAAATTCTTAGTTTTGGGATCTAACAGTTCTGTTTCCAATTTTGATTTTTCCACCTGGAAGCCAATTTTCTTGTCCAGATTGCATGCCTCCATTATCTGATAATAATGAAGCCAATCTCGCACTTTATTTTTTAGTTTTTCAAAGCTCTGCAATTTCAATTTATCTCCCTCTTGTTCCAGAATTTCCCAATATTTCAGCCATTTGGCCTCCATATTGAGCTTTTTCAGAGCCTTCGCTTCCATCGGTGACAGCCATCTTGGAGTTTTATTTTCAAGTAGATCCTTATATCTTGTCCAGACATTAAACAATGCTTTCCTGACAATATGGTTTTTAAATGCTTTATGTGCTTTGACCTTGTCATACCACAAATATGCATGCCACCCAAATACATTGTTAAAACCTTCTAAGTCCAAAATGTCTGTGTTTTCAAGAAGCAGCCATTCTCTCAGCCAACAAAATGCGGCTGATTCATAGTAAAGTTTAAGGTCTGGCAGGGCAAATCCACCTCTTTCTTTTGCATCCGTTAGTATTTTGAATTTTATTCTGGGCTTCTTGCCCTGCCAGACAAATCTGGAAATGTCTCTCTGCCACTTCTTGAAACAGTCCATTTTGTCCACAATTTGCAGTGTTTGAAACAAAAACAACATTCTTGGCAATACATTCATCTTTATCGCAGCGATACGGCCTAGCAGTGAAAGCTTCAAATTTGACCATATTTCTAAATCTTTTTTC